CCCTAAATATCCATATTCCCTACACCGTAAGTAAAAGTGTTGCACAACTTTTCCACGGGGAAGAAAGATAGGAGCTATGCAGACTAAATGCAGCGGCTGGCGACCAGGTCGAATACCAAATTGCGATGCACGCACGGAATCAAATTTTAGAATTTCTGGGTGCTGTGTTGGGAATTGATGGAATTTGAAAGATGGTAGGACTTCTCAGAAGGCAGGCTCCCCAAGATGAGGCTACAAATGTTACACGTATTCAGTCGCATTTGGTGCGCAACACCCTATGATAGCTTGTTTCGGGGGATTTTAAACCTACTTGATTTAGACCGAGTTAGGATCTAGGAGTTAAGTTTAATTAGCCTAGCCTTCCTCAGGTCAGAGTCCCCTGCTCATTTGGACTCCAGGTGAATAAGATGATATCCGTGCAGGTGGAAGGGTGTTTCAGTGGGGGCTGAATCACACCTTGGGAGGTCGAGTTGTCCTGCCACCGTTTCCCCCAAAGATATGCCAGATGTATTGAGGCAGCAGCCAGATCAGCGATATAGGGTGCGCAAGGATCCCTCCCTCGCTGAATGCCAAAAAAGGCACCTGCATGCATTCATCCGATTTGACTTTGAAGTCAAATACAGCATGGAAAAGATTTGAGTGCAATGAACCCATGAGTGACCTGCATCCAAACCACCTGATCCTGCAAGCACTGCAACTCAGTGTCACTGAAAAACAGGCTTTGTCACAGACTTAACTTGAGGCTGTGACATTGTATTGTGTCAACAGCAACAGCTCCTTATACTCTGGGCTTGTGTGACAGTGAGCGACAGCATCAAAATTTTGTCATCAAGACTTGCTTTCATGTGACAGACTGCACACAAGACCAATGAGCCTTAGATGGCTCCCAAAGAGTCTCTAATATGTAAAAATATTACCAATTAAAAGAATGGTGGCAGAGCTCCACCTTGGTGATAACATCAGGTATATTCCAGATTCGGAAGTGGCATGGCCCGTCAGCCTCAGTCTTATCAAAAAAGTCAGCAAACGCCCAGTTGCCTGCAAATATCACTCCCTTGGTCAACTCTGGAGTCACTAATAAACACGTCCCATACCCAACATTGTCTCTTGCATAAGCGCATCAGCATAAGTTCACCTCCCCAATATATGTCTTTACAGAAAGAGGAAGATGGGCATGGTAAGCAGTGTCTCCCACACCGATCATGAATTGTGATTCTTTGAAACGATTGCACTTTGCTGGCACCCTGCTCACTGGCCCCTAGAGAATTACCAAAAAGGGCTGCTGTTCATATGCTCAGGACAAGTAACACCAGCAAGAGGTGAGGGTTATGGGTGGATAGTGTAATCTCAGCATTACTAACACTTGCACGGTGTAGTAACCGCTGAGTAATCTCACCTGCTCGGGGAGACTCAAAGGTGAAGGCTGTAATTGGCAGCAGCTTGCCACTGACCCTGTCTGTCTGGTGATTCACATTGGACTCGACCAGATCGAAGGCACACATCTGCGCGAGTGCGCCTCCCAAGCTGTGACCAGTGGTTGTTATGCTGCCCACTTCCTCCCCATAGAAGGCCAGCAGCTTTCGCACCGCCACATGCACTTGGCCCTGACACACCAAACAAAGCTGATGCACAGCAGGCCATTGCTTATTTTTTAATTACAAGCTGTTCCTGCCGAAGGCAAGGTGCGTCTGCAGACAAGCTGCATGCAAAGGCTGCCAAATTCGCTCCCCTTGTTGGACTCGCCAGATCCAAGCAGACCCAATTATACGTGGCAGCTTTATTATTAATTATCAATTACATGTAATTACTTGGCCCTGCCTCTCTGGACATTATATTCATTTGGTGAGGGCTCAGTTGATACACTGAATTGCAAAAAGGGAATAAATGACTGCAAGATTCATGCATTTGAAAGTGGGTGCTTCAAAAAAAATTTGATGTAATTGGCCAATGCTTGTGAACCAAGCAGTGTTGGCATTATAAATGTCAAAATCGGAACCGTTTTGCCTCTAAAACAACGTTCCACGTCACTCTTGAAGTGCATCAGCCAAAAAAGTTTGTATTCTCAATATGGCATGGATGATCCCCAATGAAATTTCAAGAGAAAATATCCGATGTGTCATTTTATATTTGAATCAAACTTTTAAAAATATATCAAACAAGCCTTTGCGCACTTGCCTGCATGCTGAGGGTATTGCCGGGGGTCTGCGTGAAGCGCCGGTACATCATTTCAAACCCCTTGGAAACCCTCGCTTTTGCCAGCAGAGGGTTTGGGGGCACAAACTCGCCCTTGGTTGGTGTAGACTCTGTGGCTGCTGTTTCTGCTTCTGTTTTTGTGACTGCTGGCTTTATCCCATCCTCGTGCAGCTGTATGACCCAAACATGAAGCGCAGGACTTCTTTCCACTTGGGCACCTTGCCTTCACCCTCCCAGCTAACCATCTCTGCTGTGAAATTTGACTTCCACTCTGTCTCGGCCTGCAGCCATATCAAATGATTCATCATCATGAAGGGCACAGTGTTCACTTTACTTTGCAGGAGATAGCAGTCATAGTAAGCAAATCTGCATCAAGTCTGCATTCCTGACTGGACATGGCTCAAGAACAGAAGCAATTCTGAAACACTGAAAGTGTGACTCCATTGTAGCATGACAGTGACTGGGCGTCTAGCAGTAAATGGCAACGCACACAAAAACTTATTTTATTTTACTTTATATTATATTTGACTCACCTGTGTGCCTCGGAATGCCACGACAATGTCTCTTCCGCCCGGAGGTAGATAATCTGGCGTGTCCAAAGGGACATTCTTCTTGGGAGGCCCATTGATTGCAACATAGCCAATCCAATTGGTGCCCAAGTCATCAACAAAGGAACCAGCAAATTCCCCCGAGTAGAAGCCGGATGTTGCCTCCAAATAAAAGGTGTCATCATCCTCAAGACTGCCATCAGCCTTGAGCACGCCAATCTTGTAGTCCCGAGCTGGCGAGCTCGATGCAACATTCAACTGCAGAACAGCAGGCACAACATTTACTCAACCCACACAAACGTTCCCTCAAAGTTTGCTCGGCAGCCTTTGCAGTACATCAGGGCATCCTGCAGGGACATTCTTATGCTGTTCTGGATGTCAATGCACAATTGAAAAGTCCCTTAATTCTGTAGATCACAATGCAGAGATGTGCATTTTGCATTCATCATTTCACTTGCATTGTTGATGCATGACTTGATTCGGGCCATGAGCATACCTCTGCAGCCCCTTTCCCTCCATTAAGATCCATGACAGCCGGTGGATTGTACTTGAAATCGCCCACTTTCTTCCCCTTGGCATGCAGGGGGTCACTCTTTTGAAACGCCTTCAGGGCTGCGGCGTCCGTTACGAAATTGTTGTAGGTAACCTCGCACAGATCGCCATACTTGCAGATTTCGGTAATGAGCGCGCTGTCATTGATCGGCCCATCGGCATCCAAGGGCCCGTCACGTACATGGAAGGCGTTTTCCCATTGATCCGGGTTCTGAGCAACACAGCAGCCATCTCAGGCAGCCTTATGGTGTCGCAACGACAGCCTTCACAGCAACCCTTGCCACCCTCTACATGGAGTAATGCGGACAGACAAGCGCTGCAGGACTTGAGAAAGTTTGCGATAGTGAAAGTGCTGCTACATCAATATGCATTGTGCAACGCTCAGTGAGCTGGCACTCAGGTGGAAAGGCAAATCAAACTAGATTAGCAGGACAGTTGGCATTGAGATCTTGCCTGTACATGCCTCCGAGGAACTCTAGCGGGTGGTTGACTGTGAGATCTCGCCTGTACATGCCTTCGAGAAACTCTAGCGGCTGGAGGGCTTGCTACCCCATTGGAAGCTGCAAGATGGGCCCCTGGCATTGGATGAGTCAAAACCTTCAAGCACCAAGGCCAACCAGTCAGCATGGACATGGACACGGTCTTCAAGTTGACGCCCCACCTGGGTGAAAACCTGCAGGAAGGCCGGTGCTCTGATATTGAATTCTGAACAAAATTTTTTATCGCGAGTATAATCACTGCTACCAGCCCTTGATTTGCCCAATCTTTCTGTTGCCCACCTTATCCTTTGGGCATTCAAGCTCACGTAGCAAGCCAATCTGTGGATGAAGCAATGTATCTACATCACTCCGTATAGAAGTTTGGAACTGGTTCGCTTCGTCATATGCAGTATATGGAATCAAACCTGCACCGCAGAAGCTCTGGCCTTCGGAACAACGTGTCGGGCGGGAATCTGTGTCAGTTGTACTACAGGAAGGCTGCAAAAAGCTCTACCGAATCCCGCACCGAATTTCCTACCAGCAGTACGCAAAACACTTTATTCATGTCAATAAGAGCTGTACATCAAAATCGTTATGTTCGCACACGAACTCAGCTAGAAAACCAGACAGTGGAAATCCGACATTCAGCGTTGCCCGGTCCTGATCTCACCAAGGTGCCTTCTTTAGAATTTATGATATTCAAACCGAGTGTCAAAGCGCGCAACCGCCTAATTCATGTCCGCACACCAAGTACGCTGTCACGACATCAGGGGTTCATACTGGTTCTCCGTCAGTGACGCATACCGATATCCATCAGTTGAAAGAAGAGGTGGCTGCACTTAATCTGCTGACAGATCATCTTCAGCTGCTTGGCTTATGGCTCACTAACTGCGATCATCGAGATCTGCACATCGTTGCTTAGCGTCTATCTAAGCGGTTCAGCTCAGGTCACCCTTCCCCAGGCACGTGCCAAACCTCACCTTTTGTCTTTTCCCCAGAGGGACACTCTGTAGGTCATCAATTAAGAGCTGATGCATGGAGCCACCCATTCAATAAATCCAACCCACATTGCAATTTATTTCCATGATCTGTGCAAGCAAGCATGCTGTCATTACATCTAATTTTTAATTCCACATCTTTATTGGTCTCCTGGCATGCAGCAATCCACTGGCACCCCAAACCCAATCAACTTCAAACATGCAGTAATCACTGCCAGCTGGTTGGCAAATTAGGCGCTACTTTCTCCCGGCAGAACACCGCCGCAGCCGAGAGCTGCCAGCACGCACAGATCATCATCTGCTAGTCCCCCGAGCGGCTGGCCGGCTTTGACAAACTCGGCAAACATGTCGTTGGGCTGCATGAGCTCCAGGCAATACATGCGACCTGCAGGAGAATGGAAGACAAAAGATTAAATCATGATGATCGTCTAAGTGAAGAGCACAACAAATATAGTCGCCAAGACTGGTGAGAGGTAGCCAGTTGTTGTAGTATTCCTCTTTACATATCACCCAGCCACCCATTGCTAATTACATGAACAGACAACGACCCCTCTCCTGGGCCAGAGGCATCTTGTGTGCTGTAAGTACTGTGTTTGCAAGGCAGCCCTCCTTCCTTTTCCTGATTCGCGCTTGCACTGGTTTGGACGTTTGCATCCTCTCTCTTGGATTCGACTTGATAGAAAATCCCCAGTTGACAGCATCATTTGGGGGTTGACAAAACCTGAGGGAGATACGTCGATGCCGTGGAGGCTGCGCGGAGGGAACGCCACCGCGTCACCGGCCGCCACCGGGAAGCGCTGCCCGTCGCAGAAGCCCTCGCCGTCGCCTGCACCACATCAGCGCCATGTCAGCAACACACACATGGCACAAAATGCTGCCACATCAGCAAGACACTCATGACACGAGAAGCTCAGTGAAAAGAGGTCGTTGGCTCGTGGGCGCTTGTGTTCTTCACATTAATAAAAAGCCTAGCAGATATGCAGCCCTCCCAGAAGAGTATTGTCCCGCTTTAGAAACGCATTAGTGCATCGTCATAATACAGTATGTTCTTTTCAGAGGAGAAATGTTAATTGTGCCCCAACAAGTTCCAAGATTCGCTTGCATGGAAGGCACACCTCGGCAGGTCTGTATCTGTGACAACATATGATTGCTGCTGCAGAACTGGGAAAAGGTCAGCTGGAAAAAAGAGAAAAAAACAGGACCTACCTGCAAGGATGAAGAAGAGCTCCTGGGAGGATGGGTGCGTGTGAGGCGCAGTCTTGTGCCCCGGCTCGAATATTTCGAGGCCAAAGGTGAAGGGAACGCCGTCTGCCATTGGGTCAAACACCAGCGCCAGCCGATTTGTCTGGTTGGGCAGGCGATACGCGGCCAGGTCCTGCAGGCCCTTCTTCTGCACTGCTGCTGGTTTTAGGCCTGCGAGCGGTGAGGGTCATCTCAATGCATACCTTGCTGGATGCTGCAAGAAAGAAGGGATTATTTCTTATGTCAAGGCATGCAGCTGCAACTGCTGTGCAGTCAGGCGGAAATGCCAGCTTGCGCACTGCTGGCACAACATTTGAAACCAATTATGCAATGATATCTGAACAATATGGTCAATTGCCAACCCCGGAAAACCCAGCACATTGAAATGCTGACCCCCTTCAAAGCTGATCTGGTGCTATAACACGCAAAAAGCAAAAATCATCACCTGTGGAGCTGCTTTCACTGGCAACAGATGCCCCATCACTGCTTGCTTCATCGCTTGAGCGGCTTTCTTGTGAAGTGCTCTCTGTAGCAATCGCCGTTTTGGCGGCTGTGAAGCGGCCGATGAGGCCCGGCAGGATGTAACGCAGGAAGTCGGCTGGCATGTTGCGGAGTGCAGCGCGCAGCGGCTCAGGCAGCGCTTCGTCCCATGGCGTTCCCTGCTGAATTGTTACCCGCTCTGACTGCATCGTTCCTGCACCACCAACTTCTCTATGATCAGCATGGGCTGGTGGCAGCTTCATCACTTGCACAGCATGCGCGTGCAAGAGGGAGGGCAGAATGGCATGACAATGACTTTCTTGGGCGCCATTATCAATGCCAATGTCCATGCAGTGCATGTAGAATGCAACAACAAGCCTATAGCATCAACCAGTTCCACCGCAAATACTTGAACACAGAGCAGATGTCCCCAGAACAGCACCACAATTACTGATAATAGGAATGAGGCGCGTTATCAGGGTCGCATGCAGGCAGTATCGTGCATGGTGCTTCTCCAAGACGCGTGCCAGATTCCCAAGCATGCATGCCTGATAACCCACTCGCCGTAACGGCACGATTGTCTATGATTAGCCTCCAGCACACCTGCATAAGCGCTCGGCGCAGCATCGCTACTGGAGCTGATGGCGCGAGCGCGCAAAGAGGGAAACGCAGCGGCTGCGGCTTCGCGCGCACGGTGGATGATGCCGGCCACGACGCGTTCCGACAGCCGCCCGGTCGCCGGCGCGGCGCGCCACATCGCCACCGCATGCGCCAGTTCGGCCGCGCCTGGTCAGGTAACAAAGCAGCAGCCAAGTCAGGCGCTTGCCCCTGCTGCAAGGCACCCAAGAGGTGCAACCTCGTCTTTATGGGCAAAATGAGAGCTCTTGCCAACCTTGCCATATCTGGCATCAGCCACTTGTGGGGTAGTGACTGAAAAGGCGATTCAATCCGGACACAGGATGTTGTATAAGAGCACAAATTGCAGGTTAATCGCTGCTTCATGCTGTGTTGCGGAGGGCTGTCAAACACAAAGCAGCAGTTCGCAGGAAACATAGCGGAGAGATGCTGCTGGAAGGCAAAATCGCGCAGGGAGGCACACCGTGATCTGAGCCAGGCCTGTCATCTGCCAAGAGCACTTTCAGCGCAACGAGGTCCCAGTGCACATCTTCAAGGCTGCTCCCTGCATCGCCTGCATCACGGCGGCTGGTGCTTTCTTCGCCGTGCCGCAGGGCTGCTGAGTCACCTGCTGACTTGCCACTAACAGCATCCTCTCTTTCTGCTGGTGAGGCTGTGGGTCCTGAAGCTGCGTTGCTGCCAGCTGTGCTTGCTGCAGATCGAGAACTCATGCTGCCATAGGCGCTTGCAGACCCCCTCTCAGGCTGCAGAGAGAAATGGGAAGATGAAGATTGTTTCTCTGTGCTGCTGAAAGCTGTGAGCTTAGCTCCTGGTGCTCTTGAGCTGAGCAGGCTGTCGCCCGCCATTATTGTGTCATGAGAGTCTTGCTGCAAAACCTGCACAACAGGGCAAGCACATCACTGCTGAAGGTGGTGTAGCTGCTCTTAAATGTTTGTTTGCCACAGAATCTGGCTAGTAGCCTGCCACAGAGTCTGGCTAAAAGCCTGAAGTACAGGCTGCAAGAGACAAACCTGCCCTTGGCCATCCAGGATGTACTGTAAAGATAGAAGATTGCTGTCTGCTGGCAGCTCAGACGCATAATTTTCGACAGCAGTCTCGTCATTGCACCCTGTGAGGAAGAGCTCTAGTGCAACGGCAAAGGGCAGCGAGTCCGAGCACAGCAAAGGTGCAACGTAGTGCCCCGTGCCCAATCGGTGTATCGAGAGGCTATCCAAAGACGACAGGTACGCGTACTGAGCCTCTGACTGTGCCCTGCACATCGAATGGTCTATGAAATCCCGTATCTTCAAAGTACTTGGGGTTCAGATGACCTCAGCGTCAAACAAAAAGTGATCAATCAAGGCTAACCCTTCATAGTTTCCTGCAGGTCAAAAAGTCTTCTACCTGCACATATGAAATTTTCGACGTCCAGTTCCTGCAAAAATAGCTTTTGGAGTGAAACATTCACGAGCACAGAGATCAGTTGCTGATGGACCACGGGCGTGCTGCCTTGGCAGCATTATGCCACTCGAATCACTCGCAATTTAATATTTTACTGACTTCCAACGTCTGTTGATCACATCTCAAGGAGTCTGTTCTCTTTCGGGACTCTGCATGCATGTACCATGCATGGCACGTGATCTCTTGCCATGTGGTACTCCTTGACGTCATAGGTTGTCGTGTCCTGCACTTCCGGCCAGAGCGATAAATCGCAAGAGATTTACTGCAGCATTTAGCCTGATGCACTGTCGATCCGTCTGTGCAAGCATCGTGAACGGTTGCAAATTTTTGATAAAGCTGAACTCCGGCCGTCGTTCGCTGCACATCTTGAAGCAAAACACCGCATTGATTTCCAGTTTTGGTTCTGTGCAGAGGGTATCACATCAGTATTTTGGGGCTTGCAGGTGATGTCTCAACATGTCCGGAATTAGTTGGATGCCGCTAGTGAGATAGGGTACCCAAGCCCGGATCTGGAAATACTTGATCGCCTCCAAGGAATGCAATCCACAATTTGTTGCAGTTCAGCCACACATTTGGATCGCTTTTTGCAGGCCTTTGAAGCGTCTTCCCTTCTCCTACTTGACTGTACGGATGGTGGAGGGCCACCAGTGCCACAGGGTGGTCCACGCTCACAAGAAAGTCCTCCTGGGCCAGCGCTTCAAAGCTGAGTCTCCTAATGGCAAATTTACGGAAGGTAAATATGCTATGCACTAGTTGCATTGTTACTCTCAGTCTCAAGACAGAGCCTGCACATGCTGCGTTTGCTGAAGATCTTGCCCCCAACAGTGGTACTTACAGCCAGCTGGTGGCAGCCAGGAGTGATACTCCAAATGCATAAGTTTTCAAGAGTTTGTTTCTCCACGTTCAGGAGCCAGAGCAATAAACCAGCAGCCGCTGGCGCGCATAGAGTGCCACGGCAAAAACCTGTTCTACTTCTTCGGGGATGGTGCGGAGACAGTAGTGCTGCACGCGCACTTTGGCATGAGCGGCGCTTTCAAAACGCTGCCGCGGGGAGGGACGCCGCCTGAGACCACTCCCAACACCCGCCTGCTGCTGACCGGCGAGAAAGTAGTGGCACTGCTCAGCGCTATGATCGTGCAGCACGGTGGCTTGGGTGCGACATTTTTGTGTCATTCTTTCATCGAATTTTGGCCACCCGAGCGGCCTGAGCATTCGCTGGTGGACTCTGCTGGTGTGAAAAGCAGAAGGACAGTGTTCTGCACACACGGATAGTTCAGCCATTTGTGCCATTGTCAGGGCTCTGCAGGGACCATGGCGCTTGGAATATAGTGCTCTTTATGCAGCTCTGCAGAAGGGACCATCTCTGGCTGCAGAGTCCTCTGCTGCATGCATCACAGCTAGGCTATTTTGCATTTAATGTCACCTGGGCCACCACTTCCTGATGGGCTCTCCCTCAAGGCATGCAAGCCTTGTTCAAAGAGTGGATATCATGTGCACGTCTGCGTCAGAGAGCCAAAGATGTTTGCGCGCAGATCTCTATGAGGAGAAGCTGGCAAAGCTGGGCCCAGACCCACTGAGGGAGGATGCAGACAGGGAGCGGCTGTGGGAGGTGATGCAGAAGAGCAAGAAGTCCATCGGGCAGTTGCTCATGGACCAGAGCGCGGTGGCAGGCATCGGCAATATCTACCGCGCTGAGATATTGTTCAAGGTACAGTATCTCCTCTCTTGTGGTCCAAGCGCTCTCATCAGCAGATAGCATTCCCTGTCCCCCCATCATGTTCCTGACGCTGGTGCGGAACGCTGGACTGGCTTGATGGGATGGGATCTGCTTGTGTCACAAGCCGTGTGCATTTTTTTTTGGTGGCGCAGTTTGCCTGACAAAAGTCTGGTAATTCAAGACAAGTGCCGGCGCATCAGACAGCCTCCGGGCCGCTAGATAGAAAAAAGTCTGCAAGACAAAGCAAGGTCAGTAAAGAAAGCTCAACTGCATGTGTCTTAAGGGTGAAAGGTGCATGTTGATTCACTGTACATTATGTCATGGTGTGCTGGCTGGCAGGCGGGCGTACACCCGGAGGAGCCGGGGCGGTTAGTAAGCAGGGAGGGATTTGAGCTGATCTGGCGGCACAGCGTGGATCTGCTGCAGCGCGGCTTCAAGAGCGGCTCCATTCTTACGGTGGATGCTGACGAGGCCAAGGTCCTGGGGCCACCCTGGCAGCGCAGGTAGGCTCTTCAGTCATAAAATTAGTATAGTAAATTAGTAACAGATATAGGAGAAGTGCAGGGCTTGGAACACAGGAATGAGCTCGTCCTAGGAATCAAAACAATACCCAGGCTGCAAGATTCGTTGCTCCGCTTTTGAACCTATCAGCATGCCCTCACCATCACTCCTGCTAGAATACCTGGCTGCCATTAAGAGCCAAACACCCTTGGAGAGCACCTGGTCCAATGGCCTTATTTGTTGCATCCCTGTATTGCTGCAGATATAAAGCTCATCAGGATGCCACGGTCCAAAGATGTTGACATGCCAGGCAGTGGGGTAGCCCGCAGTCGGTGCGGACACGCTCAGAATTGCGTTTGGCCAGACTGGGATGACTACACCCGTGGGTGGCAGGTAGATTACTAATGCACCCCTTCGGCGCAGGTACATCTACAACCACGCCAGCTGCGGGCGGTGCGGTTCTCCCATCAGCACGTGGATAATCCAGGCGCGCACATGCTACGCCTGCCTCACCTGCCAGCCCTTGCAGCCCGAAACCCAGCTGTCGCCCGAGCGTTCAAAAGTCCTCGCCGCCGCCGCGGGCACCAAGGTGGCGTTCCCTGTCTGGACCTAAACTTAGTTATGTCCCTTATACGCTGAATAGGGAAGAATAAAATTTCCTCATCTGCTCTGCTTGCTCATTCTTCACAAAGACCAAGCACGCCACCTTTCTTGGCAGACTGCAATACTTCGACACAGGACTCGAGTACGCTCTGTAGTTTATGGGGCCTTCATTTCTTAATATTGTCTGGCCGGGCCGGGAACAGGTCCAAACAGAAAAAAAGCTCGCAGTCAGTGGCTTCTATAGTGGCTCTATGTAGATTTTGGGTGGGTATCGTGTTGTGGAGGTGTTCAAGGGTCACTGCGCGCCCCAGCATTTACTGAATGCATATGACCACCCTACATTCCAGGGATTTACAACTTGTTGAATGCTCTGGTGTTTAGGCGATCTGCATTTCTTGAGACTTTGTCGGTGGGGCAGTCCGGGTCCGAGACTCCCAGCCCGTGTGAACTGAAAGATTTGGGCGATGCTTCTAGGTGTTCAAAAGCCACTGCGCGCCGGAGCCGCCGGCCGCAAATGCAGCCTCAAAGACGGCAACTGCGTTTGCCAAACTGACCGTGGCCGCTCTCAAGGAGAAGCTCAAGGCTTTGGACCAGCCACTTGATGGAAAGAAGGTGAGAGGCACTGCTGAAACAGCTGACTCCCTTCTGGTCTCTTTGGCCTATGATGCCCAGCAGACCACAACTCGCATGTTGAGAATCTTGTGAAGCGGATTGTTGTTACTGTCAAGACCCCTTACCACTTCTGCTCTCATCATGTTCTGCTGCATGTGGGGAGCGGATTCTTTGCACGCCATATTCTGTGCCTTTCATATTTCCTTGACAGCAGCCACGTGCACTCTACAATTTTCAAGGATGTAGAGTGGGTCCTTTTATTTGCAGGTCATTGCTGAGATTTGCATGTGTGCCGGATCAGGCGCAGCTGGTGGAGCGATTGGCCGCAGCACTTCAGACTGCCACGCTGGCAACCAACGGTGCGCACATGGAGGGTGTAGCTGATTAGCTGAATTTAGCTGAAAGTAGTTGTGCATGCCCTTCAAGAGACCCGTTCTGCCCTTGTACACATGATTCAACCACTGTCCTTCCTTCTGATGTGGTGGCACAATGTACTGCAGTGTGTGGCCTTGCCGTGACCATGTTCATAACATGCACTTGCTGCCGGTGATTGAAGTAATACAAGCAGCAATCTGGAGAGCACTCATTGTGACAAGTGCTTGCTTCTGCAGGTGCAGCTACTGATAAGGAAGAGGAGGCAGCAGCAGAGGACCTGGCGGCAAGTGCGAATGCACTTATCAAGGCAGAGGCGGCGGCGGCAGTGCAGCCGGGCACACAGGGCTTGGGCCACATCGCCACTGCCGAGGTGCGCCGCTGTCTTTGGCTGCTCATCACTCTCGCTAATTATCCACTCCTAGGTGCTAAGTGCCTACTTGTAGACTGGACGACCAGCAAGGGACACAGCCTGCCTGTATTTCATAACAAGCGCTTGTTTGTGAACTTCTGCTGCAAACTCGAGCATTTGTTTGGCAGCATGCAGCGTAGCCGAATCATGTCTTTGTTCCTCTTGGACCTCAATTCGGATGGGGCCCGGAGCTCACTTTCACACCTTCTGCCACTTTCCACGCAGTTCAAGTCATGCTGACCGGCACATGTCAAGGAGCTTTAGCTTGCTGGATCGCTGTGTGGAGTTTCAGCATGATTTTCTGATGCATGAACGAGTGTTCAAATTTGAAACAGGAGGCGGCACTTGAAAAGGCGCGCGCGGGTGAGGGGCGCAACGTTGAGCACGTGGCGCTGGAGACGGAGGGAACGCTGGGACTAGCCGCCACACACTCCCAAACAGGCACGCACCCTTACTTTTGTCATTGCCCTCTTTCCCACTCCTGAAAATCTGAAGGGCCTTTGCCTCGCAGTCCATATATCTGGGGCTGCCGTCTGGCGCGCAACTCTGGGTTGCACCTATGCCATTCATGCTGAGGTTTTATAGCACAGCACCGAATGCCTGTTCAAGGAAAAAGCGCAGATTCTATAGACAACTCTTAGGCCCCCAGGAAGAGGCTGAGGAGGGGTTTTAGGCACTAAGTGGATGCAGAAAGGCAAGGTCTAGGCAGATCGCCATCTGCACTCAGTCTGGAGTGCAGATCAGTGACAAGAGAAATGAGGACAAGCCTCTTGTCTTTATTGAGGCGATGCTCGCAAACTAAGTCCAGCAGTGTTGGGGGGCACAGGGCTCTGCATCAGTGCAAGCCCTGGGCAGACTGAAAGAAATCAGCCTTTCAGCGTGACACTCAGCTGTCTGATGGAGGTGGTTCTGTGCTTGCAGGCGCAAAAGGCACTCCGAGGAAAGCAGCCAAGAAGGTCAAGGCGGAGCCACCTGCAGCTGCAGAGCCTACCGGCCGCAGCACGAAGAGTGCTCCGAGGAAAGCAGCTGCCAGGAAGCTGGCAGAAGCGGCAGCAGAGCCGGCGCAGCTGCAGCCGTCAGGGAAGCTGACGATTCGGAAGCGGCGGGTGGCGTCCGTCGGGGGGCGATCCACGCGCTCAAAGCCAAATTCGAATTCGAACGGCATGGAGGCGCGGGGGATCGGCCTGGATGTTCCCTACGAGTGGGGGGACCCGGCAGAGGCTGGAAAGTGAATTCAAAATGAAGCACTGCTATTGATCTCAAGAACTGTTTTAGAGCATTGGGGGCTCATGACATGCAGAGAGTTGAGATTAGTGACAATGCAATTTCGTTGCGCGCGTCGTGGTTGTGCACTGTATAGGTCAGGAGCCGAGAGTACAGGACAGAATGGAGTTGTGCACACTGTGAAAGGAGACAAGGAGGAAATTCGGGTTGCTGGCGTGTGAACATCATCTGCAGACTGTGCACGGGAATATTACTGATAAGTGAGGTGATCTGAGCTGAGTTTGTTGAAAATACTGTCACAAAGGCACATCTTTACTTGTGCCTGCAATGCTGTCGTGTTCAGATCCGAGCAAAGAATACTATCGACATACTTTCACAGAGAGTTCTTTCCCTTGTGCGCTCTCGACCATTCTTCGGTGTTCAAGTTGCGCAGGCTTGGCAGCCACGTTCCAGCAGCATCTTTCTTTTGAACGTGTTTGCAGACGAACCACGCAGCCTACGCCGAGCACTGCGTGCAAGCCGATGGCCGCCTGCTGAACCAAGACGACACCCAGGTCTGCAAACATTCCCTCTCGATTTGCTCACTTTGTCCTCTCTCTCTTCCAATATAGGCACTCTTAATACCATACCCCGGTCATGGTTCCTGTAGCACATCTAGTAGCTAGCAGGCCCGCATGTGAAAGTAGCAGACAGGTCACCGCTCAATGCAAGATACTTTAACAAAGGGAGGTCTGCAATGGGCGGGCCCAGGGGGTACCTCAGTTACCAGGCTGGCACATTCACTCTATGATAAATCACCGCGGTATAAATACTGAGCACCATGCCCACAATTGATTGGGTCTTGTTTTGATCTGGCAAGTCCAGCAAGGGGTAGGACTGTGGCATCCTTTTACTGCAGCTTGTCTATGCCCTATGGCCCTCTAAGCTCTGGGTTCGCCACTCATAAAGATTATTATTATTATTGTTATCGTCTGTAGGACGCACCTTGCCACTTGGCATGAAGAGCGTGTAATGACAATAGTAATAAGACCTGCAGCTTGTCTGCAGGACGCATCTTGCCTCTTCGCAGGAAGAGCATACAAAATAGAATGATTTTTATTACAGTTGGTTGTTTGCAGGCGAGGCGTACTATCCTCCAGATGGGGTGACAGGCAATGCCGCTCCGCCGGCATTGAGCCCCTTTGCACTTGCTTCGGCATGCGGCGGCGGCGCCTGAAGTCTACCTTCCAGTGACAAATATATGCAACGTCTCCTTTTGCTGCAGCGGTGGCGGCGAGGGAAGCTCTTTTTGATTTTGAAATTGAATTGAAGTCTACTCGGTGAAGCTGCTGGCAAGTGAAGTAGGATGAAGCTGGGGGCTAGATCCTCGCGAGCTAGTATTCTTCGAAGTGAAGAAAATTGTAAGAAGTGGAATAAAGCAGGAAGATCATGTGAACTCGGAAGCGAGCTGGGTGAGTTTGACACACTTTATCTATGCGTGTGACCGGGTATACCATAGGTTTGAATTGGCTACTTTATGTGGCCGTCAGTAGGAGGTAAAGAGATGGAGTGTTAGCTCAGTACATAAATGGTGTCATAGCAGTCTCAAGAAGATTTCTAGATGATATGAGGTGAACATCATGTGTGATTACATCTACTCGATGCTCTCTTCATGGCCAGTTGCTGAATGCGCGAAGACCAAAAGGAAAAAAGAAATTCCCATCAGGATTCGAACTCGGAGTTCTCTATTCGAGGAGGATCGGCTCCAAACCGCTCTCCCACTATCTCGACTGCAACCAACAGCTCACCTACCTACGCGCAGGTCTTCACGTCTGCTCACTCACATGGCTGCCCAATACCGCATTCCGCGCGAATATAAACACACTTTCATTTTTGCAACACGCTGGCCATGAAGCCTTTACGCACTGGAGTAGATCTCTTGACGACCTAAATCATTGTTTCGCAAAAAAAGACCTCATGTGTCAGCTCAAGAATCACGTGAAGCTGCTGCCTGACACTGTCACGATTGAATTTGAAGCCTGACCTATTAGCAAAAGGTTTGAGGGGCATACTAGGGCAAAGAACCTATATTGCTGTTGCACAGCTTTCGCACCCTCAAGTTCAACTTCCATAAAATCGACAGCAATCAGCTTCGAGCACCACAGGCACGAAGATTGCAAGAAGAAGGTGAGAATAATCCTAAAATGCAAACTTTTGTTGCAGGTAATGGAATTAGAGCACAGAGCCGTTTCGCGTGTCCGGGTTACATGAGACCTGCAGCTTTTGCAGGACGGAGAAATTTGCACGATAGGACCCAAGACGCGCCAATATCGCTTATATGTAGCATAATAGGACGTTGTACGGATTGTTTGACCTCTGTCTCGATATCGTCAGGGTATAGTGAGCCGTCCATCTAGGGTTATTGATCTGACAGAGAAAGGTGTGCTGTTGCTGCACAGTTCGCCAGTGTGCATATGACTGAGACATGAAACTTACAGAAGTCGATGGACACAAGATATATCTGCTGGGTCTCAAGGCTCAATGACGATCTTACCATTGCCATCTTGGTGCTCATCACCAGGGCCTTTGTATCAATCGTTGCTTACTGGCTTGCAGGAATGAGGTCAGTTGGCACAATGAATTTACGCAAACGCGGAATTAGACTTGCGATCGTGGCAGCTCTGTCCATCCTGGCAGGTACCTCTCCAGCTCCTGGCTCCTGCCAACTAGCCACAAGGAAAGCAAGCACCGTTGTCCTCGAGACCTGCCCAATTACACTTTGTCTTCCGAACATTTCCCTCCTCGACCTGGACACCACATTTATGGAAACGAAATCCTTCAGAAACGCTGAAATCCTCAGCTGCTGCCACATGTGCAGCAACTTAGGAGAAATTTGAGGGAAGAAGCAGGAAATCCAATTTCATTTTTACTTTAAAGCATTCAATTTAGAGACCTGTAGGGAGTCAACTGAGGCTCAATGGTTATGTAAACAGTCTTTAACTGCCCGTTTTCATGTCAAAAATATTGTTGGCTGACTGACAGACAGCATGTGCAGCAGTGGCGACACAGGGTCGCGCAGAACAGCCACTCACAGCGCAGTACGAGAAACTGAGGGCCAATGAGAAACAGGCAGAGCTGTGGGCGCGCATCAGCGAGGTCCCCTACCCAGAAAGCGGGCTGCCCACCAAGGATCCCGGGCTGCCCGAAATTTTGAAACTGTTCCTGGCCACCTACTTGTGGCCTGCCCTGCTGCACACCTCCGACGAGCTTCCAGAAGGGCGCACCAAGTTGATCCACCCGTTTGGCAGCGTCGCTAAAGTGCATTTGAATGTGTCCTCTGACAGGCGCGCGCTGCACCTTCACCTAGAACTCATGAAATGCAAAATGGTTGAAAATCAATGGCTTGAGGTCCGTCAACTCGAACATGAAGAGTGAAGGCTCACTGTAGAGCAAAATATTTCAGGCAAGCTTAAGACTGGGGAGGCTTATAGGTGCATTTGCATGACTCCTGGAGATGTGCAGACTGAGTCCACCGCTGGGAAACAGCAGATGATTTAGACTTGAATTTTCCCCTGAGCGTGTGATTTGCAATGGCTTATTGAATGGAGGAAGAACCGCCCAACTGTCATCTCTGCTCCCCACAAGTAGACCTTTGCATGTGCTGCTGATGTCAGAGTGTCCAGAGTGTCGTATATGTCACTGTGTTGTCACTGTCACTGGCAAGCTTCACAGCAGTTTACAGCGGTCATATTCTGAGTACATTACCCTGATCCTTTACAGAGCAGCTGCTGCCAGTTCCGCCATGTTACCATATCATCAGAGTCTCACAGACAGTCTGAGGAGTTTAACGGTGTCATGATTCTCTATCCTGCGGAGGTAAAGAACTCCAAGCATTGGAAACCCATGCATGGCTGACATCACACTGTGTCACGCAGGTTCACCGGCCTCTTTGCGAGCGGCGGAGTGGGATTTCTGCGCATCTCCTACGCGCGATACAATACCCCGGGAAACTTCGTGCCGGGTACCGTGCTCAAGATATTGATCGACGGCCGCCCCTCAATCAACATTCATGGCATGCCGGGCCTGGACGGCCAGGGGGATGATAAAAACGTGTTCGATCGGAGCTCGTCAAACATCCTGCAGCCGCCCAAGAACCCCATCTTGAAGGTGCGCCTTCTTGCTGGTGTATATTGTTTTTGCTCCTGCAACCCTACCACGGAATTTATTACAATTCCTTACATCCCCTTGCGTCCTTTCACACTGCCTGCCTTGTGCTGCACATTCTCTCTTGCCAAGAAGGAAGGCCTAGGCAGGATACAACTAATGCAAGAAGTCCTTGGTTGCGTGCTCATTTGTTTGCTGCTCCCTGATGCGCCCTTACTGGTTGAAGCCCAGCAAACACACTGAAGTCTCCGCAGCTGGTATCATCCCTGGCTACCATTGACTGTCCACTGCATGATACAGGTGCTCATGGCCGCATTTAACATCGGCGTGAAGACCCTGGCATCCAACCCCGCGGACAGGTGCAAAACCCCCAAAACCTGCTGCCTGCTTTTGCTCCTGAGAGCACGCTTCCACAATGAACGTCCCTGATCCTATGTTTTGCATGGCAGACAACTGACTTCGGCAAAGCTGTGCAATCAAGCTGATCACACGTATGCCGGGAAAGATCTTGTTGCGCTGCCAATTTCCAGGGCTCGACACGCTTCAATCAGTGTTTGACAGATGGTGGCAGCAGTGAAAGGGCATGCTGTACATGCTGTATACTTATATATGTAATGAGCCGTGCTGAATATGTGCATGTGTTTGTCCTTGCAGGCCGGAAGACACTCTGCACATTCCCCTGCTGGAGGCGGCTCAGGAGAAGTCTGATGGGACAGTTGTGCCTGAGGAGAATGTCGATGAGCCCTACGAGATGGTGCTGCAGCCCACCAGGGAGGCGCAGGTGGGTCCACAGTGATTTTGTAGAGTAATTCTGACCGCATGTGGGGCTTGGAGTTTTATGCACAAAGAACGAGCATGCACACTAAGTTTTGACATAGACTGCAAGGAAACAAGCGCACAGAACATTTTGCTTAAATGAGCCCATCTGCTTGCCGTTCACTCCGTTTTGTTATGTCAGGTGGCATATGCTAAGAACCTGGACAAGGACATGCGCGCAGCCTTGGCAGAGATTCCCGCAGGCATAACGCTGTACGATGTGTACGTGAGAAAGACCCTTGAAGACCCCTTGGAGTGCATCGGCTCCCTTGAGACTCAGGGGCCATTTGTGGCTTCCTCCTACGGCGACGAGAAGCTTTTCTTCCAGCACATGCGCCACCGCCACGTCAGCAGCCATGTCAGCGTCAGCATGGCAGCTGCGCAGTGACTAAAGCCGGCCATGTCAGCAGCCATGTCAGCGCCAGCGTGGCTGCCTAGCATTGAGGAAAGACGGCCGCATCAGCGGCCATGTCACCGCCGGCATGGCCGCGTTGCAGTGACTGACAATGGCCATGTCAACACCATCACGGCGGCGTCAGAGTGACAAATTGACAGCGGGTGCGGGGTCCAGGCATTGCTGGAGCCACCAGCGCGCACAATTGTGCACACAGCAAAGAAAAGAACAATTTATCAGCCCTGTGTTGATTTTGCACATGACAGACGGAGACAGGTTTTTGCTTTACATCATACGGTATTCTTCAACATAAGGTGTTTAGCAGCTTTGCATTTCTCTGGGAAAGGTTATGGCGGCCTGTTTCAGTGGCAATTTTCAGTGCTCACGGAGGTGTCTTGACATTTCAGCACCTAGAACAAGACGATAAATGACCGGCGTACTTCAGAGTGCCAACTTGCATGCTCTGACCAGCTGAGTCTCAGGAAGAGATCACACCAGAGCCCTGGAGCTCTGCACGAATTTGATTTTCGGCGACTTAATTTTTTTTTGCTGAATTTTTGAAATAAAATGCCCTGAATTAGACAGAGAGTGTGTTTGCAACTGTTTGGTGAGGCAGGCTCACTGGCTCGAGCGAAGCCATCTGTGGCAGTGCAACTTTTTGCAAATTGGGTTTGGTAATTTCGATTGGCCCTGACAGACCTCTGTCGTTTACATAGGAAAATTAATTGAATTTAAAACCTAACGCATTGAAAATTCTTCAAAAGTGACCAATACCTTATGTCTCATAAATTTCACCCCATATTAATCAACCCACTGGCACTGATCAGGAAAATCTCATGAGATTTTCCTATTAATTTCATCAGTGTTTCAGTTTATATGGTGCTGTGCAACAGAACCGTTGTGTGTGTGTGACACAGTGTGTGTCTCAGTCGAGAAATCTGGCCGCTAAAGTTTCACGTCACTTGGGAACATACTTAGTCAGCGCTTCCAAAGTCAGTCACACTGGTGCATGGGCATCCGCCACCTGGGACAAGAGTCAACGGCTTGACTACTTTATTTAGGCATGACAGTCACATGGGGTCTTAGATGCGCGCACCTGTCATTTTTGAATTTAAATTGTCTGCGTAAGCAAGCTGCCATGTGCCATGTGCGGCACGTGGTTCAGACTCTGACACACCATATGAGTCAGTCAATGTGATCTGTTATGACACCAGTTCCCCTACCCCATTGGATTCAAGGCGTCCTGGGCCAAGCTTGGCATAAGCGCTGCCCATTTTCACGGTCATTTGAATTCAGCTTCATTTTCAACCGACCCAATTAACGATATCTGCGCCGGCGCCCGCCGCGCCTCCCAAGCTGACCCCGGTGTTGTCATTGCGGTTTGAATTTCCAGACCCAAAAGGGTTATCTGTCGTGATTGTGGCTCCAATGATGTCCGAACGCTCGTACGCGCCATAGCGGTTGCCATTTGAGGCCGGTTGGTAAGTGTTGGTGTCTGCATTGTAGCGAGTGCCCTCTTTTATCGGCTGGAAGCAGTCACTGCAGAGCTTTGAAACGCCATCGGTGGCTGTGGCAGTGAATTCGGAATTTGTGTTGCCTGTCATGTCTCTGGCGCTCTGCTGGGTCGTCTCCTGCGAAGTGGGCAAGTAGCCCTGGTCGGACAGCTGAGACCTGCTCCTGTCAGTTGAAGCCCCGCTGGCAGTTCCTGATGAGCTGTCAATACTGGTGGTGGCTGATGAAATGTCAGAACTTGTAGTGGCTGAGGTGGTGTCAGTACTGGACACTGCTGACGAGGTGTCATCTCTGGTCACTGGTACTGAAGTGTCCTCTCTGGCTGATGACCCACTGTCGCTGCTAGATGACGAGTCCCTGGATGAGCTGTCACTGGCAGATGATGAGTCACCAAATGAGTCGGCCTGGCGCAGCTGCCGCAAAGCAGACTTGCTCCCTGCATGCAATTCATCCAGATTTATAGTCTGCTCAACCTAGAGGAGCACGAGAAAAAGCAGGGCCAGAATGTTGGTATTATTGTTGTTTTCATTACACGAATCTCCTGACAATAGGCAAGGTACGTCCTGCAGACAAGCTGCAGTTTCAAGCTGCCATAATCCTACCCCTTGTGAGACTCGCCACATCCAAAGAAGACCCAATCAACCGTGGCCACAATGCTCAACATTTATATCACCAGCCGGGGCCAGGGTGTTACAGCTTGCCCAAAAACAAATTGAGCTGCAAAAGCAGGAGCCGAGAGCTTGAGACAACAGCATATTCAGGCACATGGACAGGCAAACAGGATAGATTAAGAAGAAGTGCCTACTAGGTCACTAGGAACAAGTGTCTACACGTAGTACGTGTGGACCACTGTAGTACCTTATCCTACCAGTGAGGCCAACACAGGGATCCTGGCTGCCACCACTGCGAAATATGATGCTTCTACTACCTGATATTCAATGTATAACCTGCATTATTGCGTTGGAATATGTTGTGGGCGATCTCACCGTGCTGGTTTACGGCTGAGGCGGATGCTCCCAAATTTTCAACCGTGATTCCTCCTGTACCCAGCGCAGACAAAGGCTTCATTCAAGACTTTGAACAGCCTCTGCCTCAGCCTCCAGCACGCGGATGCCTTCCTAAATACGCTAATATAGTTGGGCATAGTGAGAAAATTTACCATGTCGTGCCGACACCGTGTTCACAGTCATTGTGACGCACAATACCACGATCACTGTGGCAATTCTACCACGAATGGCCATCGTGCCGCTGTACCAGCAGGCTTCCTGCACCGACAACCTCAAAGGCTCAGCAGTTGCCTTGTCAGTGTCAAAAGTAAGAGACTGCTAGATACGTGCTTTGCTCTGGCACATCATCTGTCTGGATTAATTACACATCTTGGTTGTCGTGAAATTTGCACTCAGTTGTGTCCTTGACGCTGCAAGTCGAGCAATGCGCGGTGCCGGCAATGCGCGTCAGCACCAACCGCTGAACCGGAGCTTAGATGGGAGGACACTTATCACTCAAATTCCACTTGAGTCTCCTTTCCACCCATTCGTGTGGTAAGAATACATAAAGGGAAAGCGAACTGCCCAACCCGGACAAGCAGCCTCACAACATAACAAGATGTGTTGGAAAGCGGGGTGCCACAAGATGTGTTGGAAAGCATGATGCGCGTCAGCACCAATTTCTACATCCGAGCTTGCAAGGAGACTGTATACGTCCTGCTGAGTTTGCATGATGTATCCAAGAGACAGGGAGACAGAAGGAGAAAGCGAGACTGTCCTAGCGGCCTCAAAACAAGTTGATTGGGAAGCGGTGATGATCACCTGTTTCGGGCACGGCGTGATACCTCAGCTGATACTGATGCCCACGACTAAGTTTCCTGGTGCCCTCTTTTATTACCAAAACTGGACTTGCGTTGAAGTAGAGCAAGCAAGCCGCTTTCCCGCCTGTGACGCGCCCGTGCTGAGTCATCAGCCGTCATAGACCATGCATGTGACCTTGCCCGTGACATCAGCAAGGCCTTCCCACCTTGATGTTCACCCGCCACGCACACAATTGTTCGCCTTGCGCGTACTTTATACAGCCGATATCCAGTAGAGTGGGGCATCGACGGTCTTCAACTACAAGCTTCCTGCATTGCCAGGGTGCCTGCTCCCTTCCAGGTCTGCCCGCATGCCGGAAGCAAATTGTTCCCCAACACCTTGAGTATTCGCCATTGTCCCGTGCACGTTGATATTGGCGGCTTTCGGACAACTTCGATACCAGAATGCCAATTCTCTGAAGAGTAATCGTATGAATCTGCAAGAGGGCTGCCTCTATATTTTATCCATTCAACCCTGAACTTCACGGCCCGTGGAATCTGCAATCTTCAAGAGGGTCAATTTGCTTGAGACAGAACGTGAAGAAGATTCAGTATACCCTTCTCATGGCTGCAGGCGGTCAGCATGGGCACATCATTGTCGCAGAAGGCCTTGATGGCTGCAGCAGCTTTGATCATCTGCACTGCAGCAAGTGCAGATACTGGCCCGGTGAGACTCCCTTCTCCTTCTCCTCCATTTTAGTATGAATGCACTGACAGGGCATCTGGGCCTTCTCGTGTCACATCTGAGAGCCATGCACCTTTTGGACTCATAGTCCAGGTCACATCTTAAACCATACTTCCAAGATGTTCGGGGAAACCTCCAGCAAATCACACGCACTGCAGCCGAGTCAGGTCCTCCATCAATCTGCAAGTCTTAACAACCCTAAAATCGAGCTCCCTTTGTCATGCACAGGCCTTCAGCCTGTCTCTGTTGGGCAACAATGCCGAAGTGGATCTCTCCAAAGTGCTGGCCTCCTCCTGGACAGTCCCGAGCCTGTGTGCTGCCGCAACTTACACCCTTTCTGGCGCCTACTCCCTGGTGGGGGTCTGCACAGATGACCCACCCTTCACAATCACAGTCAGCGTTGATGGCAACGCCATCTACAGCCCCACAGGGCTGGCAGACAATTTTACTGTGCCAATCCCAGCCAGCATCACTGAGCAACCAGGTGTGCAGATCACTTCACTATTCTTTAGAAAGAAACTCGGTTCTTGCATCTGCTTCCCAATGATTGAAAGGGTAGCAAAGCAAAGATTGCTGCCAGCCACACGTGTGGACATCTGCAATGAAAGTGTTCCCCGGTGGTGTGAATGCATGCATTACCTGCATGCCGGACATGCCTTGATCTGCATGCTTCCACGGGCATGCACCTGCGGCTTCACAGCTGCTGCCTGACTCTAACCCATCAATCGAAAGCTCTGTAAGCCTAGAATCCAGATAGACCTGGACGCCATAATTAGACAGGGATATATCTTGATGTGTAGGCAAGCCTGGCTCAGTCTGTTGACCACTGACTTGAACTGCTGTGCTGTGCGCTGCGTAGGGAGCCACATGTTTTCCATTGTCTTCAGTGGAGGAACATACAGCAACAGCGCCTCTTGCGCGGATGTGCTCGGCTTTGGACTTCCATCCAACAGTCTGAAGGTGTCGGTGGTCAACTGCACTGACACCTCAGCTACCGGCAATCTTCCAGGCAGCACCGCGGCTGCAGCTGCAGGAGATGCCGCCACGACCGCAGAGGGCGTTGACATTTCTCCAGTCACCCTCTCCAAAACGGTATGCCTGCCACTGGCTGCAGCTTGTTCAAGAGGCGTGATGTATTAGTACGTCCAATACTACAGATGTGCTCGCCAATGTGCGACCACAATTAAGTAGCCTGCCCAAATTGCAAATCGAAATGCAGAAATGGTTGCTGGGCAATTCGTAGCACCAGCAAATTCACATAGCTCGGCAGCACGCTGCAGGATCCTTGCGGCTAGGATTGTTTGCAGCTTCTAGGAATGCTATGAGAGCCATCTTTATTGTTGTTGTTCCCATTTGGCAGAATCCGTTGAGGTTATCCTCATGGTGACTGGCCTCCCTGACGTGGAGCAACCCCGAGCTCAAGGTTATTCCCCTTGATACTAGGGGAAATAATAATGTGTCAGCCAACCGACCTCAGATGAATTTGCCTTTGTGATCATATGGCTCGGCGGAATATGTATAACGGGCACCCCTGAGAGAAGAGGTAATGAACAATACCAGGGGTGATACACAACAAGGTTATCAGGGTCGATCGGCCTCGCAGTACCTAATTTGTGCAGCACAGCCATTGTCTTGCTGTCAGCACACAGTCACCCTAACCGGCAGCTGGATGCACCAAAGCTGGTAACGGACAATGTGACTGGAGCCGTATGCAACTCTTGCAGCCTGTCAAACTGCAGGTTTATGCCCCATTGATTATCATTAATAGAATTTGATTTTCATTGCATGCAATGGTTAGATTGCTGGAAGTGAGGTCTGGTGTTGCGTGCAGAATCTGCAAGACCGGTTGATGGCACACAAGGTGCACATTGAAGACAGTGTGGAGCGCGCATCAGAAGCGGCAGCTGAGTACGTTCGGCAGCAGTTCGGCTAGGAGCAGCCCAGCTGCTTCTAAAAAGTGCATCTTCGGTGCTGTGTGCAGTGCTGAGTCAGCACGCCAGGCACATCAAACTAGAAATAAGGCCGCCTTGGCCGGAGCAATTGACCCCAGCCCACTAAATGCTCAAATCCTGTCGTGGCTTCCGGTGGATCAATGCCGGGCTGAGCCAATAACCAAGACCCGGCTGCTTGCAGCGCCGATAACCCCTCAACTCCCTTTATTCCCTGTTTATAATTTTATCTCCCCATAGGGTTGCCACTGGCAGGCACGCCCTCAGTCTGACATGGTACAGAGTAGCTGGCTGCAGAACAGTTTCCCCTTCCAGACTCTCTTCCTAGATATTTCCGTTTACAAACCCACGTTAGGTCGAGGCTTGAGTCAGACTTCACCGCGGCGGTTTTGAGGTTGACACATGTACGCTGCAAATAGCTCTGTAGCTACTAATAGTTGGACAGCTTGGGGCAGATGATTGCTCTCTGCAAACGCATGCATCCCGATCGGAGTAAGCCATTTATGTCTGGCTTTCTTTTCATAAAGGCCCTGAGGCACACGGTGGCATGCTGGAAAAAAGTGCTTCAAGGGCATGACAAGGCTTTGATGCACTCTTTCCAGCCTCCAATAAAGCACCCTAACACTGGACTCTGCTGGTCCAGCTTTTTATTGTTACGGTGAGGTGAATAGGAACAGGCAGTTGCGGGCGCACTGCACTTAAGTGAGAGGCCAACGGCTCCTGCTCACGTTCTGTATATAGAGAGTATTGAGGCTGCAAGAACATGCATAGTGTCACATGAAAGTGTGTCAAACCCACTAGAAATAAATTTAGTGGCAGAGGCCCTTTGGGCAGGGTTGTGAGGCTATGACTGACACTATGTTACTAAGAATAGTCATTGTAGCACTGACTTGATAATTTTTCATGTTCTGCAAAAGTTGACGCAGCACCATTGGCAGTCACAGAATCTAAATAGATTCTGTGACTGCCTATAGGCACCTTAGGATGTATGCTGAGGTCAACCAACGTGGCACTAGAAAATCAAACAGTGGCCCACCATATCACGGTTGTTCACAAGTCTACTTAGCTGGAAGAGAAAATTAGAATTTGAGAGTACTCGAGATAGATTAGCATCACAGATCGCCATCATGTCAAAGTATATCGCTGTCATGACTGATCAGCCAGGCTGTCCTTACGCATGTAAAATCATCTGAGAAGTTTCATTTCCACGGTACAAAGTCTGCATGCAAGACGCATAAAGGCACTCGATCAAAGTCAAAGACACGCAACCAAGAAACACATCTCAACTTTTCGAGAGCAAATCAGTGCGGTAGAAGGAATGCTGGTGTTATCCTGGTAGTATATCATTTGGCGCCTTCTTGTCACAGCATCAACAGCCATCCAGTGGGTGTAAACCACGCCGGTATAATTGTTCTCACAGGCACAGCTGCTCGGAGCTTACCGTTAAGTGAGCTGACATTGTGCCACAGTAGCAGCAGCACACACGCCTGAAGCTGCCTGCAGACAATAAGACATGACCCCCTCCCTGAAGACCTGTGTCTGTGCCCACTTCTTTACTCTGGCTTTTAAGTCTTAAAAGTAGGTAGGCAACCATCATCTGCCATAGTTTTGCAGATGTCAGCTTTACAGCTCTGCTGCCATTGGCTGCGTGGCATAGTCGCAGGAATTTGCGCATTCAGCAGAGGGTGCTGCAATTCGAAGCTTTCAAGAAGATGCCATCTCCAAAACTTGACAGCGTGCCAGCATTCAAGCATATGCCAGCGCAATGCAATACTTCGCTTGAGTGATGACCACTTTGTGCTTTCTTGACACCCGCAACAACCTGAACTTACAAAGCTCAGCTTTGAAAGCTGACTCAGTGACATAGCAGTCCCTGTATGCCATGAAGGTACATACCCCCTTCCAGATCGACCAGAGGCCATCAAATTTTGGACCCACCATAAGGGCGCCCAGCTTACACTTTTGCAGGGTTTCAAATATGAAGATTTTAGCGGCCGAAGCTGACGTAGCAACCGCCCCCAGAGCAGCCGGCGCCAAAGCCGCCCCAGCCCACACTCAACGATTTTGTGACACTTGTTGGAGACAGCGCCTGTTGCAACACGTTTCATCTATTTTATGCTCACATCAGCATGCAACTTGCCCTTTATACTAGCATTCACTGATGCAGAATCATGCAAGCTGCAGCCTGCACTGCAATGCATGGTACTCAGTTCATTTTTTTGTGACCACAATGCCCCAGAGCAGCTCGTCAAGTTGAACGCCATCAAATTCACAATGGGCGAAGGAACAGTTCACATCAAGAGGCTGGTGATTACTGTTCTAATATATCTTTAGTCCTCAGTAACCAGATGACCTCGAGACGGGGCACCAAAACACAGCATGCATAGCAGGGTTGCGAGATGGCAAGCATGGCTCGGGCAAAGGCGCACTTGAGGCATTTGAGAGACGGGATATATCTCATGCATACCTGCTCGGTGGAGTCTATGAATAGCGCAGTGTCTGTCAGCGCCAGGTTTGGCTCCATGGCAGTGATCAGGGCTGCAGCGGCGTTCCTACCGCCGCGCTCGGACGCCACCGCACTCGTCGCGCCCCCAGACAGCTTCAGGGCGGCTTCTGGATTAGTTGCATTCGGAGTTATCACCCGTACCATGAAATCCAGGACCTGCGGGCACAGAAAAGTCAGGCGGCCAGCCTTCATCTTCATTGTATATACTGCAGTAATTTGTCTTACTACTTGAGTTCCAAAAGGGAGCATCCTAGGCGTGGATCTGAAGCAATTACGTGGGGGGCTGTGCTTTGACTGCAGAAGACAGTGTCAGCTGAATAAGTATTTTGCAGGCTATCTCCTGCAGTCTTGGCAGATCCTGCCACCTTCCACTACAGCTATTTAGGTTGCCGCCCTCACAGGTCTCAGGTATTAAAATGTATTAAGGTGTGATTGTTCAAGAACTTGTGACAAGGTCAAACTCAAGCCTTCTCAAAGATCAGGGCAGGGGCGCACATCTGTGGTTGGGTCGTAGCTGGGCGCATTGAGGGACAGCAGAACTGCCTTGTACTGCCCGGTGGCAGATATGCCATACAAGACGGCGTCGGGGGCGCCGAGCCAGTCCCCCTGGAGGTTAACGTAACGACCCCCTAGGGTTCCGTTCATGAAGTAGGGCATGCTGATGATGCCCGTGCGAGCGCCTGCAAGGGAAGAATATCGCACTCCAATCAAAGCTGACATTTGAAAAGTCACATGCAATAATGCAAGGAGGCGCTGATGGTGTGCTTTAGCGGCTTTCTGTCAGCGCTGTCAGCACTGTAACACTTCAAAGTCTGACATGCGGTCCTGCAAATGAGAAGCAGATTGCTACAATCCGAGAGCAGTGCAGGAAATTGTGTCTGCACTTAGGGGGGTAAAGGAATAGAAAATGCAAGAGTTTTGAGAGATCCCCAGATTGCGACACTCACCAGCCCCATTGAATTGGACGGTGGATGTGACATTTGCCAGCTGGAGAGTATTGATTGAGGCCAACGTTGCCTGCACAGTCAGGGAAAAGGGTTGGTGATTCGCTTGCAATCTGACGCCTAGATCAATGCAAACATGAAGACAACCCAACAATCGAGCGTGGGAAATTGGCTACTCTCAGACTGCTACTCAGATAGAATAGAGCTGCAAGCAATTCTCTTGGTTCCTCAGCGATGTGTCACCTACCTTGGCTGCTGACACAATGAATATTATGTCAGATGCGGGCGCTGTGCTGTTTTCTGATGCTGAGCGCAGCACGCTGATCTTTTCAGCATTTGCAGACCCTGCAAAAGCACACGACACTGCCGCAATCACTTCCGCCGGCAAACATTGCTTCTCTTAGGACAGAAAATCAGATAATATAACACACTGATTCAACAGCATCTGCACTGCAAAAGCATTCCTGGAGGTGCATGGCATTGCGATCTGTTGGGCTCGAGATCCTGCCATCCCATATTGTATTGCGTCCACTGTTCCGGGGTATTACCCAAGGCTGTGTAAAGAGCAAAAATACACGCCGCAATGACCAGGCGCCCCGAACTCATCGCGATCTTGTTCAGTGTCCGCGTAACCTTTGCTGGCGACACAATCCCAAGTCCGATCGTTCCTTTCCTTCCTTGCTAGAATTCTATATCTGCAACAGAAGGTAGGATGTTATTCACACAGCAAAACCGATCGCTCAGGTTTTCAGGAACTGTGGCAAGCTAGGCAGGGTTCGGTCGGTCCACCTTCAGCGTTCCGATTGCGTAGCAACAGCAATACAGCGGGATTGAAGAGCCGCAAATATGAGGAGCTGGCTCCCATGTGTTGAAGGATGCGTTTATGCCGCTTGATGTGTTTCAACAGTCAAAGATCAATTTCTTCGCGATCTTCATCGAGTTATTAAAACATGACGACGGTTAGAAGCTTCCAATTAAAACCCTGCAGGTCAGCTGATACCCTTTCATCATAGGTTATTGAGCAAAGCACCAGGAAGGCCAATTGTGTAAGACAATTAGAAGGAATGTGTATAGAGTCTATTTGTGACACATATGATGGCCATCACCTACTACATGTAAAGAGCCGGGTGCTCTCCTCGCCTCAGCTGATGTGTCCTTGCACATCGTGCAGTAAACAGTAAGCACATTTAAGGGAGTGTCGTGGCGCTGCAGTTTCTGCTGGATTAATTCATGAGAGTACTTGAGAGGGACGACTAGCTTCTGCAGCAAGGCAGATGACGATCCCCTCCACTGAAACACTTGGCTTCCTTATGGTCTGCAAGCAGCTGTCTTGCTGGAGCATGAATGCGAATTTTTTTGATAACTGACTTTTCTTGCTCTCTCAGAAGTGGGTTAAAGAAATCTGCGTTGTTTCCAGCTTCGCTTCTTGTTGCGAGGGTATGATTAACCTTTATGGAGTTCTTAGAGTAGATGTTCTGAAAAGACTGTCTGCGAATTTTACAGGGCTTCAGCGTGTGGTCAAAGCTGCTGGGCACCCCATGGGTGGCTCTGAAGGGTTTCACAAGCAAGATAGGAAAGGCTATTCCAGGGAGGACAGAGGCAGCAGCAGGTCTGTCGATCCTCCTCGCAGAGACAGGGATCGAGGCGGTGGTAGCGATAGGTAAGCTTGCTTATTGCTATAATATCTTGGATCATTTCACGATTTTGGAAAACTTTTCTCGTTTCCGGCCTGCAGGAGCAGTCAGCAGGGCTCTTTCATGTGAGACCAGGGGGCTTCTTTGCCATGCCAGCGACATCATAGTTAATGGGCTGGTTGGAAGTGGTTCACTACTGTCAGACAGGTTTGTTGCTATATGCAGGGTGAGGAGTGCCCAGCAGCTTGACAGAAGGGATGAGCGGGACAGGACTGCTCACCCATCAGGCAGACGGGACGACAGGTGACTTTCACCAGTGCCACCGCTCTTGCCTGCCACAGCTCCTTACACCTATTGGTCTTTCTTCTTCAAACAGCATCTGTGCTACCTCTTATGTCCATATGTGTATTCTATGTGTGTTTTGTCTTGCAAACCTGTATCTGAGCTGTGCATGATCTGTCATGTCACTATTGCCTTTCTGCAGACATCATGTGCGCTACGCCTTTTGGCTGTATCCTACACACTTTTTGTATTGCAAGACCTGTATTTGATCTCTGCATGTCCTGCCATGTCACTATTAATTCCTGGAAAATCTCTCTGAGGTCGATTTTCGATATATGAAAGGTACGAGAAGCTGCGCTCGCCGCCGAGAGGACCACTGTCTGGACGCGGCCCGCCGCCGCCGCATCCGCCGAGGAGGGAACGCGACGGACGCGATCCTCAGGTACTGAAAATTGTCTGGCTGCTGACTTGCACTGCTTATCATTTTCCAGCTACGACCTCCTCTGTCTGCACCTTGCTGCATACTGATCCCTTGCAGCAATGTACTCTGTACGGCCTCAAGAAGACAGGGCTCAGTTCTTGATCTGCTATAACCCCTCACAGCTGTGCAATTCCTGCATCTATTCCTGCAATTCCTTCTTGAGAAGACATTCCCTGATCTCTGGTAGGTCAACGTAAGTTGAGGCCTCACGACACTGCACCATACAGAGTCTCCAAAAGACATGCTTTATTTGTTGTCTCAACATGGAGGGATGTTTTTTCTTGCTCTCAACAATGCACCATGCATAGCCGACTAGATGACATGCCTCTACATGACAAGCCCTTTTTGTGGTTCTACGAGTGCACTTTCCACCTCGCAGCCATGCACCCTACACAGGCTAAAGCCATGCTTTATACATGATTCTTAGCCGGAGGAATACTCCTTTTCTGCAGGATCCGCGGAGGCCGGCGTCGGCACGCGGCGAGGCCGAGCGGCCGGGGCCGCCTGGGCCCCCCGGCCGGGGCGGGGGGATTGCGGGGGCCTCACCGTCGGTGTTGGGGGGCGCCAGTGGAATGCTGGGGGACCTGCGACGCATCGCGGCGGAGCGGCTGGCCGCCGAGCAGAAGGCCAAGCGCGACGCTGAGCGGCAGCGGTCCCCCCCTGAAGACGGAGAGGTACAATCTTTTAGGCCTGAACTGGGATAGTGATTGGCGTTGAAGATGGCATGCTGCAGGTCTAGGTTTGATACTGTGTGGGTGTACGGCGCTCTGCAGGCAATCTTCAAATGCTCTGTTCAGGGAATGGGAAGCTTATTCGTTACCATATAGCATGTTGTCCTGGGGGTCAGGTGTGCGGCAGCGCATGATGGTGGTTGCGCTGCGCTCTGCATACACTTCCCATGTTCAGAGCGGCGAGTGTGGCCACAGCTGAGACTGTTGGGTCTTGGCTTGTTAAAGATACGATGGTGGTCATTCTCTAGGTTGCACATGCATTGGGAGGCCAGGACCTGCTGACTGCCTCATCTGCTTGTGCAGCAATGATCATGGCCACATTTGGTTCTTGGAAACTTGTGGAAGCCCCTGATGGCTGGGAAGTTTGCTGACAGTAGGATCCTGGACATGCCTCCTGGCAGCGTGGCCGTGATCTGTGAAGTTCGTGCCACCAAGTAGAAGCAGGGGCCTTTCACCTGTACCGCAATTCTCAACTGATAGCAAGAAGCAAAAAGGCATTCTGAGCGCAGAGCCGGGCGCAGGAGAGGGAGGAGGGCGAAGCCGAGCCTGAGGAGTTGGCGGCCGGCCACAAGAGGCACGCCGCAATCGTGTGGCGCACACCGCCCAAAAAGACGCGCCTGGAAGAGGGAACGCACAGCTCCGTGACGGCCTCGCCGCCCAAGAGTGAGCGCCCGCCCCCAGCCGCTTTTATATTTACACTTAGGAAAGTGAAGTTGCTTAGCTATGAGACTCTTGTGGGAGACATGCAGTGCTGAGCGTGCATAGGGGTCTGCAATCACGCAGGCTTTTATGTAGACCCTCTCTGTTGTCAGCGCTGGTCGCACGCTCCCTTCTGCAATTTTGCAATAACAGATAAATCTGCCTCATCTGATTAGATCTCCATCTTTGGAAAGTCGCTGGTTCTGCTGTGAAGTGTCATTTACTCCCACATCTTTCGTTTGATCTAAACACCCGATGCGTGCAATACTGACAATCATGTTATTCTCTACTATCTCTGTGTGATCTTGGACTGCTTCAGGTGTCTTTGGTGCGCATACAGATTCAAGCCGTCTTGTGAGGCATGGGTTGCCAAGAGCAGTCGCTCATCTGTTGGGCAGAACCCTACTTTAGACCACTACCGTTTGCATTCAGATGTGCAATTCCCGCAATCCTGTAAACTTCTGCTGTCACGATATGGATTTGAAAGCGTTACGGAATATTTGGTGCGCAGGGCCGGCGGCCATGACGGCTGCAGAGCGCGCGGCAGCCGAGCTGGAGGAGTTTGCAAGGCAGAGCCATGCTGACGTGGACCCACATGCGCCGCCAGCTGTCAAGTCGTCGCCCTCCGTATCCGGCGAGGACCACGGTGAGTCACGGTCCTTACATGGATCACCTCATCGATTGATCCATGTCATGCAGTTCTTGGGTCTCGGCTTGGCTTATGTCATACTCTTTTCTGTGCATACGATTGCACATGCGGCACCAGAGCGGGCCTGTCTTGGACTTTGGGCATTGATTCCTCGTCGGTTTTGCTGGTCTGCCGAGCGTGCGCTGACGGCTCAGTAAAAACGCATTGCACGCTGCGCAGACAATGTGGTTGTTAGCAAATTGATACGGGGTAAAAATCGATGACCTGCACACATCAGTATCAGATTGATCATGCTGCCTGCGCAGACCTGGCGGGTGACCAGGCGGGTGAGGTCGGCAGTGGGGAGCCGCGGCGACCCGCCATGTCATCGCGCTGGCTGGACGCTGACCTGGAAGAGGACCCCAACGCTGACGAAGTTGGCAAGGTGCGCACTTTCTATGCTCAGCTAGATGTGGTGGGTTTGAGCTCACAATGGCGCAAGGCAGAGCTGGGTTGATGCTTCTTTTGCCAGTGTTTGCATGAGCGTATGCAGGGCATGGTGGAAGTCTTCCCGGCTCATGTTTGCCGATGCCTGGATCCTACCTTGATCGGCCTCTTGTCAGAAGGCATTTTTAGGATCTAATGCCAGTGTTCTGCGCAGAGACAAGTTGCTTCTGGTCTAGCCAAGACTATGCCGGTAGTGGGGTTACATGGGGCTTGGATCTTGGCCAACAACACTGCCATGTCTCCTCTTGCACACGGTCAAGCGCAGTCACGCGTTCCCGAGCATTCATCACTGCTTGGCCGTGTGCGAGAAAGCTGTGTCAGCGCTGTAATGGCAGGTCCATTACCTGCCACTCGGATGCATCCTGCATTCCTCTGGTCAGTAGTAACCAGATGACCTCAAGATGCGGCACCTTCTTACAGCATGCATAGCAGGGATGTGTAAAAGACAGGCCTGGCTCGGTCAATGGGGCACTCCAGACATTTGAGCATTGAGAGACAGGACATGGGCTGACATCCGATAACCTGCCTGGCATATTGTACTGACATAAAGTCACGCCATGTGACAGGCAATTGTGGAGGTAAAGGCGGCAGCAGAGGAGGAGGCTACACCGCCGGATGAGGACGAACCCGACGACACGAGTCTGGATGGGGTGACTAATGCGGGTCCCCCCGGGCGCCACATCAGCATGCTGGCCAGCTGCCGCCGCGTGGAAGAGTACGAGAAGCTGAACCGCATCTCTGAGGGAACCTACGGCGTCGTGTACCGGTGAGCGCCGCTGGCTCTAGGGGTTGCACCTTGGATAAGGACCAGGGTAGATGGCTGATGATACATGAGAAAACAACGCTGCATTGCTGTGGCCGTATATGGAGGGCAACGGCCGTGCAGCCTTGTGTATGTTGTGCCTTGATAAGGTTGTCAGTCACATACAAGAGAGGACTTGCTAGGCTTGCCAGGCACAGAAGACCCAACGATGAGCACCTCCTTGTGCACCGCATGCTGCTTTGCCGGGAGGCATTCAATATCCAGGCAGCTGCCATGCATGGCCTTTGTCCTCTTCCGCTGCTGGGTAGAGCTGTTTGAACACTGAATTTCTTTCGAGTAGAGTGGCATGCACTGCCAAACTACCGCATCATGACTTTATCAAGTCGGCATGCACCAGGAAGCTGCTGCGTGCCATCAGCAATGCCTTCCATGTTTCAGATTCACCACCCCATGCTCACGGGCACCAAGAATCTCTTCAGTATTCCCAGCACTGCCTGGTATGTCCTGCTAGAGTGTGAAGCTTCTAGAACAAGGCTCAATTTGAGCCGTTGTTGCGGCAGGGCGCGGGAGAGGACTACGGGTCGCATCTGCGCGCTGAAAATGGTGCGCATGGAGAAGGAGAAGGAGGGCTTCCCGCTGACTTCCATCCGCGAGATCAACATTCTGCTCAGCTTCCACCACCCCAACATCGTCGACGTCAGCGAGGTCAGCGCCCAACTCACCCGCTGACATCAACTGATTTCAAAATTACGACATAATGGGCTGGAACAGAGGACCCCGTGGCGGGAACTGTCCATTGCTTTTAGGCTGCAGGCATGTCTGTTTATATTCATGCCAGAAGTGATCAGAAGGTGCATGTCTGATCCTGGCGCTGTCGTAGCTTGCCTGATTCCATCCTTGCAGCAGATTGCTGACATGGAAGGCTGAAGAGCCACTTGCAGCATCAGAGGATTGTATAACTGCCGTCCCGGTCTTGATGGGCTCATAAATCTCATTCGAAGGGCGTTTCTCATCTAGTGACCTTGGCAGCGCTGTGGGGCAGTCAGGAAGGTAGCTGGAGGCAACACCGCTGTTCAGCTATTCAGCAGAGTTCTGGAGTCTGGTGACACTTGGATGCTTGCAAACTTAAACAAAGACAACAAACCGCAACCAAAAGATAAAATGTAAAAAAATATTGAGAGGGAACACCGGTGCGCAGGTGGTTGTGGGCAGCAAGCTGGACGACATATTCATGGTGATGGAGTACATGGAACATGACCTCAAGGCCCTCCAGGACTCCATGTCCAAACCATTCACCGTCTCCGAGGTAGGCTGCTGTTGGCTTCTGCCTTATCAATACTACTCTGCGGGTTCACTTTGAACATGCATGTTTTCAGAGTTTGCCATTTCGCATACTCATTGCCATGGGGCCTTGGGGCACGGGGCATTTCACAAAAGTGCTGGATGTCTAAGAAAGAAGTCGGAACCATTTTTTTGCGTCCGAGAATATCTTTGTCGTGATAGCTAGGTCTCTGCAAAATGCAACCTAGCTTTCACCGCAAAGTTCTTCATGATCACAGAAGAGGCATCCCATCACCCGAGTGTATATTTTTATTTTATCTGCATTGCAGCCACAGAAAGCGCCTCCAGCATCATTCAATGTAGGCTGTCGTAATTGCAACTCATAGGAATCGGGCATCTCATAGCCAATCACATCTAACAGGAAATGTGCATCTGATAGGCAATCACATCCATTAGGAAATAGGCATCTACAAGAAATTGCGGCTCACGGGAAACAGGCATCTGACAGGAAATTAGTTCCAATGGGAAATAGGTGTCTAATAGGGATGTGCGTCTTATATAAAATTAAAATGTCTGACACAGCAAATCGCTCGCATGTGCGCAGGTGAAGTGCCTGATGCGCCAGCTGTTTGCAGGCATCGCCTACCTGCATGACAATTGGGTGCTGCACCGAGACCTCAAGACCAGCAACATCCTCTACAGCAACCGCGGAGAACTCAAGATCTGCGACTTCGGCCTCGCCCGCCAATTCGGGTCCCCCCTGCGCCCCTACACCCACAACGTCGTCACCCTCCACTACCGCGCCCCCGAGTTGCTGCTGGGTGAGTGACCATGACTCACAAGTGACTAATATGCATCAGGTCAGTGAGGCAGTGGGTGACTCATGTGTGTGGCACCTTGTACAGCGCCTCTGAGCTGCTGCTGGGTGAGTCAACCCTGCACAGCTTCCCTTCTCTGCCGCCTGTTTGGCGCGCACTAGATTTGGCAGATGCCGCATGCATGCTTGCTCAGCTTCGACTGACTGGGCACATTTCCTCCAGTACCTCTATATTGCCGGGTTTGAATCTAATCTTGCGGCAAGTTTGAGTCTGGCCTGTGCGACGCTCAAGCATCTCCAGCATGCAGTGATTCCGAGTTTGGAATGCATGGTGACATCATGAATGTCTTCCAAACCCAACTGATGGTGCAGCAAATTGAAGGATGTGCGCATGTGGGCTGCAGGCACTGAGATGTACTCCACGCCGATAGACATGTGGTCGTTGGGGTGCATCATGGCGGAGCTGCTCACCAAGGAGACACTATTTGTAGGGGAAAGCAAGAACGGGTCTGAGATTGCCCAGATCAAGAAGATCTTTGACATCGTCGGCACGCCCAGCGAGGACAACTGGCCTGGCCACAAACAGCTCAAGAACATGGACAAGGTGCGGCTGCCTACTTCAGCAATTTGCATCTGGCATAATGCTTCCCAGCTGCAGTGACGCTGGTTCCAGCAGAGAGTGCTATAAAGATGTTTGTGGGTCAGAATTGCATTCTGCTATTTTCTGGCATATTTCATCCCATCGATTATTTTGCACCCCAAAAACAGCCCAGAACAAGGCAAAGAGCACTCGTTTCAGTTGAGGATGCCCAGCAGGCAGTTATGCTTGGCAAGGCTTCTACGCAAGGACAGCTGTGCCTGAGATGCGCGTTGCCCATTTTCATTAAGAAATTCGAGTAGATTGTCACCAAATATCCAAATTTTTTGTTCTTCCGAAAAAACACAGGGAGCCAGTGGTGAGGGGTTTAGCGCTGCGTTCTGTGGGCAGTCAACTTCCTTCCCCCAACCTGAGCTGCCCGACATAGAGGATGGCATGCCTGTGCGCGTTTCTACTTGAATAACGTAAAAGCAACGTTGCTGTGTGCTGTGCGCAGTTCAATTTCATGACTCAGCCGCGCAACCGGCTGCGCGAGCGATTCCCTCTGCCAGGCACAACGCACGACGGCCGGAATCCCCTGTCGGCCGAGGGATTTGCACTGCTCAACGGCCTGCTGCAACTGGACCCCTCTCGCCGCCCGACTGCCGAAGAAGCCCTCAACCACCCTTGGTGCGCCCTGCGTTGCCTCTTCTTTTTTGCAGCCTGGATAGCCCCAATGATTGGAACAAGAAAATTCAACGCTGTGCGTCAGCACATGACCAAGGGTTGGCGGAGGTGAAACCTTGCTTCCTGAAGGGAATAGCGGGGCTTGAAGACCTTTCAGGCTCCGCAGGACGCTGCAGATAAGAACTTGAAGAGCAAAGTGTGGCAAACGTTCCACGTACAACCAAGGGCAACAGCAGGAGCCTTGGAAATAGCATGGGGTGGTTTTAGTGATCCCTGTGGACATCACTCAGCGGCCTGACTTGCCAACTAGCTCCGCCCACTTTCAAATTGCCTCTGTATAATTTAATGTGCAGCAGCGACTTGCTGATTTGCTTCAGGCTTTGAGGTTGATCGTGGCTGCGATTCTTGGTGACCTCAGTCTCGCTGAGCTGTGCCCTGGCATCATCAATGCACTCCACAGTCTTTCTGGTGTTTCAATGGCTGACTCAGTCCCCCTGTCCCTTCTCCTCGCCTAGGATTGGCGACATACCTCTGGAGCGGCAACCCAACATTTAGCCATGTGCGCGCAGGTTCTCGGAGCAGCCACTGCCAAAGGAGCGGGCGCTGATGCCGACCTACCCGGAGAAGGGCCCGGGCAGTCTCCCCAAGCACAAGAGCCAGCCGCAGCTGCGGCCCTCGCCGGACGATCCGGTCCTGAGGGCTGCAGAGCTCGCCAGGTTGTTCTCCAAAAAGTAGCCTGGCGCCTTGTGCAAACATAGTATGCTGCCCTAAGTTGCGGCTGTGCGTGAACAGGCCTCGCCGCGAGAGCCGCAAAACTGCCGCACGCTTCTCAAAGTAGACTTGTGCTTTGCAAGTGCTGTGTCAGGACGAGGCTGTGCAGTATGCAGGGGAGTATGCCAATTTCTCAAGGTAGCCTGGCGCCTTGTGTTAGCAAAGGCTTGCCATCCGCGAATAACTGCTGCGCATGTTGTGATAGGTGACCCCTCCTAGAGGGCATCTGTTTACTGAGGGCCGGAGAATCACATATGCTGCGTTGGAATGCGGCTGTGAGGGAACAGGCAGGTTGTGGTGCATCTTTCAGGAGGTGAGGGTGAGTCAGGGGTCAGGCTGAACGCTGAGTTTGCCAGAGCCAAAGACCCGGCCGTAGGGCTGTGGAGCTCGCCAGTCTCTTCTCAAAAAAGTAGCATGGCGCTTTGGAAGCACAGCAATTGCGCAAGCGCGCTGCGGCGAACTGCGGCTGTGAGTGAGCAGACTGTTGTGTGCAGGCGAGTTCTGTGATGCATGCTGCAGGAGGTGAGTCAGGGCTCAGGCTCAGCAATAGACATGGCCGCGAGGGCCGAAGAACTTGTAATTTGCTGTTTTCGAAAACGTGGCCTGGCGCCTTGCTGGGCCGGGTTGCAGATGTGATTGTACAGAAAGGTGGTGATGCATGCCTTATAAGCTGAGGGTGAGCCTGGGGTGGAGCTGGAGGGTTAGCTTGCCAGACATCCAAAACGTCGGAGTAAGGGCTGCCATATTTGCCAGCCGAATTTTACAGTAGCTTAACGCCCTGTGCAAGCCAGCTGTATGTGAACAGGACATGGGAATTTTATTCACTCTAGCTCTCAAGGACCGTGAGGACTCCTCACAGGTCTACTTTTAGGATGGGGTAGCCAAATCCGAGTCAAAGAGCGATCTTGGATTAAGCTTTGTCTCGCAAAGGGTTGTAGGAGAATGAGAGCTTTCAGGAAGGGAGCAAATCACACACCAACTCACCTCGCATTAGTTTTGGGCTGCATGCTTTGGAGATGAAGGGTGTGTTGAGCTGGAGGGTTAGTAACTGACCCTGTTCAAAGGACATTACTGTCATTTGAGACTTGTAAATATTACAACTGTGATGCAAGCGAATGTTGTATCAGCCAGAACCAAGGCCTTGCCTAGCCCTCGTGCTTTGTTAGCAGTGACCACATCGGTCTGACATTCCTGCCAATTTTCTAGTACTCGTCAAAAAATCGAATCCGCATCTGCTTTTAGGAGCATCCAAAGTATTTTTTCGTTGGGAAATCAAAGGCTACCCCGTCCTTTCCTGGCTCTTAATGCAAAGTAATAAGTGGTACACAGGCCATGTCACATAGTACATGGCACACCTCATAATCAATTTCCCGGACGGGGAAGGCGATAGCATCGAAGACGATGGACCTTCGGATGTATCATCTGAAAGTTTCCATTTCTCGAGCGCGTCAGAGGATGGGTTCCTTCTAGAGGATGGGGACGAGCGAGGTGAATACCCCTTTGCAAGGCACCATTACTTGGCATAGCGAGAGAGAGAGAGTGAATTTATTCGTCACATGACGTCTCCACACATATTATCGTCACCTTTATAATGCACAATGTCGAATCGACGCTCTTCTGCTGTTGCAATGCAGCCGTGGTGCCAATGGATCCCTCCCTAGCAGGGCTGCACACCTACCTGGGAGGTAAGCATATCTGATCTGTTTACGTGACACGAATTGTAATTACCGGACCACTGTGCCTGATTCCTAGCGTGATTTTTTTAATCCTGCACACAGACTGCGAAGACCTGGCCCACTCAGATGCGACGCTTGAGGACGCTCACGTCTGCCAGCTGCCTTTGCTGACATTCCCTGGTGAGCACAGCAGCCCAATTCCTCTCACAACGCCCAACAATCCGCTGGGCACTCAGGCCGTTGCATATGTTGAAGCCTGTCCTTTCCCTTGCTACACTGGCATTCTAAACTCACAAGTGCCGGCCATGAATGCCATTCCACAGCGCCATCATTGAGACATGAAGTCAAGCTGATAATGCAGGCTGTGCACAGCATGAACAAGACCATGAACGGACATCCATGCGTGCTTGTGCACGCATGACTAAGGCATGTGTGCATGCATGCAGATGTGGTGGTGATGCCTGGGTGCACGCTGCCGCTGCTGGTCAGCAACAGCCGCGCACACTGGGTCGTGGAGCAGGCCCTCGCGGCACCCGCCCCCTACAAATGCCTCATTGCTGTGGTGCGGCACATCAACAGACTGTCAAGCCTTCGTAGTATATTGAGTGTCCTACATAGATACCTGTCCAGGGTCTCGAACTCAGCTTGTTGTGACCGCTCGAGTGCCTGTCCTGTTCCTTCCTTGTCGACTCGAGCGCGTCGTGCTGAACTTTGAAGGTGCTCAGTCCTCTGGAGGACAAAATCGTAGCGGGTGCAACCCTGCTCTGTCGCCCTCAGGCCCAGTCATCGCAGGGGAATCTGAAGGACTGGGGGGTCCTGAGAAGTACCTCTGGCAGTGAGAGCTGAAGTTTGATTGATGCAGGTGTTCAGCCAGCAGCGGCGAGTGGAGCATGGGCAGGTCGGGTGCACAGCGCTTCTGAGGAAGCTGCAGCGCGAGGACAACGGCATCTGGCCATCCACCCTCAAGGTCATCGCCGAAGGTGAGCCATGCATCTGGCAGCGCAGGTGCGCATGTGCCTCGCAGTGCTCTGCAGGGGAGCTTCTCCTGGACTGCGCTTCCCGTTCCATTCATTCTCGGTTGTGGCGTCAACCTGGAAATCTTAAGGGGGCTTGCAACAGGCTTGGACCAACAGCGTCATGACCCGCATCTGTGTCATGGAGCTGCTGTGCCAGAGCGATTGATGGCTTGGTTTTCTCTTCAGATTGCACGTCAGATCTCTGAAAGCAGCTACATTCTGGGAAGTTTTCTTGCCAAAATACTTCAAACCAAAGCCTTCGCCTGTATATTATTTCTAGAGAAGCACTTGGCCCACGAAGCCACAACGAAGAAGGGAGAATTGAAAACGGCGTGTCCTGCCCCGCAGGCTGCCAGCGGTTCGAGGTGGTAGAGGCAGCTGATTCCCAATCGACGGAGCTGCGATGGCACGTGCGGATCTGCGCGGATTCCCCGTTGCCGCGGCTGCCGCGCGAAGTCGCCCGGGACGGTGCCGCGCACTGGGCGCCGTGGGCGTGGCGCGCATGCGACGCCTGGGGGCTCGCTGACGCCGCTCGGCAGCTCTTCTCAGAGATCGCACCCGAGGTAGGAGGGCCCTTCCCTGCCCCATTAAAGCGGATTCAAATCCAAAGAACTGGCGGCCCTGTGTTGGGTAAGTGTCAGAGGGTCTGCGGCGCCTGGGGACTCGCCGACGCCTCGCGCCAGCTCTTCTCGGAGATCGCAACCGATGTTTGTGCATTGCCCTGTATCCACCTGTCTAACGCTAGAGCCAGGGAGCGTGTGGGGTTTTGGGAGGAGAGTCAGAGGGTGGGCCCATGTGAGCTTCGAGCAGAGTCGTGACCGCTCGTGCTGTGGCAGCTGTTCGCCCACAACCCTCCAGAGGTAACAACTTTCGTTTTCAAGACCTGCTCCAGGGGCGGACTCTTCTCTTCTGAAGAATTCTCGATTGGTGTCCCCTTGGGAGGGATACTTCTGGCGTGCAGTTATGACAGGACGCACTGCAAACCCAGGGATAGCATCTGGGTGACAGTGATAACACAGGCGCACATGGGTTTTCAGCATTTAGCACATTCGCACTCGAGGCTGTTTGCCAGCAGCACTTCCCACATCAGAAGCTGATCCGCTGTTCCAAGTAAATTCAGCGTCATCAGAAAGTCAGCTGAGCCAGTCACGAGCCAGATCTTTAGACTCTGCAAGCGCATGCAAGCCAACTGGCTGTTTCTTCACAGCCTTGGGTGCAGCTGCGGCAAGAGGTGGGGGTGTAGCATTGGCACGCTTCTGATGCACATCGGCGTGTTTTGCTGCCCGATAACGGCCCCTCCTCCACATCCTGCAGCAACATTTCCCAATGGTTCGAGGATGTCAGGAGTGTGCTGGCGCCACCCCTGCAGTGTGGAAATCCATCTGCCTCGGGATGTGCTATTCTTGGATTACCGAATTCACCCACCGGTGCAATCAAGACGCAAAGCAGGTACTAACATTAGCCAAAAAACAGGTCGAGGACAGGATCACCTCCCGAAATGCCTTCTGGCCCCGTAAAACAAGGTCGGCACAAGGACAGATGCGAAGATAACACCAATCGTTTGCGCTAGTTTCGCCCCATTGTCCTGTTTTTCTGGCAATTTATCATCTCGTTGAGAACCAAAATGATCGATGCACCGTTGGAGGCTCATTTTCGAAAGCTGTTCGTTTTCGAGCAACAGGGAAGGGCGGAACACACAGCGTAACGTAAGCTGACCTCCGTTTGAAATAAATCGACCTTTGTTTTGCATTTCAGCACGACCCGCCCAAGCCCAGTGAATCTTCCTGGCACTGCACAGAGGACTGCATAACCAGGGAACAGGCCGGACATCTTCCAGTACCGAGGCAGAGGCCTTTAAGTCATGTTGCCAAGCATGTTACAACATACTAAATTTTAAGCTTGAAAATATATTGAAGTGGACTGCGTTGTTTTCTTCGCAGGTGACGGTGCTCAAAGGGGATCCGGTGGCGGTGGGTTACTGGCTGGCGCGAAATCTGCCGGTGGGACCGGCCGCGCGCCAAAAACTGCTGGAGGCGCCGACGGCCGGCCACCGGCTGCGTGCGATCCTGGCGCACCTGCGCGCAGGTGCCGGGGAGCGGCTGCTCTGCCGGGATTGCCTGCACGAGGTGTGTCACCACCGCCACTGATCTGTGATCAGCCGAGTGTGATTCATCCCACTGCGGCACGCCTGCTGCCAAACAAGGCTCCCCTTGTAGCCCCAGGACCCAATGTCGCTAGGGTACTTAGACCGCTCTCCTCCACAAATACCTGCTAGATTTCTCTTTAGTAGCATGTTAGTAGCGCACCGCTGAACAGTAAGTGGAGCTTTTACCTAAGTGAAGGCCTGCAACCTTCTGCAGCCTATCAGGAAGTGCCGCAGTGGCGCCGGTCTGGTGTCATGGAGGGGATAGTCCAATAATGAAGGTTGTTTGTGGTTGTTCATTTACCCGGAAAGGTGACGGCGTGTTGTTTGCTGCTCAGATTGGGCGGACGAAGGATTCGCTGCGCATCACAGATGAGGGACCAGCCGGCATGTTTGTTAACAACTCAGGTCCGCGCTCCAAACCGTGGAATTTAATTTCCTCGCATGCAGGGCTTGCCATCCCTTAAAAAGCAGGCTGCTAGATTCCTTGCACTCCTTCCTGCACTCGTGCACTCGTGCATATGCATGCGCAAATGTGAAGCATGCGCAGATCTTGCACCATTTGCCCTGGAACCTTGGTTCAGTGCCACTTATGGTCCTATGAATGATATGGTCCTGAGGCAGGTCAGTTTCACAAGCATAAATATTGTCTGAAGGTGGCTCCTAAGCTTAGTATTGCTGCTGCGGCAGGCTATGTGCACGACCTGGTGGCGCTGCGCCAGATCAGGCCGCAGTCGGTCAGTCTCCAGGGGCGTCCCACGGCGGAGTACTCCTGGTTCAAGGGATATGCATGGACCATCGCTGTCTGCGCCAACTGCGGCACGCACCTGGTGAGTATTATTCAGATTGATCTTTGTGGGAATTCATCTCAATCTATGCGCAGAGAAATTGCGGCATATGTCCGGACATGCATGCACGGACATGCATGCATGGATGTCTGCTCTTCAATAAGTGCGGCATGCAGCTGGCGAGTTGTCACACTTGTGGAAATCAATTCATCAGTTGAAGCGCCTACAACTTTTTTAGCATTGTATGCGCTGTGCCTAGTGCGGGACGCACCTGTTGAGTAATGTCCTTCATTTGTATCCCAATTTGTTGATTGGAGCGCATGCAAGGCTTGTGCATGCATGCCTGCTCTGTGCCAATTGCGGGACACACCTGGCGGAGACCTTGTCAATTTTTCCGCAATGGAAGTTTATACTTTGATCAAAAGCTCATGCAAAGGTGCATGCCCTTTCATGTCGGATTCTTTGCAGAGCTAGGCGGCGCTTGTTTGCGTGCAGTCTGCTGTGGCAGCTGTTCCCTTGCCAGCACTTGTGTACTCTTCCTATAGACTTTGTGATGCCCCACAGAGGCATATATTGCCCATATTGCTCCTTAGATGGCTTGCAGCATAGCTCTCTGCAGGCATATTCTAATGCTGACGGGGGGAAAATCCAGGGCTGTCCTCGCGCAACCATGCATTGCAGCTCATGTTTCAGATGGCCCCTTCTAGAGATGATCCTTCGGGCTCAGTGTCACAAGGAATACATGTTTCAACTTGTGTTTTGCGCAGGGGTGGCAATTCACGAGCAGGAGTGAGCGGCTGACCCCTGCTAGCTTCTATGGGCTGCGCCGTAACACCCTCTTCTCCAGCACGAAGCCAGCGGCCTCCCAGGGGAACGGTGAACTAGACATGGGCATCACCGCTTAGTCACCTTCAGTCGCTAGAAAATCGGCTGCTGACCAGCCACGCACAGTCAGGCATTGAAAAGAAAGGCGATGTGCATTCCAAGCGTGGCTTTTGTACTACCTCTGGCGTTTGCCATTGCAGGAGTGCAGGTCTGAAATTAGCGCAACCCATGGCATGTTTGGCAAAAGCCTCGGTGAAAATTTGTACAATTGGGGAAATGCCATTGTTGTACAAGTACCCTGAAGGCTGCCGGGCCTTTTTTGGAGAACACATTGTGAGTGTACTTGTTGCAGAACAGTGTCGGAAGAGTGCATCATTGCGATGCCATTAGCGGCGTAGACGAAATGTCCAGTGTGTTGGGGGAATTGGCTGAGATCATCTGCATGTCAGAGTGACAGATGGTAATGAAGCCTTGACACAGGCAACGCATGCAGATCTGTGCACATGGCAACCTTAGGAGCCAGGAAGCCTGGTCCTTAAGGTTTTTTATGGTGAATTCCTTGATCCCATCATATGCACCCCTGGTTGCAGATGGGGTCAAAGGCGCTGTAGTAGGCCCCCCTCTTACAGCCTACCCTAGGTTCTTCATCATGGGGGGTGATATCAGGGTATCCCAGGGTTATTGAAGCGCTGAGGCCAAGAGGCCCGGTCACAATGACCTCATTTAGAGCAGGCAGATTTTCCCCAATTTAAAAAAAAGGCCTCTATAGTCGCCCTGTTGAAGCCAATAAAATTGACAGTTTCAGAGGTACACTAGCTGGTGCGTTGCTTTTGGAGAGCGACGAGATGAGATCTTGACCAGAAATTCAGGTTTTATACTTTCGAGGAACCTGGTTAAGCAGCTGATGTCAAAAGATTGGCACGTCACCAACATGCTGAAAGCAAAGCAAATTTCAGGATCGAGAAATGGCATCACTGTGCTATCAAAGAATGGTGCGACAAGTCGAATAAACTTGGATAGTTACATAAATATAAAAGTATCTTCTTGCACTGGAGGGGGCCCAATGGCCTGCTTTGAAAGTGAGAAATGGCTGCCATACTTGATTCAAATTCCTGAAAGATTGCATGATACAAAGTAACGCAAATAAATGACAATTGCAACTGCACGCCTGAAAGCCACTTCACAAGACTTTGCAAAACAGCACCCCTCACACCCACTGCACATTTCGTTGCAAAAAAACAGAATACTTCAGCAATATGAACTCAATCCACCAGCAGCAAAAGCATTGTGACACACCGTTGTTAACCCTTAAATCGCCCGCAGACTTGGTTCTGATACTTGCAGATGTAACACTGTGACATTGGCCAATTAAATGGCACAACATGCACACTTCTGACTTCAGTCAAGAGACTTAAGCATGCCAGATTTTGGCAAGCTTGCAGCGCAAGGAAAGCAGTGGCAAAGTCTCAGATGAATGCCCGGTGCATATCCATCAATCTCCCCTGCTTACTGGCCGCGCCAGGTCCTCATAAACTCTCCAAACTTAAAATTCATAATCAGCCCAGATATACCCACTTCTTTTTTTCAAAGACTTCAGTGCTTTGCTCAACAGGGGCCATCCCAAAGTTTGCTGTGTGTTCACTGTAGCAATTGAGAGGCCTCTGCTCTCTCGTTTCAGGTGGAAAATCCACGAGCCAAAGTGACATTCATATTCTCAATGGTGCCGCTCTTGTATGCAGGCAGCGGGCCGGACAGGCCCGTTCCACCTGCGCCAATATGCAGATACACTCTCAGGTTTTAACTGCATGTCGTCCTCGATCAACATGCCCTTTTGCACCGCATGTGTGGGATTTTCCGATCGTCCTCATCAGTAGCTGTGTCTTCACCGCCGCTTGATCCAAGACAGATAGCTTTTAGGATGTAGGTGACATTTTGCCTCCCAGCACGACCAACCCAGCACTTGTTGGCTCTTCCAGATAATTCCGTACTTTCCAGAAACCATGCCAGCACATTCATAACCATGCCAGCACATTGACAGCATTGTCTGGACTCCATGTTTCTGGACTGCGCGCACACTTGTAAGCATGCATAGAAGCACACACATATGCAAGCAGGTAATAGGCAATCTGGCATTCCTTGGCAGCAAGAAACCTCACCGATGAAGAGCGTAGAGAGCGAGGTGTTCTCAAAGAGACAGGCAGGTACAGGTCCAGTCAGGCCTGTAAGGTCCTTGAGAGTGAGCACGGCGACGCCATTATACTCAGCGCTGACTAACTCACAGATCTGCGAATCGGCCGCCATTGTGTTGTCGGACAGGTCGACATAGTCTGGGGCCAGATTGCCCTTAAGCCCCAGAGGTCCAGTCAGCGCTAGGCCCTCCAGTGCCAGCAGGTCATTTGCGGCTGTGAAGAGGTCGTTGTATGTGCCCTGTTTGAGAAAGAAAAACCCATGTCAGACTGAGAGCAGCTAAGACAGTACAAAGAGCTGAATGTGAGTACAGGCATAAAAGCCATTCATGATAACACCTGAATGGAGGCCCTGGCTACGGCCAGACACCCAACGGGGATCTTGAACTGCTGCAAGCCCAGATCTAACTCGCCAGGCGCAACAAGTCAAATACACAGCTACATTGCTTGACTTCTAGGGACGTGCTGATGTAGCGGCGCATGCAGGAAGTAAGCAGCAGCACAGACAAGTCCGCAGCCTTGCAGACATTTATGTGACAAAATAATAATCGATGATGCGATCTGGGTCTCTGGACAAAATGGGTTCTATCTTGCATCTGCACGCAAAAAAATGCATGCATGCATATAATGGTTCAGCAAGAAGGCAATTGCCAGGAATGAGAGACCCGCTGAAAACAATGTGATGACTCACCGTCATATCGGGGTTGTCACTAATCGTGAGGAAGGTGATGGAAGGGAACGCCGCCAGACGGGAGAAGGGGAAGCTGCACTGCAAATTTAAATTCGAAAAGTCCATGGTCTCCAGGGATCCATTGGCGTGGCAGGTCTGTCCCGGGAACTGGCACCAGTCGGTCAAGATCTTTTTGGTTTCTGGGGATGGCACGTAGACAAGCTCCTCGCTCTTTGCCTTCCACTCAGGGCAGGCCGCCTTGCCCTTGCAGCAGCTGCAAACACAAAGTGAATATTTCAGTGACCTTCGTCACAGTCCCCTTCACCATAGCTTCTGTATTGCCTACAAAATCTTCCTTGACATAAACACATAGTGCTTGAAGTCCTGTAATCCTAGAACCTTGACATTGCAGTGCATGTCCACTGCACGGAAACGTTAAGGGGAGTAACGCAGGGGTCCTGAACATTCCGCAGCACTTCTGCAGCAACAACAACGCAGGGAAAATGACGGTGCTGGAAATGGTCAAGGCAATTACAGGTGAGAAAATGCGGTGACAGCAGAATGGCACCTTCCGTAGATGGCACGCAGGGCTCCGGGCTCTGTCCATTCCTCGGGGTCATATCGGGTGCTGGGATCGACAGAGACAGTTACATCAAGCTTGATGGGCACTTCTCCCTGGTTGGTGATCTGTGCATGCATGACAAACACTTCACCTCTCAGTCCTGATGACCACTGAGGCAATGGCTATTGACCACAATTTATTGTTTGTGATCAGCGTCCGGTACAACAAGCAAATGTCACTCCTCAAAGCGAGCTCTGTTGCGGCCGGAGAAGGCTGTGGCTTGTGCTGCGTGGTTCCAGTCTGAGATGGTTTTGCATGGGGACATACTTGACTGAATTTGGAGTCCCAGGTGCCGTACAGAGATGGGAACGCAGAAACATCTGAAAAGACATTACGCCTCTTGAATGACAGCAAGTGAAGGAAAAGTGATGGAAAAGATTTGGCATAATAACACACATAACACACACGTGCTCACCAAGGATGCCCCGTTCTTGATCTCAGGCAAATTAGAATTCAGAAATCCAGATTGAGATGTGGCCAGGGCTGCACCGTGCAGATGACGCCTCTTACAACTGTGATATTGGATCCAATGTCAGTGCCGGTCCGAAAGGCAATGCCCTGTTCGACCCTCAGATGGCGTTCGTCCAGAACTCGAATCTTCAAGCCTGTATTTGCAGTTCCATTGCTTGCACCTGTTGCAATCGCAGAACACAGACATTCTTAGGCGCATATTCCTACAGGCATCAACTGGAGCACAGAGTGCACAAGTAAGCAGAAAGGCTTGTGCACCAACTTTCCCCTCTGACACTGGCCAAAGACGCATGCGCGGTGCTGGCGAAAACTTAAAATTGCATTTGACTTGCTCGCTTGCTCGCGTCAACAACGGCTTGGCTACTCAATTCTGTATGCCGTGCCCCAAACACAGCATGTGCTTTGCAGCAACCAGCAACAGCAACAGCGACAGCGACAGCAACAGCAACAGCAACAGCAACAGCAACAGCAACAGCAACAGCAACAGCAACAGCAACAGCAACAGCAACAGCAACAGCAACAGCAACAGCAACAGCAACAGCAACAGCAACAGCAACAGCAACAGCAACAGCAACAGCAACAGCAACAGCAACAGCAACAGCAACAGCAACAGCAACAGCAACAGCAACAGCAATCATGGCAAGCCCCTGCAGAGCCAGGATCCCAGGACTCTAGCAGTGCCCAAAGAGATCAGCTGAAGCTGAGCAAGAGTGGAGGGCAGAGGTATTTAGAAATACCTGCTTCCCAGTAGGGCTCATCCGCCCACCAGAAGGCCTGAGGGGTGGCGTTCAGGAGGGGCTCCCCATAGCCAGGGGTGCAGGCGACACTGATGTTGGGAGACCCAGAAATATCTGTTGATGGGTCCTTGAAAGACGAGGCGCTGACTATCACGTCCTCGAGCAGCTTGCTTTCGTCCTGAGCAATGCTCACGTTGAATGTGGCGCCCTGCAGTCACAATGCTACTCAGAGGAAATGTGCTAGCAGACTAGCCCGTGAAGTGGAACTGCTGGACTCCTGGTAGTGAGCTGCACTACAAAAGTAACACCTCTACACAAGTGCAAGATTACCAGCGTAAACCTCGTCCTGCAGTCTGAGGTGAGCACAGGTCGCAGGTCAGGATGGGGACTCGTTTTAGCTCAGTCACTTACGGGTGAGAGCGACTGTCGTGCGATCGTAGCGGCATAGTATCCTGTGTTGTTGTATGGTGAAGCGGGATAGGTCCACAGCCCAGTGTCCTCAATCAGCTGCCTCCTTGCTGGTAACGATGCGCCGGATGTAAGAGGAGGAGTTTCGCCAAAACCCTCTGCATCAGCAACAATACAGACCCCCAAGTCATAACATGCACATAAAATATGATCATAGAGCATCACAGGTTTTGGATGGCACAAGTATGGGCTTTTCGCGAGTCAGCAGCACCAAACGCTAGAGGCATCCCGTGCACAAAATGTCCTTCCCAGGCGATGGCAGAGCAACGTAACGGAGTAAGAGGAACATATGCACACCATCACGAGACTGGACCGCTACAGCGGTAAAGACGAGCAGAAGAAGAGCTGGCCAAGCTGCCAGGTGTGCGATGTCGCTCCTCATTTTGTCGCACACGAGGAAGTCCTTGAGGACCTGTCGTCACACCGTGGAAATTTGGGATTTTTTAAGTAATATTAGGCCAGAAAAATAGTGCAGTCTGGGTTTTCGCGGGTAGCGTCGAGAGATGCCTGTCAGGTAGGTTTTCCTCGTTAAGCGATTGCCTGCTCCAAGTTGGCAAGTCTCACAATCAAGCACGCCAGTGAATGTCAAAAGCTATTTGTAGCGTAGATTGAGCGACTTAACCGTGTTCGAGCTCGGCGCTGAAGAAAACAGATAAACCCTTGTCGAGGGAATCTGGGTCGGGAGTTGATAGTGCTGAATCAGCATCCACGTCATCATGCATGCGCAATGCATGCATGTTTTGATCCTTTGCAGCTCCAGCCAAGTTGCTGAGCGTCCCATTCATTCTCTTTTGCGTAACATGTGTTGGCAAATTGAGAGCTAGGGCTGCCTGCTACGTGAAGCCTGACTTCAGAGACTAGGGTGCCCAAAGGGCTCTCACACAAGGGCAGTGTCTGCACTGTACTCAGGCTGCTGGTGGCACCTCAAGCTGCACACTGCTGAGCACTACCAGTAGTACCATCGTTCTAGAAGCAGGTATGTTGGTCTTGCCCAACAGGCTGTGTTCAAATTTGTTCTCACATCAGGCACTGCTTTCCTGCATGTCTGTGAGGTGCAGCAGGACTCGGATTCTCACTTGAAGCATCCACCGTCAATTTCAGGACTGATTGAAGCCATTGACTAAAAACCACGCAAGCCCTTCCAATTAAGACTGCCAGACAAGATGTCCTGCAGTGCAACTGTTGTTGTCACAGGACAAACTGTCCACCTGTCCCAATGCATTGCAGATATTGACTGGCGCCACCGTGGCGCCACCGCCCGCGCATGCATCCAAAGCGGCTTGCATATGCATGTTATCAGGTCATCGTAGGTGTGCCCTTCATATTGATCCAGATTTCGTTGTGCCTGCCACACACAAATGCCAGGCCATATCACCTTGGAAGACTGCTAGTAGCGTGCCTCTACAGTGCACATAACAACCCGGCTGAAAACACTTCTCTCATTAAAGGATTCGACGGGTCTTCCTACTTTGTCTCAGCGGGTCAGGAAGGCAGTTTATGAAGACTCTGAAGGTCATCATAGAGGTGAGCGAGTTACAGCTGGTTCCTCCTCTCAAGATCAAAGAAAACACTGCACAGAGGATGTCACTTGTGGCACCTGTTGAGAAGGCGCCACGGCGTGTCGTAGCCAGCCGTCCAGAAGACACTGTCAAGAGTCTGTCGGTACGTCAGATTCTTTGCAAGCTTCGCGGCCTGATGCATGGGAACACAGCAATCCTGTCAGTGGCACCGTGTAAATGCCAGTCGCTGCATTGCTCATGAGAAGGGAATTGATACTAAATAATATACACTGAAGGTGCAAGAGAAACTCTGCCTTACATGAACTACAGATTTGCATGCGCAATATTGTAGTGATACGCTAGCAGCCAGTTACTGGCTCAATACTTCTGCACCAACCTGCGCTGAGATCGTGCAGTCGTCAACGCCAAATCCGCCATATGAAGACACGAAGACCGTCGGTGAACCATATGGCCTTTGAATGAAGACATCTTTTCTTCTTGGCACCGGGGCTTGAGCCTGCTCAACAGAATATTCAAGCAACATGGGCCAGACTCTTTTTCTAAAAATGTGATTCCAAGACTTGGCATGCCTTGATGGGCAGATTTAATCGTCCTCAGCTGTTGCTTGCAAGGCACGTTGCCAAGATTTACCATGCTGAGGTATGGCAAGAAGAAGGAAACTGTGAAGTTGCTTTTGCAGAAAGGCCCCGCTCCCCGCTCTACTTTTGTGAGCACAGGTACAGTCCTGGTGATCTTTACTGAATCCGCATTATCTCCATCGACGTATCCAAGAAGGCGCTGCAAGTGTGTCAAAGCCGTTAATCAGAAAGCCTGACAAGCAGTCGTCCTAGGACGATCAGAAAACAGGAGAAAATCTGTCCTGCGTCACACAGTGTTCGAGCCAGCGTACCTTGTACCCCTCCAAGAAACTGGCAGAGTAGAGGTAGCCGTGGATCTTCGTGGAAGCCCACGTTGCTGTGACAAATTACGCAGATGAGTTCAGGCTTGCAGCGCATCTTTGACGATCCCTCAGTGCAACTTTATTCCTATTCCTGTATTCAATTTTTCTTCGGAGCACGACAACTAGAGGTACGGTCTTCTTACCCGGAGCATACGTTCGACGTTCGAACACGCTTGTTTTCTCCCAAAGGCTGTAATCTGGGCAGTCGAGATCATGGCAGAAGCAGGGCTTTGCTGGTGGGAACGCGACAGCTGCAGCTGACCCGAGTATGAACAGGAACGGCAATGCCGGAGACACCATCGTGGGTCTCGCAGGACTTTGACGACTGGCTTTCAGCAAAACATTACGCAGGATAATGCATCCGATTCTGTTGGGGAACATGTTGCATGAGCTCTCGAGACGATCCTTGGATGTCCAAGGATCAGGAAGGACATGGAGCCAGATCTGGCACCGTGAGGTGGAGTTCAGAAAGTATCATGTAACTCGTGGTTATCACACTGGCAGCAGTTCTTGAATTATCCTTTCAATGCAAATCCTTTGGTCATCCATCTTGCAGGGAGCTCAGCAAGATATCATACACTATCAGAGCAGGGAACTGCTACAGCTGCTGCTGATCAGCCAGTGCTATTGCCCTGCTTGCAGGGCTTTGCCTTCTTAGCAAGGTGCTCCTGCTTGAAGAAGCACTGCCGATACCTCCATATCGCATCCCACAGCACAGCATCTCTCGCGCCCTGCACCCCACCAGCAGCAGTTGTTGCAATATGAAGAGCTTTCAACAGACACCAGAAACATGCTATTCAGCACACATCGCAGATTTTATATATTGGGAGGACTTCAGACAGGTGAAAGGCAGACGCAACCCTGCGCATGCCATGTTGCTCTCCCCCAAGAAGCCAAATGTGCATTGGAAATTTTCTAGCCAAGAAATAGGCTGTGTTGTCCTCGGTGTGTATATATCGTGGCTGAAGAGTGTATTTTGCAGAGCAACTCTACCCACCTTGCAGGGATCCATTTCCTGGTGCAGCAGGTCGACTATGCTGCGCGTTGGTGGCTGCTGCCTCTGCCGCCTTGCCTCACCTTGGTCCTGCATTTGTCATATGCTGTCACATGCCGTCACATGCCGCTGACATCACCTCAGTACCACCAACTCATTATCAGAATTCTCATGCACACCGAATCGCTCCATGCTGTGCAAATCTAAAAGCACGCTTTGCCTTTTGAAACCTTTCATCCTTGAATTGTGAGGTCAAGGGGTCCAAGGAGAAAGAAGGCCTAAGCCTTTCCTAGACCAGGTTTCACGACCAAGGCCTTCCATATATCTCTCTTGTCAGTGGGGTACAAGTCTTACTGTTTTCAAGCATTCCCTTTCTGATGTCTACAAGTGGGGGATTGAAGTGGTGGCTTTTTGCAGCACAGTTAAGAATACTAGCCGTTGAGCAGCTTTGCACAGAGCGCCTACCAAGTAGTGGTGGGTCTTGGCAATGAGTTTGCGCATGGAGGCTCGCCTGCGGTAGGGCCACCGCGATATGCCCAGCTGTCTCACCCGCCTAGTCAGCACTGTCCGCCCTACGCCCAACCGCGCGGTCGCCTCCTGCGCAATGACAAACTCACCTTCATACAGACCAGCAAGGCTTCACATGTTTCATACAGAGCAGTGGCGCAATTCACTGCTGAAACATTGTGCAGATGTGAAGATAGAGAGGATGGGCGTGATTGTCTGAATATTAGCCCTTTTTAAATGCCATTCCTGACGACTTAGCCGGAGGCAAGGTGCGTCTGCAGACAAGCTGCAGGTAAAAGGCCACCCATGTTATATTTAATTGTTTGAAGAAATGAAACTTACTGCAGCAGGAGCTGCACAAACTATGTAGCGATCAATTGCTGAGTTTTTCCTGCTGAGCATGAATTTGGCGAGCAGCCATTGTGTGGAAAAGAGAAATTCATGGCAGCGGGCTGACCTGGATCTGCATGTCAAAGTAGCCGCCCTCCTGGAAGCTTTGCAGAGTCATGGCCTCAAGCTTTGGCACCGGCCCCGGTCGCAGCCGCTTCCTCACTCCTCCACCCCTGTCTCTGTTTGCAACCCTTTGCTGATCTGTCTCTGCTGCGCTGTCATCCGAGCCGGAGCCACTGCAACTGGAAGCTTGTGCACATGCATCCTGCTGACATCTGCAGCAAGTGCCCACTGGATTGAGTTTCAGGTTGCTCTTTCAACCAGCTGTTTTCAATGCAGCAGCAATATAATTGTGAAGTACATCTGTTCCATGAATTATTGGGCAAGTGTCCACTGGAGCTTGCCAAACGGCAGCACCTTGTCGGGTTGGCTGCGTTGATGTGATCCAATCTGGGCTCCGATGAGTGTTTGGCTGTTCTGGCGGTCTTCCATTGAAGCCACGGCACCACAGGGGGCGGTCTGGGGGGTCCTCTCAACTCGTTCCCCGGCCACTCGAGAATGTCTGTCCCGATTGTAGGCATCGACGGTGCTGTAGCACAGGCACACGCAAGCACCTCAGGTCTTTTGAAGGCTCCGACGAGCAGAGCCGATGCTAGTGCAGGTGGTTCGAAGTGACAACTACAGGGATTCCTTGACACAGGAGAATTGGAAAGTTTGTCGAATTCTGAAGTACCTTGGGTTCCGGGAACGGGACGTGTGGGAACGTGCGTGAGCAGCCTCCTGCAGGTTCCCATCGGCTGGTATTCCGGGTCCACAGCTTCTTGTATGCTCTGCATTTGACCACCTGAAAGGTCACATAACCATCATATTCCCATGTAGTGAAAAAAATCCCGGCACACAAATCTCCATAATTGTTGTCCAGACTGTTGCACGGGTCTGAACGTCCAAAGATACCTCGGACGGTAATTCGGACGATGAGTAGACCGAGATCTCTTCGAATGGAATTGGAACATAAGTATCCCAAAGCGGTATCATATTAGGATTCACACGAGTAAATCAGGTAAACCTTGTGCTTCGGCCTCAGGCTGCGGAGATGGCAACATGCCAAGGGATCGCACCAGTACGATTGCACCCACGTCGCTGTGGCTTTCGCTCTAACTGAATACGGTATCAATAATCTACAAAATATGTTTGGAAAGACTATGTTTAGCGATTAAGAGGGATCGTGCTGCTGCGCAACGGGCAGACCGTGCGTTACAGTTGAGCACGAACTTGTATTACCGACAAACGAAATGAGTTCTATCAAACCCTCTGGCACAATTGAACATTTGCTGTGGGTACTAGAAGACTAAGTGAAGTTCGTGAATGAGAGAAACTCTGTACCGCCCTAAAAATCCTGTAACGCCCTGCCACGTGCATGCTAACACGTGGACTTCTTTGACCCAGTGGTCCTCCCATTCCTCCAGTTGACCCGTCTCAAATAGCACTCAAGATGAGCTGCACAAATTTGAAATCTTCTGGTGAGAGTCTCGCAGCATGTGCACGAAGAAGAGGCTAGCGCTAAGTTCAAAGCTCTAGAGCGCGTCACAAGTAATTTTCTGGTTGCACTAGCTGCATGCATTAAGATAGGACAGCGCGCCTGATATAGAATAGACGACATTGTGTGCATATTTCATGTTCGATTTGCAGTGTTCTTATGTCTTTGGCAAATAGAAATCATCCCCACAGAGACATTACAGACAACCCCGTACACGTATGTTGTACAGTCATGTTAAAAAGAGCACATAGAAGCAATAATGTTCTCTTTGCATCCAGGTCTGTCCCCAATCCCCCAGCAAAGCTAAGAAATATCTTAGACAGAAAACCAAATTTGCTCAAAAGCCGACTGGACTGTCATTAAAATGGCACAAGACTTGATAAATCGAGATGTGACTTAGAGTTAATCCCAACGTCAGACTGGTCAGATGTCACAACAACAAACACATGCAATACTCAGTATGGCTGGCTGGCACTGCAGAGCCGAGTCAATGTCCTGAACAGATATGTCAGCCTCCGCTCTGGCAAGCCAATGGCCTTGCCAGAGCAGTGCAATGGCACCAGCTGACTAAACTTGCCAAATCAGCAGAGCGGAGCAGAGAGCAGAAACAAACAATCAGCCAAACAGCAAAAGTAACCTCTTGAAAACTGAATCAGTACCAGGAGAGCGTCCATAGCACAGCTAGGAATTCCCAGGTACTCATATTGGACCTGGCTTGCATCAGTATCTCAAAGGGAGCCAGGTCAGAAGTGCCGCCTGTACGGCTCTTGCATCAGAAGCTCATTCCTTGGATTTCTTAGGGCTGTAAGTGACCCCGTTTTCAGCCAGCCAGGCTTTGGTGAAGGCCTCATTTGGCACCCCAATGCCAGTGCACAGATCACAGCCGATCTTTGCCTTGTATGCGCCATTGGTGCCCTCTGTGATGTCGGTCATTTTCCCCTTTAGGGCATATGCAGCCTGCAACAAAATAAAGACATTGACATAAAATTACTAAATGTAGCGTGCATGCATTTTGCAGATGAAGGACAGCAAAGCCTCCTTATATTAGATTGAACAATGAGCGACGCAGTTGATGTGAGCCTCTCAGACTCTGGAAACTCAGACAAAGTCCCTTCAGACAGCATTTCAGGAGGTTCCAAACAAACAGAGCTCCATTATTTATGACCCTTCTCCCATAGGACTTTTGGGACCACAAAAGCAAATTATTCACCAACATACAATACAGAGCCTCGCCACTTGCACAGGCTGAATGCTGACTCACAAGGCCACTTGCACAGGTGTGATATGCACGAAGCAGCCACGCTGCAAATAAGAGCTCAAAATTTCCTCACCTCTGCAGAGAACTTGAGATTCTCTCCAGCAACGGCGTCAGTAGCAGCTTTCCATGCAGCCCACATTGGGGCAACGGCCGAGGTCCCTCCAAAGATGTACTGGCGCCCGTTCAGGATGATAGTGTACCCGCTGTTGGGGTCAGCTACACACGCCAGCACAGCAGCCGATCAGAATACAGGTTGGTGAGAGTGTGCTTCAAGAAAAACTTTTATCAATCTCATAATGATATTCTGGTTTGACCAATATCGGTTAGCTGTTAGTTTTACAGGCCAGCACAGAAAGTGTCAAGGGCAGGTAGATTACTGGTACAAGCAACAATAAAATTAGAATTAAAATATGAAACAGCTGTTGTGCGTCAATCAGGACATCGCACGCTTGGCTTGCGCTCCCAAGGCAGTATCTGACTAACCAATAGAATAAAATTATCTTGACCCCCAATGTGAGAAAATAATGGCAAAACTTGAAAATCAACTTGAAAGAAGGGCCGAAATATACCGTCCATGGCGCCATCTGGCACACAGCGTTTGCCGTTGGATTTTGGAATCTCATTTGCGACGATAGGAGCCTGCATGGCAAAATTACGCACCTGTTCAGACTATCCAATAGTATTTTTTAGTGTATTTACTGCTGTTCACTCAAGCAGGAAGGTGTAGATCTCAAATGACAGTACGGATGCACTATTTGAGACGCATGTGTTAGTTAAACACAAGATTTCATGACATGAAATCAAAAGTAGCACCAGCCCAAAGAACAAATATAGAATGCAAATCTAAATGCAAACTCAAATCCAAGCTGAAGGAATGACCTGCCAGGGTGGCGCATCGTAGACCTGGGAAATCCCACCGCCACCATAAGTCCATGCAATCTCTGTGTCAAAGTCCCTGGTGTAGGCATGCAGATTTCCTGATCAGATATATTTTTTGTCAACTAAAAATTGATAGCCACCCAATCCAACATTGGGCAGGTAGCTGCAATAGGGAGGGGCACATGTACAGTCGCATCTGGTCTGTTCTGCATCACTTAGATGAGCATAAATTTGCTGGGTAGATCACTGGAATGACTGGCATAGGATTATTTTCTGCCTGCTGCCCTGTCATTCTTGTCCTTCCATGATGCTTGCAATGGTCAATTTTGTTCAAGTCATCTTTCTGCTCAGACAATAAAGTTCAAGTCAAAATAACACAAACAAGTGATTGAAGACCAATGGCAGAATGCAGTGCCTTACTCTGGAGTGATGGTAGTGCCGCCGCAGCCGAAGGCGTAGGGCGAAGATGACGGGTAATCCACATTCAGGAGCTGCCCGCTGTTGCCTGTATCACAGTCCACCCAGTGCATTGCACTTGAATCATGAATCCAAGGAAGAGAGGGTGAAAAGACAGCGCAAATGAGTCAAAAACCCCCTAAAACACAACAGCAGGAACCACATTATCAGTGCCAGGTGAAGCTCCCTGGCAGACATGCCAAGCAAGAAGTAGTATTATTTTTATACGCATTTTCCACTTCCTAGGCATCTGGGATCTAGGTATGACCAGCAACACTGTATCAAATTTAGCATATATATATATATATATATATATATATATATATATATATATATATATGTGCGGTCGTGGCACTGACTCCACCAATGCAATGATAACCCAATACACTCCAAATCCCACTTACATAATTATCTCAAGCAAGAATGTGTCAGAAACTTAATGTGGCACGGTCCTTGGGAGTGTGTCTCCTGTGAGTACCTCCCATTCAGGGTAGGCTAAGGCCTAATCAGATCTTCTATGATGTTGGCCCCGGCTGGCGGGGGCCGGTACATATACTGAGCACCGTGCCGAGGGTTGATTGGAACTTGCTTGGATCTGGCGAGTCCAACCAGGGGTAGGATTGTGGCAGCCTTTCACTGCAGCTTGTCTGCAGGACGCACCTTGCCTTTTGGCTGAAAAAGCGTATAATACAATGATAAGATGTTATCCATAAGGTACCGCCCCTGGAACCCTGGGCAAGGGTGACGTAAGATAACGCCATTGGGTAGGGGCATCTGAGAGGACAGTATGGATAAGAAATCCTTAGTTGAGACCCTTGAAAAATTTCAATACTTTCAGATTCAGGGTTCGCGCACCGTCGGGGTCATCCCGGCTGCCGTCGTCGCCTGAGGCAGTGAAAGTAGTGATATGCTTTTCCAGCAGCTGCTCCATCAGCGAATCACAGGCTTTCATGTCAGCGGGGTCATTGTTCCGCTCGTCGAGGCCCCAGGAATAGGATACCGCGCTGAGCTGGCCGCCATCCGGGAGTTTGTACGTCAGAAGCTTCTTCAGAGATTTCTGCATACATACAACAGTTGCTTGAAGCAGGGATATGACAGGGCCTAAAAAAACAGAGTTGCAGAGATTCCCCCGAGATGTCTGCCTGAGTCAGGACAGATGCACAAAAGTTCCCTGCCAGTGCACAGGAAGATCCATCGCTCAGTGAGACATTATTCTCCCTGCAGCGCTTGTCATGGGGCTTTTATATATGATCAATTAGACATGTCAATAGCCCCCAGCAACTCATAAAAGCCACACCTGGAATCCGCCCCGATTGGGTGCATTGATGAGCAGCAGACCCACATTGCCCAGAGTTGCCCCGGCCACAACCTAAATACCAACAGCATATGCCACCTGCTGTAGATTAAGGCCATTTGGGCTTCAGGGACCCCAGTCAAAGGCCTTTCCAGGGACAATCACTGCCAAACCCATCAACCAGAGCACAATGGTGGTTCTGAGGGGGGGCTATAGGCTCTTGATTAAAGACCAATGCATAAAGCAACCACTGGCAAACTGGGGTTTGACTACTGTGAGGAAATAAAAACTTTAAGGGTTCACGTTACATACAAAATCCAGTGGCCATCCTGACTGCCCCTCTCTCGTGGGTAAGGGTCCATGGAGGGTTAACAACTTGTAGAGGTTGAACCTCTACAGAGCTGTAGGATAAGGGGTTAAAGAAGGGATGACGGATATTAGAATACGGACCTGGATGTCCAGAGCGTACTCGCCATCGGCGCTGCCGGGCTTGTTGCCGGTGAATTTGTTGGTCGCCGGTAAGATATCAATTGATTCAGTGGGAGGCTCCTTGATGCCCAGCTGCATTTGCACACATATCAGAGCTTCATAGCTTCAGATGAAAATTGATTATGCATATCTAAGGTCCAGGAATATATATGCTGTGCCTCTCATGAGGCAAGGTGCCTCTGCATGCAAGCTACAATTGGAAGCAACAAGAATAGCTGCCCCTTGTTAGATTTGCTAGACTCAGACAGGAACCAATCAGCCAGGGGCACAGTGCTGAGATACAGGGGGCTGATGTTCTTTGACAAGAATGATTGCAATTCAAGCATTCCTGATGAGCCAGCTGCTGTACATGTGTTTAATCAGGTCCCACTGTCTGGCAGTGCCTGGCATGTGCCATTCAAAGAGCTGCAAGTAACAAATTCTCAATGAATTTTTGTATCGAGAGCACTTTTTGGAACATGCACTATACCTGTGTTAATCCGCATGCAAGCAAGAGGTCAAGTAGCATTCATGCATGAGGAACATTAAAACCCCCAATCCTAAAAATGCAGAACCAAAAGTGGTATACATGGAATGATCTGCACCTGCTTGCAGTACTTGGTGACATCCTTTGGGGAGTAGCCGGTGCCCATGGGAGTGCTGAGCTCAATGATGGCTACCCAAAATTTGCTTGGCTCCGTCAGGACAGGGAAGCCATAGCGCAGGGCGAGCTGGGCTGCAGTGTAGGGGGTCTGGAGCACCTCTGCATTGGGTTCTTTGATCCTGGTAGGCCCCGGTGCCGGTTTGGCTGGTTCAAGCGAGTGCAGCGCTGCAATTAAAAATGCCAGGCTCGCTATTTTCTCTAAGAATCTGTGCAATGCACATTTGAACACAGCTCAACACAACGCACACAGAACTATGCATGTGTTCTACTGTGATCACACTAGTTTGCTGCGAGCGGGAGCTTTCCTTTCAAAATGTGGGCACGGTATTTGATAATCCATGCTGACAGGACAGGTGTGAAATGAACATGTATCTTGTGTGATGGCATATGGGCAGAGCGTGCCTCCAACAGTGGCCAAACGCCTGCGTGGATTCCGCGGCTTGACGGCCGAAGACAGCCTCCCTGCATTCGAGTAAAAAAGCCCTAGCTTTCAAGCAGACGTAGCGATAGCGGCGACATATGACCCGGCACTGCGTCAACAATTCGTAACGATATAGTACTTGCCATAAGATGAGGGACAAGTCGCACCCATGCCTGGCAAGGCCAAGAGCAGGCTTGGGCGAGACACGCAGAGAGACGGCATGAAACGAGACGCCATCTTCATTGGAGCCGTGCAAAGACCCTAAATCAGCCCAGTAAATCCTGCAGACAATACTCAAGCCTTTTAATAGTTTGTTGGCGCTGCAACGCATCTCAAAGGGTTCTCCCGGAGAAGTTCAGAACGTGGAATGCCTGCCGTACAGTTCTCCTCGAAGGTGGCCTGTCTCAAACATTCCCTTGCCAGCGAGTCAAGCACAACTCTTTTTATTTTGATGCGTCTTGATTATTGGCTATGCAACTCTATCAGCAGGGCAGTCGCACGAACTCGACAGGACTCATAGCAGCATCAAGAGATCTTCAAGGGTGACGGCAGGCTTTCAGAGAAGCAAAATCACAGAAGATCAAATCTGTCGTTACAAAATTAGGAATAAATCTGGCAAGTGAAGAGTTGTTCATTGGACAGGGCCTCATGCATTGTTGTTCTCACCAAACCTCAATGTACGATTACAGAACAGGTGGCGCTTACGCAGACAGCTCTTGAAACAAAATCTTAAATGATACAGCGATCTTTATGATCATTCTTCTAGCCAAAATAACCATATGACGGCTCGTTTTGACCAGAAAACGCACCCGACAACCACCCATCCCTACAACCTGACACTTTTCAAGTGGACGACCGCGCAGTCAGGAATCTCACCTCAGGTAGAGCGCGCTCAAGATGTCTCTAGGAACTCTCCGGGTAACAATCAATTTGGGTTGCAGGCGCCTGCTGAGGATATTTGGCAAAAGGGCCCAAGAAGAAAAGGTGACAGCCCGTAGGCAAATAGAGAGCAAGTGCAAATGTGCGACAGTCCTGAGGATGACATGATGTGGAAAGCTTCACAGGGAAGAATATTTTATGAGATCTTTGAACGGATTTTGCTAGGCGCTGCAAGGTCTCTTTCACCACATGCATGTTCAGCAACAGCATCTGCGTATCTAATGGATTCCAACCACACCGTGTGACACTTCTACCCACATACACAGCATTGAAAAACTCACTTTCGCTTAATTGGAGCGCTCGTCAAATGCAGCAGCCACACTCCCCACTCTCATGGACTACTAGCTCTTAACAATGTGCGCAACTTGTGCAATTTATCAGCCAGCATGATGCTTGCTTTGCTGCAGCTTTCTTTTCCCGCCCATTTCCCAACCATATTTCCTTAACCCCTGCATCCCTCTTCCCTTTCCTGTCCTCCTTCGTTCCTGCCTCCGAGGGCCTCCTTCTTTCCTTTCCTTTCTTGAAACGGGCATGTGCAGCAGCAGCAGCGCCTGCGGCAGCTGAATCACTTTTCTCAGCCGCTCTCACTAGCAGCAGCAATCGCCCTCCCCTGTAATACGAGTCCAGCAAACCATGCAAAGAAAGACTGTCCTCGTCATGCGGGCAGCTTTTGAGTGGCAGTGGGCCAGGGCCGTGCAAGCTTACCGTAAGTGACTTTGATCACTGTTTTTGCCGAAGTGTTGCTTGCCTGCCTTGCCAAAAAGGACACAGGGCACGGTCACGATCATGAGAACATTCAGTCAAGGAGTCACGACTGCCGCATCTTCAAAAGCCACTTCTAATGGACAGCGCCTCTGTGAGACACTATGCTATATTCATCTGCAATACAACACCGTCTTAGGAGGTGCTGCAGTATCTCTGTTGGGCACTACGGGCTGCCCGGAGCGCTGCACAGAAGGCGGGACCTTGGGCAACGGCAGGCCATAAAAGTCCCTCCTTTCGTTCAACATGGTGGCCATCACAAAGCGATTCCGCAGTCATTTATCGAGTGGATACATTTGCTGATATCAATTTGTGTCAGCCAGATGCCTGGTCTGCGCACATCCGTTCTTGGCCCTTCACTTCGCCTTTCACTTTTCTTAAGACACTGGCGGAGCGCACACTTGATCACGAAATACACGTCGGCTGCGTACTCGTGATTTCGATGTTTCTCCAAACAGAAACAACTTAGGCTGTCACCGGCGCACATACAGATTGAAAGGTGCTGCATTTTGCGAGCCAAGAATGGACGAGATTCGGTCCATGTCGGACGTTGAATCCCCTGATGAACGCGAGATTGGTCCCTCGTGGAAGGTCTGGTATGTGTACAAGAGCCCCTTTGAATATTTTTGACTGGCGGCTCCGGAGTTCAAGTATGACCTTTTTGTTATGGTCACTGTTTACAACTGACTCCATGTGCTGATCTAGGCATGTTGGTGGCGATCTGGACCTCAATGCTGCAGACGCCATTTACAGACAAGAGCGCTATACTGCTACAAAGATCGTTGCAAATGCACCTGTAAGCGCTCCGCACTGCTTTGCACAATTTGCTGTACACGCCATCGGCATTACGAACGTCCGAGTGGCTTACGAGCGTCCAAGGGACCTTCGCATGAACTTGACTGTTTTGCTCAATTGTTTCTTACTGTTTATAACGATCCCTAGGTTTTGTCACTGCATTCTACAGCCAAATTGACCTTCACTTTACTTTTGCTGTCAGAAATGCATGTGTAAAGCTGACCATTGGAAAACTGAATTAAGTGTGAGGTCATCTAATTCTTTTGTCACGTTGGTGTAGGTCGCCAATCCGGCACCCCTGGCTTTGTTCGCTTTTGGCTTCATGACGGCCTTCCTACAGGTTAGCATGCTGCCAAGACCTCTCTATAATCAGGATATTTGTCGCCCTCCATCAGAGTTTCTGAAGCCTTCTGGGAGATTGGACTGGACATGCCCTGATTCTTGCTTGATCTGCACATGCATCATCAGAAATAGCACTGACTAGGACAGTTGATTTTGTTGTCCAATGTTGTCGTGGTGCTTCAATAACGAATGAACTGGTGATCAATATTCAGGGTTGTCATTTTGTTTTGTTTTCCATTCCAGGGTGCCACCACCAAGATCACAGATGATCAGCCCACAAAGGACTTTACCGCCTGCTTTGCAATATTCTTTGGTAAGCCCTCTTTGCAAAGCAGTCCCGCTTCAACTCCACATGCACACTGTAGGCCGGAACCGCTTAAGCCATTTTCTGTCGCATGACTTCTAGGGCACCTTCTGACTGAAAGTGTGCCTCATCATAATGTAGCATCTGCCTGGTGTGAGTTTATATACTGCTGTCGTGCCTTTAACTTTGAAGGAGGTGGGTGCACCTGCGTGCAAAGACTGCCCAGAATCATACCCACCGTTACAGATATGTGCAAGGCCCCGATCAAGATCCCATGAACCAATGGGCACTGTGCTCAGTCCCTTCTGCTGCGCACTGCCAGCAGGAGCAAAGGCCGGGCTGATTGCTGTATAGCTTCTGCAGGAGTAGTACTAATGCAGAAGTAGAACATCTTATGATCTTATAAGATGTTTCAGAGCCTTTAAAGTACAATCAAGGAAGTATGTTGTTGTTGTAGTGAGTACAGCCTCTGTGGAAGTGTGTGGCCCTCAAAGTGGCCCGCTCTTTTTTGTCTTACTAAAAAAAATTAGCTCTGATCGCAGGTGGCCTCATGCCCTTTATTGCTGGAATGTGGGAAATGTGGAAGAACAACTCATTTGCAGCCGTGGCCTTCATGAGCTATGGTGTGCCCTCTCCTATCTTTCAAAATTTTGGACCGCATTAACCATTGTACTGCAAGTTGATTGACCTTTTTGGCAGATCACTTGTGATGTAAGGGTCAAACAGTATTGAGCAGGTGTCAATTTGCAATAATTATCCACCCCTGCTCACAGCCAGCCGAAATGGGTGCACCCCAAAAGGTCGAATGACCTTGCGGCCGCTGCGGGCACCACTTGTTGTTATCTCCACGTGCCTAGTCTTATAATATTAAATCTTTGATGATACAACCCCTACTGTGAACAGCAAGCTGGAGTGTGGACTCCTGCCTACATGGCCTACATGGTGCTGTTGTTTTGACATGAGAAGGAGACATGCAAAGTGGCGCAAGTTTGAGGGCGTGCCTGGGCTGCAGGTGGCTTCTGGCTGAGCTGGGGCCTCTACATGATCCTCAAGTCGGTCAGTTTCCGCTAAATCCCAATTGCTTGTCTGGCGCATTATTATTATTATTATTATTATTATTATTATTATTATTATAGTATTTAGAGGCCTTTTGGGAGCGCCACCTGAGGCTCATTGGTCTTGTGGGCAGTCTGTCACTGCCCATCTCCTCATTGCAAAACTTCTCATGTGCATGCATTCCGTCACAAATTTGCCAATCCTGTATACTGTCTGCTTCGCGCACAGCCGTCAAACTTTTGCGCAGACACTGGTGTGCAGGCGGGCAAGCATAGCATTATGAAGCATTACTAATGTGTTACAACCAGGAGCCACTGAACTAACCACTTACCTGGATCAGTTTAAGGTCCCTTGTTACAACTGCGCTGATGGGGTGAATGTGTGTTTGAAGGCGAATGTATGGACTGGCCAGTCGAGTAACACGCCAATTCCAGACTACAGCCTGATCAAGACTCAGGAGATGATGCTGAGCCTGTGGGGCATTATCACCTTCTGCTTCTTCATTCAGGTGCCTATCATGTGATCCCCTGTGATGCAAACTGTGCCCAGTTCTTGTGGCACTCTCTAGGCTTTGGCTGCGAATCTGTGGAGTGGCGTGCAGTCACCGCCCCTGCCGGCTGCCTGTCAGTCAGTCTCAGTGTTTCTTTTGGGGTTTTGGCTCAAGCGCATGTGGCGTTGAAGCTGCCTTCGATTACTTTTTTTGAAGCCACAAAAGTGACTGAAGATAGGTTTCTGAAGAGATACTTAGCGCAAACGGGTGGGTTTTAGGGCATTCTGGCTCCACAAAGGGCAAGATGTGGCCTTTGCGCAGCTTAGCAGCAAATTGTTTACTCAAAGCCAATATGTGGCTTCCAAAGGAACATTCAAAAGCTTCTATAAGGCCACGAATCTTTCTTTCAAGCCACATTGACTTTTGAAAGGCATTAGAAAAAACACTGGCCGGTTTTGGCTTCATATCAGACAGAAGCAACATTGCATGCCAAGTCTGCGCACCCTCTTTTAGTGGCAGCCACACTTCAAGCGCAGGCGGCCATACCTTCATTCAGACTTGCCTGCGCAAATGCCCCAATGAGTTGTACATTGTCAACCCAGGGCAAACCCTGACATTCAATACTAAGTGCCCCCGCAGACCCTGTGCATAACTTGGATGTGCGCTGCAGACAGATAAACAACCACACAATTCCGTTAGTAAGACTTTTGTTGCAAGGAAGTCATCTGGAAAAGAATAGTAACCTTACAATACTCGTGTCGGTGTAGATCAGACCTAAAGCGCTGTAGCTGTGCGGAGATTTCACAGACCTCTATTATGTTGCGAGCCCCCGGCAAACCATGACGTTAGATGTTGCGTGCCCCTCGCAGACCCTGCGCATCAATCGCGTGCTCCAGGTGGTGTTCTTCTCGCTCATGGTTCTCTTCTTCCTGTTGGCCGGCGGCATCCGCAGCGAGACCTGCAACAAGGTGGCCGGCTGGTGGGGCATGTGGGTCGCCTTCATCTGCTTCTACGCAGCCACCGCCATCCTCACTGTGGACGTCTGGGGACATGTGAGACCTCTGCTCTTCCTATCACCTTGTATTTGTGTTTATATAAAAGTAGATGTGTACCTTCACTTTTGTATTCTAGGGGTCAGGGTGTATATGTCGATGTATACTTAGGGCTCAGGGTTGTTATGTAGATTTTTTATGTGTCAGCTTTCCTGCAGGACATTTGCTGGCAGAGGTATGCATGACGCACTAATACAGGGGAACAAAGATCTTCTAAAATGCGTGTGATGTTTGATTGTGTTCATTTTATGTTTTTAATTATTGCATTTTAGAGACCTTTTGGGAGTCACTTGGGGCTCATTGGTAGGCAGTCTGTCACTGCCCCTCTCCTATCGCTCTTCTCATGTGCCTGCAATCCTTCGGAAATCTGACAGTCCTAAAACTACCGTAATCTGGCCCGATTCTGCATGCAAACAAGGTGGTGCAGAAACAAAGTAGCTCTGAGTATTTTCTAAAATTTGTTGGCCGCAGGAGTACCTTCCTCTGTGGCATGTCAAAATGGCGCCCCCGGCCGCCGCTGTCCAGCGTTCTGTTGGAAGTGTTGCCAGCTCGGCCGATCGCCCCCAGCAAGACAAGTAAGCTATTGGCCACTATCTTTATTTTAGAATATATGGTATAGGGTTTAGGGTTGGTTATCCCTACATATAATAAAGGGGTTACCAGAAAACCCTCAAAAATGCATATCCTAAGCACTCTGCTGTACATTGCTGCTGTTGCCATGGCCCTGTGGGTGGCTCAGGTCTATATTTAGGGTTTAGGGTCTTATTATTTTCAAGGGGTTCAGGATTGGGTTTAAAGTCTTGGATGGCAGCCATGCAGATGGAGCAAAGGGTCCCCGACAGCAGCCAGCTCTTGGGGCATGCAGTGGTGTCCTCCTGAAACAAGGCTTTACAAATGCAATGGCGACCGGTTTAGTGCTAGAACTCATCAGACAGTTGCCATGCCAGTAATTTGAGCAAGTTTGGGGGCTGCCCCCGAAGCCGTAGACAAGTATGATGGCTTGCAAAAGAGATCCCAATGGAGCTCTGACTAGTGACCGCTTGTTGTGGCAGGGTTCAGGAGCTGGATCGCCTGAGTTTCCACTCTTTGTAGACTAGTCAACAGGTAGACATGGTACCCACAAATGCACTGCCCAATTTTAAGTGCAGCATTGCATTGCAGAAGATAGAGTACACATAGAAAGGGAGAGCCCTGATGCTGCGTGTGATCAGAAGACTGCCATGATCCTATCAACAGCAGACATGAGTGTATGAAACATTTCATTTGTACCAAACAAAGCTGGGAAGAATAAGGTAGAGCAGAGATGCAACACGTACGTTAATGGATGCTTGCAGGAATTTACTAGGCACGATGAGGAGTTGCACATATTGAAGTGATCAGCGGGCGAAAACACTATCTGTTTTTGTTGTAGTTTTTCTTTGGAAGAGAAAGGGACAATTTCGGCAGAGCAAGTGCCAAAGTAGGGTTGAAATTACTGATGTTCACCGCTTTCGTGTCTTGCATTCTCTCTTGATTTACTTGTCACAGGAGGTCAACTGAAGAGAGAAGCGTGTAGAGAAAACATAGTTTCTTTGGTGCTGTTGTTCGTATCAGCAAGGCACAATTGTCGAAGACCTTGCAGATTGATTGATTTTGAACTTCCTGATTCTGGTCATACCAAGTGCAAATGTACGACAGTCCTGAAGATGACACGATGTGGAAAACTTCCCAGGGAGAAAATTGTTATGGAGATATTTGAGCTTGTTTTGCCAGGTGCTTGAAGGTCTCTCAGAGGCTTTCGATGCAGGGTCCAGTAAAAGCCTCTGCATGACTGATGCATTCTGACCAGACTTATGAATTCACTGGGCTTGCAAATTCACACTTGCACTCACAGCTTGTACTGAGTAGCACTCGCCAAATGCAGCGGCCACATTCGCAACTCTCATGAAACCGCCTACCAGCTTTCAAAGACGTGCACAACTTGCGAATCTCGTCAGCATGCTTGCTTTGCTGCAACATTTTTTCTCTCTCCCTTTTCACCCCTTTGCGGACTTCTAAAGTCTGCACTGGCAAAGTCACACCCGAACTCAATTGGAACACTCGTGAAACGCAGCAGCCGCACTCCCGAGTCTCATGATGAACCCCCCTACCAGCTCTTCACAACGAGCGCAACTTATTTGCCTGCATGCTTGCTTTGCGGCAGCGTTCTTTTCCCGCCCTTTGGCCCCTTTTCACCCAGGTTTCCTGCCTCTGCACCCTTCTTTCCCTTCCTGTCATGCTTCTTGCCTGGCCCCTTCTTGGAGCTGGCATGTGCAGCAGCCGCAGCAGCTGAAGCGCGCTTCTCGGCCGCTCTCACTGGCAGCAGCTCGTTAAATGCATCCACTATCTGCCCTGCCTGCTTTGTGCACTCTGCCTGTCTCTTCTCGTCCTCCCCTGTCGCCATGGCCTTGCTGTAATACGAGTCCAGCAAGCCCTGCAAGAAGAACAATCCTCGGCATCTCAGCAGCGAGAGATGCCGTGCAGATTCTTGTACATCTTTGTGTGGCCTCCAATATCAGAATGGCACAGAGCGCAAGCATCGAAGCAAGGCTCCCGGGTGTGAACCTGAGTGTCAAATCTGGCTGTAATATCTAACATGCAGCGCCGGAGCCTGATTACAAATCATTCTCAAGCTGAGAATCTGACCAAGAACTCATTATAGTGTGGTCTCAAGAGGTGCAGCAGGAGCACGGTTCGTGCCTGCAGACGTTTAATCTCGCTGTCGGGCAGGGCAGGGCTGCCCGCAGTGCTGCCCGCCGGGCGGCTGTGGGCAGCCGCCACTCCGGGCGGGCCGTCCGGCCGCGCAAACAGCCCGATATGGTGCCCCGACGCCCCTGCACCCAGCCAAGCATAACTATCATTATTGTTTCACAGACTAACGAATCTGTATTTAGAACGCCCAGGGCATACACGCCTACTTGATGCCATAAAATACCAGGTTCAAATCTTGGCCAGATCTCTGCAGCGGGGCGCATGGACATCTGAGCATCTTCACTGTTTGCTGCGCTCTACCATGCCACGAATTCTGCAAGCTGTAGAAGTGTCACTTATGCAGCAAGATGCTGTTGCTGGCAAACGATCAACAAAAAATTCATAAAAAAACATAACCAAGATGTAATGGCGCACACCGCCGTCGGCCGGCATGGCGGCCACGGCGGCGGCGCTCTGGCGGACGGCTGACGATGCGTGGTGCTGACTCAGCGCGCGCAGCTGCCAGAACTGGCTCCCCAGCGCCGTGCGCGCGGCCTCCATCAAATTGTGGGGGTCCGATGTGCGCGGCAGCGGGGGGACCGGTCCCCCAGGCTCCATGTCCAGCATCCCCCGCAGCCGGGGGTTCTGCCTGCGCACGCGAAAAAAACACTATCCTTTACAAAACAACCTTTCAGTACCTAAAAACTGCTTGAACATTTCACAGATATTCTTCAACGTTTGGCACAATTCAGGTACTTCTCCTAGGATCTACAATCGAGTGGTTCCTAGACAACGCGCAAGCATGGAGCACACTGATCTATCTAGAGGGATGAAGGGCTGCCAAGCACAAGAAGACAAAAGGCAACCATAGCCAAAATCTTCACTGAGAAGTGTTTGTGGAGGGCGGCTAACCTGAGCATGCGTTCGAGGACTGCCAACAGGCCGAGGGCGCCCCCGGTATCCATGAATTGCGCGGTCGCCGCCACTCGCAGCGCAAATGCAGCCGCACGCCCCGCGTCCAGCGCTCGCGACTGCAGGCAGAGAGTTTAAATCCCCAACATTGTCATTTGATGGACTTGCATGGCAACCATTGCAGCATATTCAGAGCCTATCCAGGACTTATAGCTTCAGCTCTCGAGTGTGCAGCAAAGAAAGCCAAGCTTGCAAACGATGCGAAGGAGGCCATGCGTTGAAGGCTTATTTCCAGCCAACAAGACACGCCCCGCTTCAGGTCACATGCAAGCACAGCTATCATGGCCGCACACTCATCTAGTTCGCGCATGGGTCTCTTGGGCAGCCTCTTTGCAGTCACATAACCACAAATCTTTCGAGGAGTGGTATCCGCTTAACAGTGCAGGTTGTGAACTGCCATTAATTTAGGGTTTTGGGTTTTAGGGTTTTAGGGTGCTGCATTGAGCGGAAGCGGCCACACCTGCTCGACCAGCATCTGGTTAGCGACTCTCACGAGGAGCACTTCCAGCGGAAGCTCTTCAGGGGCCACGTCTGCAGCAGCGTTCCTGCCCCGGTGCCTGACCTGGCTCCCATCCCACGGCCCGATACGGGCACCACCGCTCGGCCCATTACGGGCGCCTCCGCCGGAAGCCGCCTGATCAGGCGCGGCGGCTGACTCAGCCGGCCGCTGCCGTAACGGCTCGAGATCCCCGAGCGGCGCTGCTGCGATAGTCGAGTAGAGCGCCTGATACAAATCGTGTCTGTCTACATTGAGTGCATCCCCCTGTCCCCTGCGGAGCACCCGGGAGATTTCAAATCATGGCAAAAAAAATGCTGGCATGGAGTTGAGCATTAGACTGACTCTGTGATGTTCTCCCGGCAGCCACACAAGCTTACGTGACCTGGAAAGCGATCAGGGTGGCATGCGCACTTGAGGATGTCGGACGCAGTGAGCAGCACATGCAGGCGCAAGCGCACCGGTAGCCCCGGGGCAGCCGCCACCTGTGAGAGACAATTTCTGTCAATTCCCCTTTCATATCCACATTTAAGCTTGGCGAATTTGTTTGGAAGAACAATCTTGTGTTGTCTCACAAAATGCAACAAAGGAATGCAGGCTGGCTGCAGCCCTAATTACAAGCCCAAACCTTCAGCATGACTGCAAGATTGGAACGTGGAATACTTTGGCGAGAATTCAGAGCCAGGCAATCTCACATACCATCCCTAACCCTATACCCTAACATCTTCTACACCCTAAAACCCTAAATGCAGTGGGGTAGATAAGCAACGGGGCAAACGCACCTGCACCATGACGGCGAGCAGGTCTGAGAAGTACTCGACGCTGATGAGGTGCGCGTATCGGCTGAGCCCCGCCAGGGCCGGTGCCAGGAGTGGAAACTTCTTCGCCGCGCGTGCATCGCTCACCGACGGGCCTGCATGATTGCCTAGATATCTCAGGGTATATTTGAAATTCAAAATTCTTAGGGTTTTTCAAATATGCAATTACGGATCAGGGTTTGGGTTTCGCTCACCGGCGGGCCTGCAGCCCAGCACATTGGACCACTAGAAAAACCTGCAGCCTAAAGTGGTGGTCCTCCCTGTTGCAATCCTAGCAGCCATTTGACATTGCTGTTCACTTCAAGACATCCCAAGAGGTGCAACACCACAACTGTGACAGCCTTCTTGCAGCACCATTTAACATTGCAACCGCCTTGGACTGTGAGGCTCAGCCACGCTTAGAAAGGGACGTCAGCATGAGGAAGTGATCACGCATTGCTCTCAAGTATCTTCCCGAAAGACTGAAAAGCATGGTCTACCGGCACACCAGAGTGTGATGCGGCGGGGATGCCAGAGGCGTTGCAGTGCTTGAGAAGGTCTCAAACACAGTCTCGGCTTTCATGAAATGAAAACACATGATAATAAAATAGTCCCATACTTTCTACATATCCTCCCAGAAAGCAGACTGGCAGGAGGTAGTAGAACACCTCTGTGAGAAGCTGTGGCAAGGCCGGAGGCGGTGCAGTGCTTGAGGGCGCGGAAGAAGATCTCAAACAGAGCCTCAAGCGTCTCCGATTGCGTGCGCCGCCGCTGCTCCGCGTCGGCCGACAGAGCCGCCTCTTTGAAAGCCGCCGAGACCTCGTCCTCGCCTCGGCCTTTCCGCGCCTTCTTTTCCTTTTTGCGCGATTTGCGCGACCGGTACTCCCGTTGATCTGCGCGCAACAGAAACTCACATTCATTGCCCGTGTTCGATAAAGCCTTTTTTCTTTTTGCGCAATTTGCGCGACCGGTATTCCCGCTGGTCTGCATGCACACCAGGCTGAATCAATATCCTGATGGCTCCCACACCTCTGTGCACCCTTTTGACTTTGCAACAGAACTCCTCCCGACCGTCATTGCCTTCACAGAGATGTTTCTTGCCAGAGGGCAGGCATCCCTGATATGACGAAACTTTCAGCAGATTCAAGGCGCGCATAGACTGCATGCCCTGGGCATGATAATGTCCTGGGATTTAAGGTGAAATGTGCATGCTTACCGCCGCTCGTGACGTCGGCTGCAACTGCGCTGCTCAGCTGCAGGCCCAGCAGCACGCGCACCACCTCCGGACGCACCACACACCTGCGCGCACCCTACGGCCCTATCAAAAGCAGATGACTGCAGATGAACTCGTTTAGGGATGACACAATGGCTGGAAGTATTTGACTACAAGGCTTGGAAGGGCTGAGAGTAACAGCCGGATTACTGGCTTGCAGACTGGCACAATAGAAAGTGCAGATTAGCCTGTCAACACTGAAGATAATGCAGAGATTGTGCAGGTGAGGCCTCTGTATTCTCATGTAAAATGTCAGAAGGAAAGAAGGAGAGGGAACGCCAAGGCACTCGTCTGCGCCGCTTGACGAGGTCGGCTACTAGCTGCACGGCGTTTCGCTCGGGCGGGGACGGCTTGGCCGCAAGTGATTGTCAACTCATTCAAAGTCCCATGTGAGGAAAGTCAGAGGATGAATACGGAGGACGGATATGGGGAAAGAAGAGGGAACGCGCCTGCGCAGCTTGACAAGGTCGGCAACGAGCTGCACGGCGTCGCGCGCGGGTGAGCCGTCCCCGGCCGCATCGGCCGCCAGCAGCCGCCCGACCGCGCCGCAGCACTCCGCCGCGATTGCCTCATCCCTGTGGCCCATGCGCGGCACCACCGCCTGCGCACCGGGCACATGCTGAGTTACATACTCTTTGTTCTCTTTGCATGCGAGAAACAGTAATAGCTGGTTAACACTTCCTATGTGTCAATTGAATGCGACCACCGGAAAGGCAGATGAAAGTACCTCTTCTGTACGGACTGCTCTGTGCAACTGTTTCACACCGTTTGTCTTGCATGCCCGGTTGCTGATACTGAGCCGTGCTGCATCTTTCTCACACAGTCATAGACAATCGACAGACTTTTGGGTTGACAAAGTCAAAGGATGTAATCCTAGATAGAAGGGAGTAGAATCACGCACCTGCAGGACGTCGCTGGCGTGGTTGAAGTGCGGCAGGGAGGTGAGCAGCATCGCAAGGCAGCGCACCGCCACCCGCGGCGTCGCCAGAGACGGCGCAGCTGAGGCCGGCTCCGGAGCGGCCGTGCCGTTCTGCCGCGGCCGGCGCTCGGCCGCGTTGCAGGCATCCAAGAGCGCCTTCAGGTACGCCTGTTGAGACAGGTAAAAAAAAACTAAAATCCCTTGCAAGCCCCACTTGCAGGCCGCAGCCAAATATAAAAATAAAGATATCCTTCCTCAAGTCAGCATTAGTCCCTATCTTAAGCAGGTTTCCTGCTATGGGCAACACAGTGGCAGATGATACCCTGCTAGTTATCTTGGCTGTCACAGATCTGTGGCAATAAGTGCTTCCGCTACAGCGACAGGAAGGGAACAATAGGTCCGCCACCAGCGACTGTCCGGCTTGACACCAAATTGCCCCAGTAAGGATATCGGTTTCGACCAGCAGGGTCGAACCTGGTAGGCGCGCAGCATGGCGCTTTCGTGATCGCGAACTTTCTTGACGTCCTTGGACACAGCAACGGCCAGCTCCTTCTCGGTGGGCAAGCGTACCCGGTAGCCCGGCAGGATGTCCTTGAACACCGCCGCAAGTGACAGCATCGCCAGCCGAGCCACCTGGCATCATCAGGTGCGTGTGTCAACTCTATTCTGCTGCCCAGGCCATGAACACGTGAGTGGGAGCTACGAGAAGACAGCTACAAGTGTGGCGGATGTCCCTCTGAATACAGCCTACATGACTACTATGCCAGCCATCACCGCTACTGCCGCAGAGGCCATAATATCAAATATGATTGGTTGCTGCTTATTCCGTGTGCAACAATGAACACACAACAAAACCGCCCACACACGCCAGGGCTTTCAACAATGCAATGAGATAACTGCCACAGCAAGTTGTCCACATGAAGCATGCCATCTGCATGTCACCCAGATCAGGCAACCACGTGCATGAGAGCCAAATCGGGGCGCAGGTGCATGAGAGACCTGACTCCATCAAGTGAGGACCCAAAATCAGGTAATCAATTGCAACAGGACACAAATGCATGAGAGCCAGATCTGGCAGCATCCGCACGCAGCCAGAGAAAATACAAGCGCTGCTCACCAGTTCGTCGCGGTCGCGCGCCAGCTGCACGAGGGCGGTGAGCTCGCGCGCGTGCTGCTCGGGGTCCTGCAGCAGCCGCGTGGCCGTCAGCGCTATCTGCTGCTTCAACTCCTCCCGCCGCTCCTCCCCCCTCTGGTACTCCTGCAGCCACAAATCCCTGCAATTTGAGCGATTTCCCACGAAGACTCATTGTACATGTGATCACAAGACTCCTGCCACCTGCGCAAGTTCTGGAAGCACCGATTCAGCCACAACAGGACCTTTCCAGCGTAGAAGTGCGGCTGTCGTCTGCAGAGGCGCTATGTCTATACATGCCATGAGCAGGCCTACACCCAGCTGTGCAGGAGTCTGAAATTCTCACGGTGACGCTATGGAGAGAGTATGTTTGCGCATGGACTCAGCTGCGCCGCACTTTGCTGCCATGACAGTCACCAGTAGCCACAGTCATGTAATGTTTGGACATGACATGGAGACAAGTGAGATAGCCTGCACAGCCGTCTGGAATGTAAGCTGGGGGTTTAAATGAACATGTAACATAGTTGCATACCTGCAACTCGTTCTGCAATCCAGGCTGCCGCGTCGCCGGCGCTCTATGGGCAGCTGGTTCCTCAATATCGCTTTCATCAGCCTCATCTGGCGCCCCAATATCCTCCCCTGCCTCGTCTGATGCCCCTTCGTAGTCATCATCGTCCGTCACCAAAACGCTGTCTGCATCATCTGCTGACTCATCGTCCGCTAACTCATCGTCTGACACTACTGGACTGCCTGCCTCTTCTTCTTCCTCTTCCTCCTCTATTGTAATCCCAGCCACTTGGGGAACCTGGCAATGCACAGCTTCCTCAGCCGTCGGCCAACCCCACAATGAACCTCTTTACTCCTTTGTTAGCACCTGATAGGATGTAGACAGGGACAGTAACTCTCTGCATTACTGGGCTGACAACAAAGCAGAACAATGGCAATTTGCAATGTCATGCAATGAAATACATGAAGCTGAGGTTCAGGGAATGGAGTAGGCATGCACCGGTGCCGGCTTGGGCGCAGCAGCCTCCTTGGCATCTGGGTACACGAGCTGGCCGCCCACTTTCAAGGGCAGGGGGGCTGCCCTCGGACCCTCTCTTTCCTTGTCATTCAGCTTCCCTCGAGGCACCTGCTCATACTCTTCGGCTTCATCTGCCTCTGGAGCCTTTGGAGGTGGCTCCTTGACCTTCTTCTCCTTTGGCTTCTGCAAGGACCTGCGTGGTGAATGACAACATAAGATGCTGTGCCGCAGTATCCAACTTTTCGACCTACAATCAGGCAAGGGGAAGATCTTCGCCTAGTAACGTTTTGTCAGCTGAGAATGCCGAGTGGCTGCAAACCACGATTGCGTTCAGGCAGTGGGTAGAATGGCTTACTTGTCCATTTTTTCCTTGCTGAGGGAGGTGAGGAAGCCCAGGCGTTTGCTATACTCGTCCACGAACTGGACATCCTCCTCGCTGACGTCCAGATCACTCTCATCTGGCTCATCCGGTAGGGGTGCTTCGTTGACCTGGAACAATAATTGGAAGGGATGTTGGGCTGACTGGACCCTTTATATCTCAACGAACACTTGTCTAAGAGCCAGCGATCGTGCAGCCACCTGATAAGTCTCACAGCAAAAGAACAAGCATTACGGCTAGGTTTTCCTGGCCTGCGCAGCAAGGAATATTCCAAATGATTGGACTGTTCAGTCGATATAAGTGTGAATTGCCGTGCCTTCTTTGGTTTCTTCTGTGGCGCCTTGGCTGGCTTGCCGCCGCTACTGCTTCTGGGGCGCTTCTTACCCATTCTAAAAGATGGATGATTCTTTTCTTGCGTTTATAAACACTTTGGTTGTTGTTCACACGCTTGTTTGATCCGCAAAGAGGTGTGATCGGCAAAATGAAGGCAAGTTTTGCACGTGACAGCATGGCAGACCCACGTGATAATTTATATGAATCTCAGAGAGGTCCTGCAGTTGTGGAATACGATTTTCAAGTGAGGAGAGAAAAGAATACTTGGCATGTTGCACCCGCAATAGCTTGGAGACAGCGGGGGACGCAACCACGCAAATCCGCGATCTGGCATGCAGCATGTATCCTCTGTAGCAGGATTCTTACTTGAGGGTAGATAAATCACAGTATCTCCTGTGCAGTATTAGAATGGTCACTGGTGGCCTGCCTAGATTGTTTGATCTAGCTTATTAACGCAAAGCTTGTTTATTGCCCGATGAGCGTGGCCAAGAGTTGTGGGACACACTAGTGAGGATCTCGGAGCGGTTGTTCGCATATCGGACATATATTTGTACGTCTTATATCCATTGTCTGTGGTAGATAGATTCCTCTTTGCTGGGACACTTCCAAGGCTCAAGCATGGAGAGGACTAAGGTGGTGATCAGGAAGCTGCCTCCCAGCATAGCAGATGCCGACGTGCGCGAGCTTGTGGACAGCACGAACGTCAAGTACAACTGGTTCAGCTTCGTGCAAGGCAAGACGAGGTGCACCCTTCTTTCTCATATTCTTCCTGCCCTGCATTCAATGCTGCAGTCCAGACCACATCTATGCTCAGTCAAACATACATAATCGGACACCGGTCCGCCTCTTGAGTAAGTTACATTTCACTCAGCGTGCGGCATGATGCACGCAGTGTGAGGAAGGTGGTGCACTCGCGCTGCTACGTGAACTTTGAGGATCCATCAGACATCCCAGCGTTCAAGGCGGCGGTGGAGGCGCATGCGTTCGTCACAGACCGAGGCGCGCAGTTCCGCAGCAGCGTGGAGTATGCACCCTTCCAGAAGGTCCCCCAGGGCAAGCCCAAACGAGACCCCCGCGAAGGCACCCTCGACAAAGGTTAGTCTACACATCTCGTCCCTGTGCCCTCCGTCATGTCCCGTGTATTGACCTCTTTACACACAAGGCACCATTAGCCAGCACCTTGGAAGCCATGCTGCCAGTGCACGCACTGAATGTTGCATGCTTAAGAGTACTCTTCTAAATGATCATGTTGAACCTGCAGGAAATATCATAACATGGATGCCTCGTTAGGCATTTCTTTTGTAAATTTGTCATGAGCAGCCCCGAGGCATTCAATTGCAGTACACAGCAAGCCTGCACCATGCCGATCATGCCCATCATGATTGAATAAGTCTGACATGCCACAATTCGGACGTGCGCAGACCCGGAGTACCTGGCATTTGTGGAGAGCCTCAATGCGCAGCCGGAGGCGCTGCCCGCAGCGGAGGCAGCGGGCAGCTCTGGGCAGCGAGCCGGGCAGGAGGGTGGTCCGCAGGTCACCGCGCTGATGGCATACCTGCAAGACAAGCACTCGCTGAAGAAGAGGGCGCCTGTCACTGTGGCACGCACCAGGGGTGAAGCTAAGACTGAGAGAGTGAGTCTTGGGTCCCGCCTTTGCATGGATCGCAAACATGCGCGATTGAAGGGTTGCGGATTGTGTTGTCCAGGACCCTGAATGAAATGGGTCACATCTGGGATTGGGAAAGCAGGTGCATTGGAGGGTCCATGGCACACCCAGGAAACAGCATGAAACTGTTTTATTAAGACCCGCCGCAAGCTCTTTTCAGAGCTTGCACACACTGAAGTGATTGCAGTGTCCCATAGTGCAACGAGCAGTGCAGCAGCCCAACGTTAGCACTGGTCATGGGAGTTGCGTATTTGCCAGGTCTTCAGGGGTTGCAACTAAACCGTGAAATGCATGTGTTTGCACAACAGAGGCGGACGAGTGAGAAGGGGTCAGGGGGCAGAGATGATCCGGACTACAGCAGGGCCACTCCTAGGATACTGACAAAGGAACGGAGGGAGCCACAGGTGGAGAAAGAAGCCAGGGACACGAAATCCTCCTCCCGGCGACCCAGTAAATCCGCCGCAGCCGCCACCAGAGCGCAGGTGCGCATGCATGCATGCCTTTACTTATTTCTGGCAGGCTGCTGCAACTGCTGATGTGAAGCACGGCTCAGCTGTGTTGCATGGAGTATTCCTTTTGAGAGTCCCAGCAGCAATCGGTGCATCACAAGCGCTGCCCGAAAAACCTTTGACGGCCACAATTTGGTCTTAGAACACGCACCCATATATCTAAGCGTTCAACTGGACACTATTTCAAGAGTATTCCATATCAATAGACTATTCCCTTTTTGTATAGTGCTGAGTCAGTGGTGGCTGCATGCTCTGCAGGGCGACAGCGCGCAGCAGGAGAGAGCTGAGGCAGCAGGCTCATCTGCACAGCGAGAGCCTTCTGCAGAGGACAAGCCGGTGCGAGTGAGGGCCGGCTTTCAGGTCTACCAGCCCAAGCCGCGCGTCAGCCGGCTCAGCAGCGCAGATGACAACGCCCCCGCGCATGTGCCGGACATGGCCAAACCAGGCGCTGCAGCAAAGAGCGCCAAATCAGGCGGAGCATCTGGCGGTGCCAAACCAGGAGGCGGCGCCAAATCGTCCGCCTCTGATGCTCAGCCCAGTGCTGCCAAGTCAGGTGCGCTGGTCCGTTGTTGTTGTGAGTGTCAGCCTCTGTAACTTCATGCAGCGTGATGTGGGTCAAGATTGCATTGACGGTTATCGGGGATGCTGTGGTGAATTGCCAGCTGTCAGGAGCTGCGATCAAAAGGTTTGCTGCAGCAGAAATACGCCCCACTGATCTGTTCCACTCGTAGACTCGGCCAGGGACAACTGATGACTTGCATTGGCTTGTCATCCCACCTTGAGCCTGGGCACTCTGTGGCAAGAATGTGCTGGTGGTCTCGGAACAAACTGCCTAATGAAGTGACGCCCTTGTTGCAGGCAAGGAGAGCGAATCTGCTGCCGATGACAAGAAGGCGAGTACTGGCAGTGACAAGAGCAGCCGCAGCCGCCGCCGGCCGCCTCGAGAGGCCAGGCAGGGGTCCAAAGGGTCGCCAACAAAAGCAGCAGAGCCCGGCTGACATGGCTTTCCTGCGACCCTGTGCATGTGATATAATACTGATACCAATCAGGTTGGGGCCAGGGCAAGGCAGGTGCAGGAGTGTTGCTGGCTTGAAGTGCAACAATGTGCTCACAGCTGGTGTGAAATGGCATGTATTGCAATGTTTTGGACTGTACGAATTAGAGAACAGTGGGGAATAGCAGCAAGGCTGCACGCAGATGGCACCAGACAAGGGCCACGCGTGTGCATGACTCTGCGCCGAGCTCTCAAAAGTACCCAATACCTGGGAAGGGGTGTCAATGTCTGCAAAATGCATCAAATTACACACACAAGCTGCTCGCAAGCAGTCTGTAATAGTGAAGATTTTTGAGTCCAAAGTTTAGACCTTGCCACTTTAACACTCCCCTCTTTGATCAGAGGCCAACCTTCTTCATCAGGCAAAAGCAAGCACTGCTCACAGACTAAAAAAGAATTGCACACAGGGCCATTGTGAATTTCAGTTCAGACCAGACATCGATGTCTGGTGTCGACATGCATACAGTATGTTACAGTAGTCACTCCTGCTCGTTCTCTGCATCTGCCTTGCGCTTAATCTCGTCAGCCCCTGTGGTGTTGGGCACCAGACCAAGCAGCGGCAGAGGCAGCAGCGATGACAGTGTACACACCTGCAGCACGCCCATTGACACTCAGGGCTCACTTTAGAACTCTTGCATCACTGCATGTGATATAAGCGGTTGCTAGCTTTCAGGCACATTACACATTCTCTGCATTGAGAGTTCTGTGCTGGGTCACATCAAAAGATAGAGATCTTGCACAGCTTCAGCCAGATTAGTCCCCGGGGAAAACAGGAAAAGTGTCTCACTCTTCTGAATAGACAATTCCTTAAGCTCAGGGCCGGCCCTGTGGCTCAGCAGATTGTCAATTTCTTTCAAATACAAGACACAGAATGAATGGTCTTTCAAGGATGCGACCGCAATAGGATGCTGAGTACCTCTGTCCAGCCTTAACTCAGAGTGATGGTCCACAATGGGCAGAATGTCCCTGGCCGTGTTTCACACACAGCAAAGAATTGATTCTGACATGGTCGGATTTGCAGAAGGAGGATATTGACAGTCGCCCATTTGGTCCTGAGATGTCCACTATGGTATAGGGGTACATTTAGAAATCATTACCCTTTCATCCCAAATCTGCCCATGTCAAGATGCTCCCGTGGCTCAAGACTATACATGTAGTAGATAGTTACCTATCATATGGTTGTTGCAAAATGGATTTCAAGACATCGTAAAGAGCTGGCCGCACCAGGATAAGGGGCACAAGGTGTGTGAAGTCGGTTGCCGTCACGCCGAACGCGGCTGTGAGTCCGGAGCCGAGCGCGGAGCCGACAAAGGCGCCGCCATTCAGAATGGACATGAGCGTCGCAAACAGCGTCGCCTCAACTCCCTGTGCATGCAGCGCAGCATATTCTGATGCAATGGTTGCAGTGTCGAGACCATGGCATCAAGTACACATCTGGTCTACGAAGGTGCATCCAGTAGAAATAACCTGCTGCAATTTGTTGTCAGATGCCCAGGTGGGAAGGTTGAAGAGCTGCAAGAAGGTGCACTCTGTAATCAACGCGATTGTGGCAATGTGTTGAAGTATCACACGGTTCGCAGATGATCTGGTGGGAGAAAAGCTGTGTCAAGACGGTCTATTTTGGGGTATGTGCGGGCACATGCAGCGGGCAGGCTGGCAGTGTTATGGCAAAGGATCAGAACATCACACTGTGCGCAGATAATGTGGTTGGAAAATGCACTGTCAAGGGGGTGAATTTTGGGGCCATGCGCGGGCACATGCAGCGGGCAGGCGGGCAACACCTCTGGGCAGAGCTGGGCAGCCAGGACGAGCACGGGCATGAATGCCACCTGGCCCAGGGCAGTCAGTATCACTGAGTCACCCAGCACAAACAGCTCGTTGCTGATCCCCAGCGCCCTGCTTGTGCCTGCACACGCGCACATACTCTGTCAGTATTTTCTCTATTACAAGTCTTTCAATTCTGCAGAAGCACACTTGCCAGACCGCGGACAGCGCTTGTGATGGTTCTGTGATCATTGAGGAGACCAGCTTGGGTCAAGGGCAAGGCTCTGTGCAGAAGTGTTGCAGGGTCAACGACAGGGAAATTGAGGATGGGAACTATGCATCCAGCATGTAAGTGCAAATGAACAGTGTGCACTTTGAGATAGGGCTTGATGCACACAACAATGATCAGAACAAGCTCCGGCACGACAAGTATCTCCCAGCCACAAAACCCTTGTTCATTGCCCTTTGTATCAACCCTCATTCAAGGGGTGGCGGCGCACCGGTGATGAGCAGGACTTGTGTCAAGCCCAGGCCCGTGCCGACGACGGCCGTCCACAGAAACATCTTGCGCAGCGGCACGTCCTGCAGCACAGCATGGCAATATTCATATGCATGGTCAGCATTATCCAAATACACCACCTGTAATCCGCTGGACCTCGGCTTGGATTTTGGGTATTACAACCAGGGGAGAGTGGCAGGGATGAGTGATAAGCATCTGTCATAGATGCAATGTTGGTGCAGAACCATGGCCATTGTGGATCTAGCAGATGAGTTCTGCCTGGAGTAGAGCATGCTCCCCATTGTTGAAGACTTTGATCCGTGCTGGAGAAGAGGCAGAAGAGCTTCTTACCTTGAGCGCAAAGTTGTAGGCTCCCACGCCGGCCAGAGAGGCGAGAGCGCCGGCCAGCCGCACCTTGCCCAGGAATTCGGGCGTGAAGCCGAGCGTGTTGGTCTGGAAGTAAAACATCGCCGTCTCCGCCGTCGGCGTCGCCTGCAAGGAAACAGCAAATTTGCTCAAGGTTCTATATGCTCAAGGTGTTTACCATAATGGCGCTGGCAGAGGATGTTCAGCACAGAGATGACAAGCTCGGCTGCATCATGTGCATGCCATGACCAAACTGAGTCTGAAACGATGCAATGGCGCAGCAGATGTATCATGCATGCCGTGTGATTCTCTAAGGTCCTCTCCGCAGGAACATTCTAGGAGACATTCTGACTTAATCGAACCTGAAAGACACTGGCATGACAAGACTGGGCGTCAAGTTGGCATGCACCCAAGACAGCCCTGAAGGGCCGCCATGAATTGCAGGAATCAGGGAAGGTGTGCATATACATCAGGGCATTGCCTGCCAGAGGAAGACGAAGAGCGCTGGCAGGAGGATGGAGCGCTGGTTGACTGCGCCCCACAGCGCCCTTGCCTGCACCTCCAGGCTCCGTGCCATGTTGCCTGCGGAAAGGACAGAACCTCCATTTCGGACACTCAGACACAAGTGAGGGTACATGCAATAGATGATGGCAACTTGTGTGTATGCCACATCACATCTGCCATCTAGCCAACCAACTTCATGCATGCGAGACCAGACGACGCCACGGTTTGTGAGTGGCCAGTGGGAATGCAACTTTGTGCTACACCGCTGTCGCATAGACCAGGCAATCACACAGCGTTTTAATAAGGCATGCATGCACCTCGTTGCTGCATGTCAACAGCAGTGCAACAATGTACACAGATATTGGGCTGGGACACATGTGCCGCCAAAGTCCCGCAGGAATGCCCTGTGCTACCGACTGATGATGTATATTCTCTCAGGGTAAACTTAATTGCAGTGCTTGCTAAGACACATCACAGCAGCGCACCGAGGTAGGCCTGGTCCGCCTTGAGCCTGGTTGGCCCAACGGGCTGCTCGGCAATGAGCACAGCGGCGGCCGACACCACGAGAGGGAACGCCGCAGTCAGGGCGAAGACCCCCCGGGGCCCCCACGACTGCACCAGCGAGCCTGAATAGTACGCGCTCGCCACTCCCCCCAGTGCTGCCGACGCCCAGCACAGCGACTGCAGCGACCCCGCCGTGCCCTGCAATATATCCACAGTGACCTCTGAATAGTTTGCTAGGGACCCCGACATGACATGATCTACCTGCGTTGAGATTCCTAGAATGTTGCAATAGAAAGACGGACAACCCCCAGCAGCAACTGCTGCAATCCTGCCGTGCCCTGCAATAAGTCCCCGCAAATGATAGCATCTCTTTGTAAATCTTAAGATGCCGTGATCTAGGGGGTTGCTGACAAACGAATGCCAGCACTGCAGCGACCCCGATGTGCCCTTGACCCCACAAGATCAAAAATATCACGCTTGTATGACTCTGACACTCAGAGAGGGAAATACTGGGATTGCCTCCCACAGCAAAGGATGTTTCCCAACACATGCATGCGCTCTTGATGCACTCACTGAGACCGCCTGTGTGCCGCGCAAGATATGAGAGCAGCACTGCTGTCACTACATCCCAGGCGAGGCACGAAAGCAGCCTATTAGCGCCAATGCCCTCCACACCTTGACAATATGGAGCATCTTGAGTTTCTCATCGTTTCCATGAAGAGCATGGCATTTTTTTCGGCTACACAGGGGCTACGCCCCTGTCCAGGGAGTATCCAGCATAGGGAGTCTCAAGCAGTAGATTTTCGCCTGCAAATCTCACGACCTGGCAGCTGCACAAGAAAGCAAGCCACCTGCGGCGCGCCTCGTGGGCGTTCCACGAGAGTGGAGTCCACGATGACGTCGGAGCATATAGTTTCACCACTACACAGATGTGCTGGCAGCCTTGCACCCGGCAAATTCCACGGAAGCTCGTGCAAGGGAGTTGTTTTCTTCCACTTGCCAGGTGTGCATTGCCAAAAAGATGGGGAAGGCACCTGCGGCGCGCCTCGCGAGCGCTCCACAACGATGGAATCGACGACGACGTCGGAGCAGGCGGTACCAAGGCTGCCGACAACGGTCGCCAGCAGCGCACCCGCTGGTGATCGCACCACCGTCGCCATCGCCAGCCATGACAGCGAGCCTGCATGTGATCAAATCACACAAGCCTATTCATGACGCGCTACGGATTATTGCATGCACATGAGCCTGTTCAAGATGCATGCACACACAGGCCTGTTCAACAAACGCTTCCTCTTTGCGCCATAACACTAGCGCGTTCAGGACACATGCACACACGAGCCTGTTCGGGATGCGCCTACTCTATGTTTGATGCACACGAGCCTAATCAGGGCGCATGCACACACAGCGAACCTTTCAACTATTCAATGGGGCAATTAAGCTCGGGGGTTAGACTGTGAGAAGGCATTCTTGCTCGACCGTTCCGGTACTGCACGTGTGAATGTGGTCCCTGGTGGTGTTGCTATAGGGCATTACATACATTTTTATCTTTTGATTCCACAATACTGTATGATCGCCTTGCTTCTTGCATGCACACGAGCCTCCTTAGGATGCAGCCGCGCTGGCCACATTCCCACTTTGCGGGCTGACTTTCAGGCTTCTTCAAACGTGTCATGCATGCCCCCCAAGCTTGCGAGGAAACATCACATGCCATCGATCACCCGATCAGACACTGCCTGTATAAGGACGCTAGCCTGATCTGATGCAGAAAATGGTGACCAAGCCCTCGAGCTGCATGCCTCAGAAGGAATACCCATGGCTCTGTTTGAGGGTCTGATGCAAATTTCTAGTTGGTCTCAGCTTCTAGTTGGTCTCAGTGTGTCACACTCCACTACGAACGGATGTAAATGAGAGCAGCCCACCTAACAGGCCGCAGATGATGAGGTAGGACCGCCTCTTGTAGCCAAAGATTGGTACTGTGTCGCTCAGGAACCCGTACAACGGCTTCACCACCCAGGGGAATGCAGCAAAGCTCGTGAGGAATGCCACCTGCAAGCATGCAAGCCCGCAATCCAATTCAGCACTGTTTTATCATGAATGAAAAGTGATGCATGCTGCATGCAGTAGTGAGCTAGTATGGAGCAATTGAGAGTGGTGGGCTTACCGAAGCTGGCTCTAAGTGGAACTCGTCCTTGTACAGGAATGATACACCCAGGCGGGACAATCCCAGGATGCCCTGAACAAAATACACTGCGAGCAGGACACACATAATCAGAGTCATGCTCAGGGTGATGCATACTGCTGAACTTAAAGTTCAAGGGAAGCTTGCAATCTCCAATTGACTTTCGTGGGTGTGGCTCACCCATTGATATGGCCACGAGCTCTGGAGAAGGCTCCAGCCCCATGAAGCGAAAGCTCTGCTTCCCGTTCACCAGTCCTGCCGTCTCTGATGTGGATGCTCCGTTGCTTTCGACGTTCAGCACTGTATCTGACTTATCAGCTGGTGATCTGGTGAACAGCAAGCGAGGATCAAGTGACTGCAAGGAGACATCAGAAGCTTCATTTTCAATGCACAGGGATCTTGATGACAAGGAAGAGAAAACATGCACCTCGTGGATGTTATGGCTTGCTCATCTGTGTCCTCTCGTGGGCTGGCCGAAGCGAGGCGACGATGAGTTTCCATTTTTGGAGGCCTTCTGTTCATGTTGTGCGTTAAGGGGAGAATGCTGGGACGTGTACTTCCTCTTAAACAACAGACGCCATTGCCCCCATACGCACGCTTTCTGAGAGACAGACAGCGAAGGCTACTATTCACAAAGGAAGCATGCATAAGCAAACGCAGTCAGGAGCACAAAGAACGACCGATCATATTAATGTGTTCCCATTCGTTCTGGTCTTTGAACACCTGATCAAAACAACTTTTTACCAAGTTCCATCGAGCCAGGTGTCTTGTATTTTTGGAGAGGCTGCGTGACGTCACAATTGGACGGTGCATGCCATCCTGGATTTCGATGAAGAGCAAAACTAAGTAGAAGGCATGACGATGCTAGTATGAATTTGATTCCTAGAAGGCATGGTAAATTGGCGCCGAAACTTTACATTATTGGTAAGAAAAGGCTTCAAAGTATTGAGGAAGCAATCAGTCGATGCACCACCTGATCTGCTGAAGCAGTGCAACAACATGAAGGCCTTGATCCATCAATGTTACCCCCTCACCATGCTCATGAGACCGAGATCATTTTCTTCTCTTCTGCGCCAGCCCAGCAAAAGTATAGGTGACGATGCACCCAGCTACAGCTGTCCCTGCTGCCTGTAATCGCTCGGAAAAATAGAAATTCGATCAAAACCTATTAATTGTAATAAGTGCAATCACTTGCATAAGCTGAGCGGTCAGATAAGGATTTTTGTTCCCACAGATGTACGAGTTGCAGCCATGGTGACCTCTCGGAGTCCCGCTGTCGGTGTTCAGACAAGCATTGATGCTGCTGTGGAGGCATGCTGTCTATCACTGGACAGGGAAATGGGCCCAGTCGAGATCGCCTTGGTAATACTTATCAACCCCCATCCGTTTGTTCACCTCAGCCCTCAATGCATACAGCCTGAGCTTCTTCTGATACTAAGAGGAGTCTATGCAGGTCCAAGAATTGCGAACCAACTGGTATGTAACAGCAGGAGACCTGGCAGCCATGTCAGAGGTAAGACGCTAGCAAAGTAACACTGCTCGCTGATGCCTTCCAACCTTGCCCATAGTCCAGCCTGGCGTCCCTGCACATGCTGCCGCTGGCCACATAAGACTATCTCACTGATTGTTATTTCCTGTTTTGCGCAGGCAGAGGCAAATTTGATGCGCGTGCCACTGCGTTTGCTGGCGCAGCTACGGCTGCTCATGGGGGAGGTGCAGCCAGCTGGTTTCCAGAGCACAGCACAGCCTGCAGCAATACCCATGTCGATGCCAGGCATACCCTCTGTTATAGGAGCATCCCACCTGGCTGTGGCAGACTCCAGCATGATCCAGGTGTGGCAGATGATGGGCGCCTGGTCACAAGTGTCATCTTTAGCCTCCCACACTCCTCCCTGTATGACATGCCACGGCCTCCGTCACAATGCACAATTTGAAGCTTCTGTTGAGAATTCCTAGACAGTGCGGATTGAGACTGCAGACGACTGTATAGCTGCCATGTAACAACAGTCATCATGGAGGTCAGCTTGGAGGTCATCTGAGGGCTTCGGGTCCTGGGGAATACAGATCTCAGCAGTGCCCTCTTCAGATCGAAGCTGACACCATGCTTTCCTGCACAGCAGACAATGCCAGCACCTCTCAGTGGAGATGTACAGGACGACTCTACCCTGGACCAGATCTCCGCAGTGGAGACCAGGCTGGCCTCCTCCGCAGCAGCCTCCACCAGCTGCTCAGATTCAGATTCAAAATTAATTGGAGCCAAACGGTCCCGCCGTGTGCAGAAGCCGCCCCCTACTTCAGCGGCGGCTGCCGCAGAGCAGATCCCTGCAGCGCACACTGACATGTCACTGGCAGATGATATCTTGTCATCAGGGGGGGGACCGCAAGGGGAGGCGGTGGGGGCTCCAGCAGGGGATCCGGCGGGGGGTCCAGCGGGGGGTCCGCAGGTGGACCCTGTGCTGCAGGGGTACGTGGATGCCATCATGGCCAGGCGGTGTCCGAATTTAAGTCGCTTCCAAAACGGCAGCTCCTATGATGTCAAGGTGGGCATTGTCACACATGCATATCATCCTGAATAGACAGGGAGGAATTGAGGAAACCTTAGAGATCTCGCTGCAATGCGCCTAGCTTTTTTGGTATTAGACTGAGTTGATATTCACAACGTCATATCAACCTGCGCAAGCAGCGAAGAATCAGGGAGGCAGACTCGAGACAGATGCTTGAGGATGTGCTGGTTGTAATGTGCAGGTCACGAAGAAAGCCAGGCCGCTGCCTTTCGCCATCAAGGTGGGACAACCCTTATGCTCATGATTCCTGATCAGCATTCATGCACTGAACTGATCCATGCAATGCTGTCCCATCCCTTGAAGTTGATTTTTCAGGAGCATGCCAGTCTGGGAGGGCATGCATGTCTGTCATTCGGTACAGGTTGCAACAATCGTGTATCTGTCAGTGCTAGCGCTGCAAACTACTCGGGCCCCTGCAGATATGCTGCAGACGCCCTTCATGCATGCTCTTTGCCCCTTGTCTCTGGACTTGCTAGAAAAGAATGATAACATATACATGCAACATAGGGCGGATGCTGAAAGGCTCTGACTGTGCAGGAGGCTGACATGTCAGATGAGCTGCGCGCTGAGCTGGCAGAATTCCGCCGCTTCTGCATGAAGCGCTCCTGGCAGCAGCAGCACGAACCCATCACTGCAGTGACCACTGAGAAGTACGTTGACCACCTCAGGTGAGGACCCGCACTCCCAATCTGCCACTCTCGCCCTGCATGTCTTCTGCTCCTTTGCTTGCTCTTCAAGGGTATGGAGTAAGCAGAGGCAAAACAGTCCAGCTTAAATTACAAACCAGATCATTGGGAGTCCAATAAGTGATAGCAATCCACTCAGCTTTCTGCTGTTTCTACGGTGAAATATTACCATGATTTAGTGCTAATGGTCGCCGGCCGGCGGCATACATACTGAGCACCATGCCCGCTGTTGAGTGGGTCTTGCTTGGATCTGGCGAGTCCATCATGGATTATGACATCTGGCAGCCTTTACCTGCAGCTCGTCTGCATACGTAAAAAATTGTCCCTGGTAGGAACAGCGTGTAATCGTCATGATAATGCTGTTCCTGCTGCTCAGATAACGTTGTGAGTGATGCTGGGCCATGCTGACATCAGCGCTGATGTGGCAGGCGGGTGCTGGGCTGGCTGTACAAGGAGCACGGCGTTCCCTTGGCGGAGCTGCGGCTGCGACATGCGCTGCCCAGCGCAGAACGCTCGGGCGTCTCCGTGGCATTCGACTACATCGAGTGGCTCAACACCGAACGCAGCGTCAGCGCTTTCACCCAAGGTGGGCCTCGCTAGATGTGAGAAGAACTGTACCCAGTTGATGTGGTTGCATGTATTGAACAACTTGGGCTCTCTTCAATACCACGCCACCATTTCGTGTTCATGCATGGGAGATGGGGTTCCCTGACCATGCACTGCGCGCTTTCATCTCTCCTACAATGATTGGAGCAGCACTGAACGCAGCGTCAGCGATTTCACCCAAGGCGAACCTTGTCAAACCTCAACCTGTCTGTGATCATGCATGGGATGCCCTGAGCACAAGATTGGCTAAGATCTGGCATCCCAGGCCAATGCATGCATGCCCCATCTCTTAATACTGGAATGCAATGATATACACCTCAACAGCACTGCGCTCACCTTGGGGTCATCAAGAAAAAATATTTTTGACGTCCTTAGATCTTCTGTGTGCTGCAGGCCTTGCGGTACGGTCCATCATGCAGGCAGCAAAGTTCCTCTACAGGGACGAGTCCAAGGCGCGACCTGACGAGGGCGAGAAAGCTTGTAAGCCCCATTCCTCCCTTTTATCAGTTGAAAGCTTGTTTCCCACTGTGGTTTGCCATTGCAATGTCCCTTGGAGTGGTAGCTTAGGAAAGAGGTAAAAGATGTCGAGTGACGTGCCATGAGAGCGTCATATGACCGGGCAGACCACGTTCTGATAATTTTGCGTGAGCTCCGCATGCATGCGTGCTTGTGATGTCATTATTTCTTCTGTGCTGCTTGGAATTGGGCTGCAAGCGAGTATGTGATGTATAATGCCGTGTGGCGGGCAGACCACGATCTCATGGTGGTGCGCGAGCTGCGCAAGATGGCGAACGAGAGCAAGGCGGCCGGAAAAATTGCGCCGCGCAGCGCCGATGAAAAGCTCAAGTGGCTGGAGTGGCCCGAGTTTGTCACGGTGCGCTCAAGGCTGTTGTCGCTTACACTTCTACTGCGCCCAAGGTGGTTTATTGATCTTCCTTGGATATGGCGCATCCGGCAAGGTGTACAACTTGCGAGAGCCTCGTTTCTGCAGACGCACCCTGCCTCCTGGCAGAAACAGCGTCTAATAGCAGCAATGATGATGGTTTATCTTAGCTCGACCAATAGCCTTGTTTGCTGCCTGTGAGTCCTTCGGCACAATGCCATGCTCCCCCGAGTCAGAGCACATCCTGTGTTACCTTAAAGCTCCATTGTGCAGTCTAGGGATTCAAGGCAATCTGGGAATTCAAGCATTGCTTGCAGTCTCATTTTGATGTCTCTGAATACAATTGCCTGTTGTGGCTGCACAGGTGGTGCAGGAGCTGAGAAAGGAGTGCGCAGGCCGAGACTCTCAAGGGCGGCAGAGGGAGGGATCAGCGGTTGCTTGGTCTCTGCAGCGCTACCTCATCTTCGCCATCCTCTCCTGCATCCCAGGTGCGGCTCTGTTGGTTCTCAGCTAGGACACTTGATCTTTCACTTCTGCATACAGAGTTCACGTGGACGCGTCTTGCTGGCATGCTGACTGATTGCATCCTCTCCTCCTGCTCCCCTGTTGATTGTAATCTTGAAGGCCTTGATACAGTGACGGAACTTCTTGAAGCATACTACTCAAATCAGTCCATGATCCAGAAACAGGCACTGACAGGAACTGGTGCCTTACGCACACAACCCAAGCCCATGGTCGCTGAATGCCACACTGCATACAAATATTGCACAAGGCTTGCAGCACTGCAAGCTGCTGCAGGCAATTCTCACCACGTACCTCAATGTGTTTTTACTCTCAGAAAGTATTCTGAAGAGCTGGCTTGTTCCCGCGCAGACCGGCAGCGGACGCTGCGCGAATTGAAGTATGGGCGAACGCTGTTCAGGGAAGGCGATAAGTGGGTGATTCGTCACCAGGCGGGCGATTATAAGACCGGCCGCTCCTACGGCGAGCGCCCGCCCATGGCCATCGCGCCCCACGTCTACCCTGAGGTGCAGGGGATTCTGTACAAAATAGGGAAAATAGACCCTTGAAACCCTGCATATGGGCCCTAGCCGGGGGATTCAAGAACCCAAACCACTAGAATGTCTACTGCAAGGTTCAGGGAATGACAGTCTTTCCTCCCTTGAAAGAGCGGGGAGTCTTACTGTGCACTTTGCATGCCACGCAGCTGGAGGCGTTCCTGGGCCACTGGCGCCAGTTCCTGCAGCCGGCGCACAATCTGGTGTTCTCGCAATTGAATGGCAAGCCGCTCACGGAGCAGGGGCTGCACAAAATGTTCCAAACGAGCGCCTTCCGCATCTCCGGCAAAAAAACCAACCCCCACCTGGTTCGCGACATGGTCGTCACCTATCTCAGGTGCGCTTACATATATATATGTTGACTTTGTCTGGGATTGTTCAGGTTTTTGGGGATCAAAATTTGCGGTGAGAAACTTCGTCATCTTTGGAAAAGCGGAAACCCCACCTGGTTTGCGACATGGTGGTCACCTATCTGCGGTGCGCGTGAGGTGCTTAAAAAATACAGCATATGGTTTTCAGGGGTTTCAGGGAACGAATGTTAGGGTTCAGCATGTGAGCGCCTTCCGCATCTCCGGCAAAAAACCCAATCCCACCTCTTTCGTAACATAGTCGTCACATACCTGGGCCGCAGAATGTTTATTTAGATGTGTACGTTGACTCTCATTATCCCCGAGCTTGCAAGGTCAACGCCGGTGCCAGGCAGAACTCCAATCTCAAGTTGCGCAAAACTGTGTCAGGCAATATTGCTACCTGATTCACAAACTTTGCCTTTGGGCAAGATTGTGACGGTACGGGACAGAGCAATGTGTCCACAGTCATCCTTGCCTGGACCCGGTCTGTCCATTGAGAACAGGAAGTCTTGATACAGTAACCTCTGCTGCAAATGAAGCTCGCCCCAGGCAGGAAGAGCGTGTAATGATGGGTTTGGGCTGGGGCTTGTAGTCCTCTAGTGGTCACCTGCTTCCCTCCCCTTTTTAAGTATTGGAGGATGCGGGATGAAGGCATCCAGGAGGGGCGGGCCCTTGCTGCTTGCCTCGGGTGGCGTGCCTGATGCCGTTAACGTTTGCAATGAGCTGCATGCAATGGTGCACGCAGGGGGAATGGTGCGAGCGAGAGGGAGTTGGAGGCGCTGGCAATTTACATGGGCCACAGCATGGAGATGCAGCGAGGCACCTACGACAGGCACGCCCTCTGACATCCTGTCCATGATTCATTTTGCAGCGTTATCACCGCCGTGCACAATTTGGGGGAATGATCTACTGTTGCTGGATGAAATAAAATCTGCAGCTTTTTGTGGCGGAATTTTCTGTGCAAGAATTTCTTTGGCACTTCTTTGGCAGCACGGAGGTTTGCTCTGGCTGGCGGGGGGGGCGGTACAAATGCTGAGCACCGTGCCCTGGGATGATTGGGTCTTGCTTGGACCACTTGATGGCAGGAAAAGCCTGTAATATGAATAATAATGAGGGGTATCTGAGCCATGTTACAAATGTACTGCAGGCGCACTAAGGCTGCAAAAGTGGAGCCTGCTGTGGAGCTGCTTGCCTCCTTCTACTCACAGGCGGCTGAGGAGGGGCAGTGAGCGGAGCATCATAAATTCCTCAGATCATTGGTGACCAGATGACCTCTGAATCATTCTGAATGGGGCACCCTATCACAGCATGCATAGCAGGGATGCGGAAAAGACAGGCCTGGCTCGGGCAAAGGGGCACTACGTAGTATATATACAGACACTTGAGCAGTCTGAGGCAGAAATACCATCACCTGCACCCGAGCAGTACAGCTCAAACCCAGTAAAAGCCTCCAGAATGCCGCGCACGCGGATGTCAGCTGCATCCCCCATTTACTATGAATTAAGGGCCCGTTTTGGGCCTGGACCAAGCTTGGGCTGTTGCCACCCAGGAGTCCTGCAGTTCACCCTCGTTATAAGCACACATCTTTCACCAGCGCTCGAGAAACGTCTTGATTGCACTGACTGCGTCCTTGCAGCCGCTAAGCGACGCATGTGCATGGAACCTTTGGCCTCAGATACCTTGTAAGTGGGGCATACTGGATCATGACATGCAAAGCACGGACAGCTGGAGACAATTACTTAAGTGAACGTTGATAACGGGAACAATTGAACGTTCAACTGTCACAGTTGTGGCCCTCTCTATATCACCAAAATGGCATGAGCACTGCTTGGCAACGGTCATTTTGATGACTGCAGTGTCACAAAGAATACAAAAGTACTGACCTGGGGCCTTGCAGATGGCCATTGCATTCCTGGGCGCTCTCCCCAGAACAGAACACCAGGACTGCAGATGTCAACTGCCAGCGTGGCGCCACGTGTGCACTCTCCGCCCTATAATATGCATATGCTGCGCAGCTACCAATATACACATGCATAATAATAACATAATAATATTTATGAGTGGCGAGCCCAGAGGGCCATACTATGTAGGGCATGATGCAGCTGCCATGGCACCCAGCTGTAGCACTGGCCAGTCCATGGACAGCTGCGGACCTATGTTCCCTGGTGTGCCCCAGGCATGACAGCTCTGCAAACGCCCACGGCTTTGATGAACTCCACCCTAAGATACCCAGTTTTCTATGGAAACCTAATGACGTCATGATGCTGACCTTGTGCTGACTTGCGGTGAGTCATTCCCATGGCTTCGCCGTGCTATTGCACTCTCGCTTCCAGTGTCAGGAAAGCAGCGAACCCCTGCAGGTTGACCAAAAAGAACGAGCGTCTGCTTAAGTTACGTGCACTGACAGCATTCTTCGCACTTTTAAAAAGCTGTGGCCGAGACAAAGCAAAAGGCTAAGGCCAGCTATTTGAGAGTACAGCTGTATTTAAGAGATCTCTGTCCGTCAGTAGCCATAATCTCCCACTAAAGCTCCGTACTGGTGGCAAATAAAGCAAATACAAGGAAATGGGCAGTGAGGTAAGTTTCCGCATTCCTCCCATTTGCCCAGGAGGCTACAGTTTTGAAGCGGGACCAGGATGTAATGTACATTTCGCCTGATACAGTGATGGATATATGGGCTTAAGGTCCCTAAGCCTTCGGTTGGACGAGCACCCCTCACGATTTTTGTATATTGCAAGATGTTAAGTTCAACGTCTCCAACGTTACACCTACGTGATGCTGTGCAGGCAGCAGTGGAAGAACTTCCAGCAGCACTGACACTGAGAGCGACTGCAGGACCCTGTGAAGGCACCAATTACTCCAAAGCAGGCCCTCTGCTCACTGTTGGGCGCACTCGCGCTAGCAAGCTGCACATCAAGGACAGTGCAGTCTCTGAGAAGCACGCTGAGCTGCGCTGGGAAGGCGGCCACTGGAACCTGACCGACGTTGGCAGCTCCAATGGCACAGCAGTCAACGGAAAGAAGCTGGCAGAAGGCAATGTTCCTCTGATCCCTGCATTTTTGAAGCTGTCAGCAGTGAACTAGCAAGCGCTGTATCTAGACGAGTCCTATTTACAGTCAAGTTTACTTGACTTTGTGAAGCAGAGATCTTCTAGAGCTGCTCTGGCGGGGTTTTTGTATGGTGCAATTTGATGGCCAGCCGTGTGCTACAGGCATCGCGTTGCGTCTGAAGGATGGAGACATCATCCTCTTCGGCAGCGACTCGCTGCTGACTGTGGAGCTGATACCCGCCTTCAGGGAGCATACCACTGTGGAGCAGCACCTAAGATCAGAGTGCGAGCTGCTCATGCAACGCGTGCGGGTGCGCAGCTGGGCCTCCACTCATGTTTGACTTTGACATTATGCACAGCCCATGTCATCAGGACTGGTCTTGTAAAACTGTGCTGCTGAACCCTACAAGGTGCCAGTGTGCTCCTAGGCCGAGGGATTTCATGCTTCAGTTCTTCCATTGCGCGGCACCCTTCCTCCTTAGCCCCCCTAGGGGCCTCCTCCTTTTCACCCTGGCTTTCATGCATGGGATCTCTTCTGGCCTAAAGAGCTGTGGACATTGAAAACGCCCACGAGGCATCCCTGCGCTGTTGGCACCAACAGTTGATGCTCAGCAGCTACTTGTCGGGTGCAGGGCCGGGCTGAGCAGCATGCCAACGAGCTGCTGGAGTCCTGGAGGAAGACTAAGCAGGAACTGCTTGCAACCTGATGGCGTTTTGTATTGCCTGCTTTGAGATTGTGGTGCCTGGTTTGTATCCCACCCCTTGCCATTGGACATATTACAATATAGAAGAATACCTATAGGAGCATGCTCACTGTTTGTGCGCACTGTTTGTATTCAAAAAAAAATCTCTCTCCGCAACACTCAGCTGAATAGCCTAGTAGGCTAGTCACCATTATTTTGCAGTAAAACGTTGACATATATGCATCCACCCGTCTTGCTTAGGCCCTGGGGAAGCTTCCAGAGCCCTCGATGACTCCAATGGGGCAATCACTTTTTTCAAATTGCAGTTCCAAATTGCTAGTTCAGCTGCAATGACAGGTTGGCATAAAGTGGAAAGTAAAGTACATTGGCAGGAAGGTTTTAAACAGTCATGATGATGACTCTGGTGGCATGATGCTGGTGTCCTTCTACGACAATTGCCGCAATTGTGGCATTGGGAATCACATTGCAATTACTGACATACTACAGATAGCATCACACGCCTCAAAATTTGTGTCTTTGCCAAAGACAGTGCATTCAACAATCTCCAAAAGTTGCTCTCATCTCCTGCTGCAGTACTGGTGGCACCAGTCTGGTGCTAGTATCTCAATATTTATAGCGATTGTGTTAACGTTCAAAGCTAGTGCTAAGGCCACAATGCCGCCTTTTGTCTGTTGACGGCCGGCCGTCATTGGCGCCAATGTTGATGTCAATGACTTTTAGCCCACTGAGTAGCACCGTGCCATGTGACATTGAGACGTTCGGCTTTGAGCCGAGGTTCCAGACACAATTGGGCACTCAAGACATTCCCAATGCTCTAATCATGCAATGATCAGTGATAAGTCACTGGAATTGATACCAGTACCAGTTCATTGGCAGTCAATATTGATATAGATCGGCAGCCTTCAAGATGAAGTTCATCATGGAGGCTAGTAATGATGATCTGTGCTCAGTCCAACATATCCAAGAAGTGTCATGATGACATCTGCGCATGTGCACTGCGCAGTCTGCTTGCATGCAATGGCAGTCAGCCCCAATAAATTAGCCCCCGATGATAACAGTTTGATTCGAGTTGTTGATGGTGGTGGGCGGCGGCGTGGGCGCGGGGCCAGGGCCCATGGGCTGGGCAGTTGTCAGGACCGGCACCGTAGTCACCGGCGCCTTAGTCGTCGTCGGCGGGGGCGCCGCCAGCGTGACTGGCGGGGGCACAGCCGCCGCGGCCGCCACCGGGGCGACGGTGACTTGCGACACGGTGGGCTGCCCGAAGGTTTGCGGCGGCAAGGTCTCGTTGAAATTTGTGGACGCGGCTTGGACGACCATCGGCGCGTCTTGCTGCGTCGTGACGGTTGTCGTATTGACTATGACAGTCCCTGCCACGATGCTGTTGATGATCACCTGGGCATGCATGTAGACTTCACTCACAAACTTACTTGACCAACCCCCCGTTGAACTCATATAATTCAGAGCATCTTCTGTTTGCAACCGTTCGCGTGACGCGTGATCACTGGCCTATAAATGTCATGCGCCTCTGCAACTCAAAGAGAGGAGCTGTCAGCCAGAGTACTGCTAGGAGCAAGTGATAATTCAATTGGCAATGTGCCAATAGTCAGTGATACCTGGAGTATGTTTGGCGCGCTGGCTTGGATTCCTTGGATGTACTGCGCCTGGAAGTCCGCTGTGAAATTGGCTGGTGTAAAGGTGGTAATCCTGGTCAGGAAGGTGACGGCTACGAGCGGAATAGCTGCATGCACTCCAGCCAAAATAAAGTCCACAACTTATCTAATTGTCAAACCAAAATTAAAAGCTTTGAATGCTTAGATGCAACCAACAAATGGTCGGACTCCAGTCACTTCAGGTTCCCAACTAGTGGTCAGGATGGCCAAGAGTGCTAGTGGTACAACATGCCATCTTGTCAAACATTGAACATTGAATGTTGATCTGTTGAAAATTGGTGCAGGCACCTGCTGTCGCCAGAGGAGTTGTCTGTGGGAGAGCTGTTGTGCTTGGTAGAACGCTTGTCGGTGGCACCGAGGGCATAGTGGGTGCCGGTTGAATTTGGCGCCAAGCATGCCCAAGATATCACCCTTAGCTGTCGCAATGTCTGCCACTATATCCTGTGCAATACATTCATCGATCAACGATTGGCCCCGGTTGTATCGAGTAACATATTGTTGCAGAGCTCTACCTTTAATACATTGAAACTTCGAGGTATGGCAGCTGAGGAACAACAGCTGTTTTGACCATGCTCAGCTTTGCCAAATCTTGTGCAGCGCAAATAAGATCGCTAAGGACTCCTGACATACTGCAATCCTGTCTCTGCACAGCCTCCATGGTTCCGTAAATGCAAGGCAACATTTCCCCTGGCCGTGTCGCATTACAAGTGGAGGTGTATATGGTCCCAAAGACTGCACGACATGCATCTGCTATCCCCATTTACATCTCTAGGGACTTCTCTAGGAATGGATGCAGATCCATGCTCAGCAACGTTGTTAAGAGCTACCTGAAAGTTCCCGGTCAGAGATGTCTCACCTGAACAGCATCTGCAAGTCCGCTTGAAGCGCTGAGAGAGACCTCGCTAATACGTTCTGCAATGATAAGAATATAAATGTAAGCATGAAAATTCATGTAAAAGCACTGGCAGTACATTGCTGCAACACTGCAGGTTGCAGGACGACGTATGCAGTCCATTAGATGCAGAAGGGAAATGAAATGCAATCAAAAGCCCAGAACTATAAATGCACGCTTGCAGGATGCAATTAAATGTACCTGTAGCGCTCGCCGACGGTAGAAGTGCATTGGCAAAGGGAAAGGCGCAGAGCACCAGAGCGAAGGCTCCTGCGAATAGCAGGCCGCTGTCTGGGGTGTCCCGGGCTTAAGATAGTAATAGCCACGAGACTGAGGACTGCTTGCCAGATACCGACGGACTCGTGAATAGGTTGTAAAGTCTGAGTGTTTGATGGGTCTTTCAGATGCTTTGCCTGATGTTCTCGTCTTCGCACTGTGTTACACATTCCAATTGCATCACTCAAACAGTATTACGTACGTAACAGTGCAGATCTCATGCAAAGCCAGGACAACCCTTGATATGCACCAACTTACTTCCAAGTTTCATGCCACCTCCCATCGCTCCGATGGCCCTGCCGTCTACACTAGTGCTGCACTTTTACGTGCATCTAGTGACACGGTGGCTACTTCAACAAAAATTGTTGCAATTGCAGGTTTTCCTGAGGTCACTGTCAGCGACTCACTGACTTCTTCTGCTGCAGGGCAATTTGAAAGAGGGACCCCTGTTCGTGGCGTTGTCAAAGTCCCGGTAAGTGACGTGGAAAGGGTGCAACAGTATCACACATGCACCAGGACATTATTCATCGTGACAGCATCGTACATGATCCAGTGCATATCCATATTGATCCATGCTGCAATTTATTGCACGCATTGACAGTGTACACATTGCAATGGTGATCACAGCGCTGCCAGCAGGGCACGTGCAGTTAGCTTGAAGCGCTCGGTAGCTACAGCTAGTGAGCATCTGCCATGGGTACACTGATGTCACATCCCACGAGTAACGGCCAAATCAGGCACCGGTTGTATCAAGTCACTTGCGCATAGTCTTGTCTCATGAAAATAAAGTATTTACGTGTACACTCGTGTGATCACTCATGAGTTGATATCATTGATAAATAGCAACATAGATGGGTTTGTCAATGGCTTTGCAAAGGCCAATTGGAAAGGCCTGGCCAGGAAATGGGTCTTGCGCAATTAGAGTCTTAAAGTTTTATACTTTTAACAGCAGCAGCAACACCATCAGAAACCTCTTCCTACAAGTCTGTGCAGCCTCTGATCAGTCACTAACCAGTCACGAAACGCCAACAATGGGAAGGGTGTCCAATTTGGAAGTGCAAGTGCACATTTATTTTCATCAGGAAACACCATCAGACCTAATCGGCTTTCCCCAGCCATAACCCAAGAAGTCAAGATGCATGCACTCAGACGGGCCATGTCTGAGACGTCTAAGCTGTCAGACAAAGTCCAGACAGTATTTAACCAGAGAACCATGTCAAAATTGCCGGTCGCACTAATGCAGAGATGCCAACGTCACACTAGGGCAGTAGTCTCCTGAACAGAGTGACAAACTTCTCCATATGTGCACGCAAGCGGATGCTGACCAGAATCGCTATCCCAAATGCCTCCTGTGTTTGCCCCCATCGAACTCTAAATCACTTTCAAAACACATCTCTTTCAGCTTGAACCTGAAAGACTCAGCTTGCAGCTTACTTCCTGACCTGCTGTCAATAAAGCGTATCCTATCCAAGGCAAAATTAATCAACTACTGCTATTTCAGAAGCCCCTCGTGAACATCCAGGGCTCAATTCATATGGCCATGGCTTGATATCCCATTCTAACAACACACATGCAGTATTTTGTTGTCACCCCTTGTTCCTGCTCATCTCAGGGCAGTTATCTTGCATCTAGTGACTTCCTGGCTCTTCCATTGTGTGATCAAGCTATACGGCGGCCCTGGCTGTCTGAAGGCAGCAGAGCATGTTTCCCGATGCACTGCAGCACGTTTTTTGCCGATACGCGCTGCCGCTTTCTTTCTTGATGTAAAGGCCACCTTCAGCTGACTCCTTAGCCCTCAATACTGCTGCTATTGTGTCGGAGCTGGGGGCCGAGCTGCAGGGCTGAGCCCCCAACTTTTTTAGCTCCCTTGGGCAACAGGGGAACCAAAAAAAAACAAAAAAAACCAAGAGACCGCCCTGGCGGCACATGACAAGACTCAGACGGATACTTCCACTCAACGAAACCAGCGGGTCTTGCAAGTGCTGTCACACTAGACTGCCCTGGTTGGGTGCTAGCCGGCTTCGCATAGGAAGGCCGGTGTGTTGCTGCTGAGCTGCAGCCAGCCACAGCCTCTGTTGCTCTGATGCCTCATTCTGCTGCCACGCCTCTGCAGCAGCACACACAGACGTCGAGTCAGACCACGTCACAGATGCTGACAACCTCCAGATTCCAAGTCTCCAAATTACCCCTATGCACAGACACGCAAGGCCTTCGAAGCGGTCACAGAGGCTGCAGGCTTGGCTGCATGTGGCCAAAGGTGCAGCCATGTCATAAACCCAGGCGCTTGCAGGAAAAGCAGTGGTTTTCACGCATTCTACCTGCTTGTCAGTAATGCAATGGCACACATTCTCCCAATCTCTTGTCAGCCAGAGCTCAAAAGTGACTGAGTGCCCCACAGACCGAGCCTGGGCTGTGTTAAAGCATTCACTCCTTGCATATTGTGTATTTGTTTGCTCCAGTTCAAGCTCAAGTAAGGCCAGCACGTTCAAAGAAACACGCAATGGCAGGGGCTGAGGCACACCTATCGCTGATAGGATCAGGACAAGAAGCCAGCAGAAGATGGCGGCAAGGGCGGTCCAAAATGCCCAGGAGGGCCGGACTGGGCAGAGAACTCCGGGCACCAGCTGCGTAGTCTGGTACCCAAAGGACGACTGCACCAGCAGGTAGAACGAAACCAGTAGTGCAGCCAAAACCACCCTGCACCCACAATAGAGCAGGTAAGAGCAGAATACAGGTCTGCTGCAGTCCTGTTGGCCGAAGTCCAGATCCCGCTCCAGACTGCCATCTTCCTCTCGAAGGTATACAGTAGAATCTCATAACAATCACGCCCCTGGTCACCAGGTAATCTGTGACTACAACGTGTTGTGCTAATATACAATAGGCCAAACTAATCGACCTGCTGATGTGGCAGAACTAATGCTGATGTGGCATCACGTGGCTCTGACGTGGCATGACTGACGTTAGCAGAAATCTTACTGATCCATTAATGCAGTCCCAATCACTGGGAACTTCTACGGGAAACCTTGTGCTACTATCGAGTGTGATGTGACAAAAACGAAGCAGGACTCTTAGGAGAACCAACGGTTCCCAAAGAATTTGTGACAATAACGTGTCTGGTATACCGAGAGTGAATATAACAAGATTCTACTGTACACCACTGTGCACCATCAAGTGGGATGTTCGCTGATTGCACAGACGACAGCAGAGAGGTCCTTGTTCAACGCACTGTGTGATCTGCAAATTTGATCTGCATCACTGCATCATTACTGAAGAACCAGAGAGGTCTGGCGGTGGTGAGAATCAGAAGCACAAAAAACCCCCGGCAGCGCGTTTCTGGATCAGACATCTCGGCAAAGACCATGAGCTGTACAACTCGTGAGATGCTTGCACAAAGACACCACTGCAGATCATCTCACGAACATACGGGACGGACAGCTATGCAGCATGCAGGAAAGCAAGGAGGCATCTAATCAGTGCAGGCATGCAGGCTTTTTGTGGCTATGTTCCTTTGCTGTCTTCTGAAAGGGGTCACAAGACGCACATGATGGTGAGGGCGGCAGGCCACAGCCAGGGCCCCAGAGGCCTGATTAGTTTCTTCGACGAAATTATCGCCTGCCTCAGCTCCCCTGGTGCCCCCATTGCCATCGCTTGCTGCCGCTGCAGCAAAAGTCCGCAGCGCAGCAACACCCCCAGATACACCCCTGCCAGCACGCATGAAGCTGCCAGCATAGCTGCCATGTAGCCGCCAACCAGCTGCGCGGCATCCCCGTCCTTAAAATTATCCTGCGGCAGGGCACAATTGTCGCAATCAAGCTCCATGTTCATGCTCATCAATTCCAAAGGTGCTGGCTATGATTGGAAGCCTGAGTGATAGCCGACCAAGAACATGTGCAGCATAGGATCAGGAAGCTGTCAGGCGGACATGCAAGCAAGGGTGCACATTATTGTGTCAGCTGCAGCAGGGGAGCTAGTCCACTTTGATATGTGACACATTGAAAGTACAATCTGCTCAGCAGAACAGAACAGAAACAAAGGAGACTGGTGATAGCTGTTGAGAGGGCAAGTGTTGACGGCTGCCCAGATATGCAATCATGCCTGCTAGAGGATAAAAACAAAAAGAGGTGACATGGTCCTAGTGGAAGATTTACAGATCTGCATCTGCTGCAGCACAGCAGGGAGTTCTTCGCACCCAGATCAGCGCGTAATGTGTCATCTTCCGTCCGGCCAGAACCCAGTGCCGTTCTGCCGCATATCGACGCACAGCATTTGTGTGCTGCAGCAACAGTCAGGCAGCAATTAGCACCATATCCTGATATTTGCAACGTAGGAAAATGAGAGCCACGAACAGAAACCAAAGCCATCGCACATGGTGCCAGAGGGTGTCATGCTAGGAAGTAGAGTGGCCAACCTGATAATATCCAACTTCGATGAAGTGGTCCCAGGGAACCAGATTGAGGTTTCGGAGGTAATTCGTGTCCATATCCTCCCCATAGAAGTAAAACCATCCCTCCCTTTCTCCAGCCAGGGGCGCAGCTGAGAGGCATATCAGCACCACCAGCAGAGCTACTTCCACCAAAAGGGTGCCCTGCGAGCACGTGTCGTTGTGAATGAGGGAATGGCAGTACATTTGCTTCGTAGGTGAACAATTCAGAAAGACAGCAAGAAAGCAGTACAAAAATGGGAAGGTCTACACGCGGTCAAAAGCTCTGAGTGGGGAAGCAACAGACACCAGCGCAACATAAGCTCACCAGAGGAAGGCGGAGGGGCGGTTGTTGACAGACTTCATGAGCGGTTGCCTTGCTTCCATTGCTCTTTGCTGAGCCGGACCCCACAGCGCCTTTGCCCAGACTCTTCTGGGAGGGCACGTTCGCCTTGACGGATGCGTCTTCTCTAGCTGACATGAAACGTCGATGATGGCATCAGAGGTTAATACGCAGCCGCATCACATAGATATCCGCGTTGGAAACCCCTGCCAGGGATGTGTTCTCAGTCAGACATGCCCAGCACCCAGTGGTATTTTGACTCTACGTTCTCTCGGCGATTAGTCAGAGCACGCACACAGAGAGACGAAATGCTCTTGAAGACACGCAGATAGCCTCACGTCAAAAGCGCAAAAACTGTAGTGCGAGACGTCAGCGCGTTGGTGTCATCGGCCAACAGCTGGCCCTGTCTGCGACGGCTTCGAATTAGGCAAAGATATTCTGGATCCTGTGCTGAGCTGGGCCAACGTTTTCTGAACATTTTGCCACTCCACAGTTTGAACGGTTCTATACGTTGCAGGGCCTCATGTACCAAACATGTGGACCACAGTCATGGCAGGCCGGCCGGCCATTGCTTATAATATTAGTAGCTACTGCTATTAGTAGCTGACTTCATGTACGTACACAGTCAACCTCTGGTTAACCAACGTTGGGCTAGGCAATTGGTTTACTACTTACTTGATCCCAATACATGACCTAGAATCCATTGCAATGGTCAACCTTGCATGGTTGACCTAATATGTATATCAGTATCACCGACCGGCCGCCCTGAACAGGCCGAGGCATAATTGCGCGTAAAGCAATTTACCGGTACAATGCAATTGCAATTGCAATACATATTTGGTATGTTTACCGCATGACAGCATCATCATCATCATCATCACATCCCATGATCATGTACGGCATACAGTCACCAGTAACACTCTCTCAGAAAGTCTCCATTCATCCCTGACATCACTCATCGAGGCTTCTTCTTGGCACCGGCCTTGGCCCGTGGCGGCGACTGGAAATCCGTGTCCGCAGTTTCATCTGTGTAAAGGCGCTTCAACTGCCGCCTCGGCTTCTCAGCCGCCGCAGGCGTTGTTGTAGCATTGGCACAGCCTGCGCCTGCACGCATGACAAACTGCTGTTTACCTCTCCCGTATTCATAAGAGCCTCTCTTGTCAGCCGGCTCGGACTCGGCTCCTCTTTCCCATGCTTCCTGGCTGAAGGAGGGGCTTGCTCAAGGCATGGCAGCTCAACTGTGAAGGCCGTTTTGCATGCCGTGGTGGTCAAGAGAAAGGCAGACGGAGCCAGACAACTTCACCACATAGAAGCCAGGATCTTGAGACATTGCAAAGGTCATATCAGAAGAACTGTCAGCTCCTCTTACCTTCCCGCCTTTGCTCAGTATCGCCTAAGGCGGCTTGGTGGGCGGCAGCCATGAAGGAGTGCAGGGTGTGCTGCTTGTGCAGCTTCCGCTCGGCTGCCCTCTCCGACGCCTGCTTCTTTGTCACCACCTGGGCAGACATCCTCCATTCAGTAGATGATACACACTCTGGGATTGCTTAGCTGAACTTTGCAAGAAAATGCCAGCTCAATACACAGGCTCCACGGTCCAGATTGCAACAACCCGCTTCTTGAAGAGCACTCCAGAAAGGGCTGAGAACGAGAAGGCCAGTCCACTCTGCCGTTCTGTAGTACACTGCTGATACAATGACAAATCCGGAGCGACTCGGCGGTGAGTCACCTGGTGGCAGGGGACGCAGAGCGTGCGCAGGTTCTCCAGCTGGCAGAGGCCGCCGCCCTTGTAGACGGGGCGCGTATGGTCGGCGTGCCATGCGTTCCCTTCCATGCACTGACTCACCAGCTTCTCGGCAGCTGCCTTGAAGCCGCGCGTGCAGAAGCCGGGCGCCAGCTGCGCCAGCCGCGCCTGCCGCCGCTCCTTCCAGTTGCGCGTCCCCTTCTCTATCACCCTGGCGCAATTGCCCCCTTTCAGCACAACTGCGACAGGTGGGGAATTAGAGTGGTCCGCACGTAGGAGCTTGCTTAAAGATTCCCTAGTGTCCACGGTACATTATTTGTGTGTCTGTTGTTTCAAAAAGCTCCTCAACCCCTCAATCTGCAGCTCAATTTGGATTTGGGCAGGCCATATCTCTTTGGCCCTATTTCCTCAGGTGGTCCTCTAGATTGGGCGGACCAACGATTTCTTCATGCACTGCGCACCTGAGTCGGGCGAGGAGGTTGGCGGTGTCGAGGCGGCAGATCTGGCAGCGGCCGCGCTCCAGCCGGAACAGCGCACGCCGCAGGGCCCCTCCGCCGGCGCGCAGCGCGTAGGCCGTCTCGCAGGAAACGCCGCAGAACAGGTCCGCAGCGCCCTCCAGCACCGCCTGCGCGTGCATTCGCGATCCTTCAGGGTTTCACGACCCTCTAGGGTCTAGGGTAGAGGAAATTTATTGCTTGCGCGCATCTGCGACCCTTCAGGGTTTAGGGCCAAGTGAATGAACCACATGCGTGCGCATTCACGACCCCTTAGGATTTAGAGGTCAAGGGAACGGATGTGACCTTGCCAATCGCCTGTATTGGGAGAATAATTCACACATTCACACAGGTCTCACGAGAAAGATGGTGCAGTCGGGCATGCATCAGCCGAGCAATCAAAGTCTTCCAAGGCGCACATATGCCCCCAAAGTTGCACGCGCAAACACAAGTCGTGCTGGGCGCAGATAATACAGGAGGTTTCAAATTGTTGTTCTTGTTGAACTTGGATGGGCGCTCACGCTGGGCGGTAGGGTGCTCAGTTCCACCGACTTCATGCAGTGGATGCACAGACGAGCACCAGAGCCCGTGAAGGCCTGCTTGTACGCCACTGTGTTGCCGCGCCTGCAGGCGAGTGCAGCTGCTCATTTTCTTTTAACTATTCCTTGTTTACTTGTCATATAACTGCGTCCTGTGACCATGTGTGATCATGCTCAGTAGTCTGTTCTGCGTTGCAAAAAAAGTGCACAGCTTGAAAGAATGTGCGTTGTTGAGTGGCCTTCAGTCCTGCTGCTGACAGAATCAGCACAACACAGCTGCACATTGTGAACACGGGTGGCTGGCATTGCAGAAAAGAGGTCCGGCCTCAGAGATCTTCTGCTGTGGGCAACTTCTGGAACAGGCAATGCTGGGTCCTAAGCAGATGCGCACCCAACGTAGCGCACATGCACCGTCGCTAGCTCAGCTCCAGATGGCAGGGCCATGTGCGGCCGGCCTGTGTCCAGCTGGCGGTCTGTGCTGATGCCATATGCGCCTGACGCCTTTGCTTTCTCCTCGAGCACAATTAGCGCGTCCTGCAACAACATGGCAGATTTATAGCCGCTCTTTCAGGTGGGTGCAAGGCTCTCAAGGGTGTCCTTGCATCACGCCTTCACGGAACGTCACTTCTGCACTGCTGTCCCAGGGATAATTGCAGGCTGCGCTCAACTCGATCAGGCCAATAAAGAGGCAAAACGTTTTAAAAATGAACTATTCGCAATATTCATGATTCTTTGCCCTATGGCCTCTGGCTTTGGGTCTGCCGACCTGTAATAATAATACTGTAATAATTCATGAAGTGAAGTAGAACAATGCCAAAGGATTCCACACACAAAAATTCCAGGCATCATGACAAAGCATGAGGCATTCAAAATCAGCAATTGATTCAAAATTGTTCCCTGCTTTGTCGCACTTACTAAAGTGCCCCCTTCAGGGCAGTAATGCCTTGGCTTTGAGAAATAAGATTGGGTGATTTTGGTTAGATGTCTCTGGATGCAAAGCAATGCAGCCAGTGGGGTCCCCCCTCTGCCGCACCTGCAGTGGGCACCGCATGGGGGTCCCCGCCAGCTGGTTCTGGTGCAGGGCCCGCAGCTCGCCCCACTCGGCCGCAAATTCGCGCGCCTCCCCGATCCATCGCAACACCTCTTTTGCATCCACCCCTGGCCCTAATGCCAGCAATCCCGCCTGCCCCACCACAGCCTTCCCGCCCTCCCTGCGCATCGCAAGAATCTTATCCACACTACACTTCTCAAAAGTTTCATGCAACCAAATCATTGCTTTGAGAGTTGTAAGCATGCATGAAGCAGACCTCACCACGAGTCTGAATGCTGGGGCTGCCAGATTGAGCTGCGCGTGCATTCTGCTCACATTCATAGTCTGGCGAGAAGGCAGACTTGAGAGTCCCAAAAAATCCCCAAGGATCCTAATTGCAGCCACGGAAAGAGAGGAAGCTGTGAGTGTTTCACTGATGTATCTGGGTGAAAAGGACGTGCTACCTGTCACCGACGGCAGCCAGGAGGTCCAGGATGGTCTGGGGCGTTCCCTGGTCCTCAGGCACAGTCAGCAAGTCCATGGGCAGCGACAGGCCCAGCATGTCGCTGCCGCCCGCCGAGCCGTGGAAGTGCACGCGGTTCGTATGGCGGCTTACCTCAAACCACACCTGCGCACACAACGCCGTGGGTAAAATGATTTATTGTTTTGACCCCTAAAAAGGCGAATAAAGACACGAATGCCTGACGTTGTGCGCCAGCGCCTCTCAATTGGCCTCTGAGATATTGCACAGTGGAGCCCACTGTCCTGGTGCTGACTTTTGTAACGAATGGGCGGACATCTCAAAAACACAGCGGTTCGTGTGGCGGCTGAGCTCCAACCACACCTGCCCAGACACCTCCAACGCGAGGTGCCAACAACAATGCTTAATTGGCCTTAGTTGAATCATCATATTCCTCCTGGAATGGACAAGTTTAGTCCCGAAAGTCGTTATGTGCACGCACATGGTGTGGCGACCGACCTCTAACCACATCTGTGCGCAGCACATGTTCACTTGAATTTCCATATGTTCCAAACTGCGTTTCTGAAAAGGCAATTCTGAACAAGCGGACACAGCTCATGTTTCTGAATGGAGTGTCAATGTGAGTGCAGAAAAGGACGCATGAGCGGGCAGCGGCTGCCAAGAAGCACCAAAGCACCTAAAATTGTTGAAGCCACACATTGATTAGATGCCAGGATATAATTGGGGCAGCCCACACGCTGGAATCGATAACGATCCCCTCTCGCCTTTTCCCCTTCTCCCTCTAGATACATGGGCACTACGGCACAGCTCAGCCAGACATTCAAGAGGTGCCAGAGACCATCCAGCCACAACTTGTAAGAACTGAACAAATATTCCCATGCATGCATTTCGGCCCTGCATCTGAGGAGTGCGGCGCATGACATACCTTGGGCCTGTCATCATCCAGAGCTTTGCCAAAATCAGCACCATCCGGCGCGGGAGCTGATTCTGCTGCATCAGGCTCTTCAGAGTTGCTGGGCGCTGCTGCCTGATCAGGCTCAGGAGAGGATCCCCCGGTGGGCCCCCCTGTGCCCCCCGGTGGGGGGGCTTGTACCCCCCTCGCCAAGGGGACCCAATCCTCGTCATCATCGGAGTCTGGCACCACCATGGCTTCCTCATTGCTGTCTTCGTCAGCAATGTCAATATTACCGCCCTGCTGTGACTTTGGATCCGCAGCAGCAGGGTCTGACGCACTGACGGCTGCCTGCAAAACAGAAATCATCCCCCATCAGGCATAGCACTATCTTGCAGGGGGTTCCATTCTTCCATCTCAACAGTTGCTGGAAACTGTTGATTGTCTGAGTTGCTGAAAATGTGCAGTCCCACACTTGGCAAGAAAGATTCCTTCTGGGCAGGGGAACATCCTGGTCATCTTTGCCACTGCAAAGCAACTGTTTCTCATGCCATGGAATATTCTCTCCCGGGCAAGACAAAATCTCAAGAACATCCAGAAAAGAGTGGGGCTATGCTGACGCTGTCAGGGACAGCTCCATATAAAAAAAAAGGAGAAAGAGCGGTGCTGGAGGCATTTCCAAACCAGTCACATATAGAGTCCACTGAACGCAGCGCCGAATCCTCACCTGGGCAAAAGCCGCAACCACCTCCGGCTCAGACTCAGCATGTGATGGCGGCTGGTTGGGCAGCGCCTGGGTGCAGCCCCAGCCGAGGCCGCCGCCCACGTCGCGCACGGCGTCGAGCGCAATCCCGGCAGAATCACCTGGCGCCGAGCCGCCCGCCATTGCCGCCGCGCCGGCCGCGCCGCCGCCGTCATGCACCGCGGACACGCGCTCCAGGCTCCGGTTGAGATTCTGCCACCTGCAGGATCAGTGGGCTTTAGCACCAATAGATGTGAAAATTGACGATAAAACAACATACTGCTGTACATGCTTATCATGGGTTTTAGTATCGAAGAGTTGGTCTCCACTGCTTCCTTGACGCCAGGTGCTCTTGATCTGACTTTCACGCCTTTGCTTGCCGCCGGACTGAAAAAATAAAGACCCTGTCCACTTCTGCAGTACCAGTTTTAATCGATTTAAATCAAAATTAAATCAACCGTGCCCCTGGTTGATTTGGCCTTGCTTGGATCTGGCGAGTCCAACAGGGATAGGATCCTGGCAGCCTTCAAGTGCAGCTGGCCTGCAGGACGTACCTTTATGCATGGTTGGTACATTCTTGTGTTTTTCAAGGGTCAAACCCTAAACCCTAATAACAATAATAAAACTAGGATCCATACGGCCACCTGCGTTCGTCGGAGGTGCCGCGCGCGAGCAGGAAGTAGACGTTGACGGGGAAGCGCTGGCCGTGGCGGTGCGCGCGGTCTTCGGCCTGCCGAACTGAGGACACCTCCTCCGGCAGCTCTGCAAACACCACCGCACTCGCCGCGCTGAAGTCCAGCCCCGTGCCTACGCCAGCACCGCTCTTATTTGTGCAGATATGTTGACGTAAAGGGCTGATTCACATCCAGGTAACGTGTCCAATACCCACCAATACACAGTGCAGGACTGCCTGCCACAGTAAGCACCAATGCGCCCGCCGCGCTGAAGTCCAGCCCCAGCAGAAAGCAAAGCAGTGTTGGGCCTTTGTGAAGTACGCACCCGGGCCCCAGCAGCCCAAACGAGTTGTGACAGCCTGGAACTAGATATGTACGGCTCCTCAGTGCTGGCTTGGCCTGGTCCAAAGTTTCCTACCGAGGGGTCTGTTGGCATGAGTGCGCATGCTGCAGCAATCTTCAATCTATTCTAAACAGGCTTACATCGAATGTAAATGAGTCACCATCAGGCCTGTGCGGTAGCAATGCTTGCCCATGTGCCCAAATTCTGGGTCTGCAGACCCATTGAAACTAACTCCATGCATCAGGGTTCCACAGCCAAAATGCCACACCGGCAGCTGTGGCGGAAAGCAGCAAGACGTAGACGGAGGAGCCGTCCCGGAAGCGCGCGCAGGCCTCGCGGCGGTCCCGGTGCCGTCTTTCTTCTTATTTCATTTCTTCTTTTCCTTTTTGTTCTTGTTCTTTTTGACGGAAAAGCCGACACATACAGCGACAAAAACAACGGTCGCGCACCGGCGGCGGTGACCGATAGCAGCGCCACACGCACGGAAGGATCGTCCCGGAACCGCGCGCATGCTTCACGGCGGTCGCGGTGATCGGTGGCGCCCTCAATGCGCACGTACTCCGCGCCCGCCCAGTCAGCGTTCCCTTCCTCGCCCTCCAGTGCGGCCGCCAGCTTCGCCATCACCGACCTGCAAAATAATAAAATTCGGGATTTTAAAAAATAATGCAGATTCCCTGATCCTTTCCGGGGCTTCATTCTGGAAACCGGTGCATTAAGACTCGCTCCTTATATTCTGCTGCAACATGTGGCTATTTTGAGTGGTCTTCAGGATGACAATCGGTGATCAGGCCAAGACATTGGTGTTCCATCTGGCTCCATAGTGGGCGCAATGGCAGTGGATGCGATGATTTGGGAATTTCAGTTTTGAAGTGAACGTCGGTGGTCCGCATTCACCCCAGCAGCCACCAATCCAGAGCTCTGTATCATTTGCAAGCAGATACTAAAAGCCACCAAGGCTGATCAGGATTGCCCTGAATCAGGTTTTTTGTAATCGTGATTATGATTCAATGTTAGCGAGGAGCGGGGGTGCAGATACTGACTTGTGGTGGGCAAAGACGAGAAACTTGGGCAGCGCCTCTTGCGCAGCGGCCTGGCCGGCAGTGGCGCGGCCCGAGGTGGAGCCGAGCGCGTGCCGGAGCCACTCCAGCACGTTGGGCAGCTTGGCAAGGCCCGTGCGCTGCCCGACGCTCATCGCCGAGGGCTGCCCGGCCGGACCGTCCCCGTCAGCGTCCATGTCAGCATCTCTGTCAGCGTCCACATCATCATCCTCGTCATCATCATCCTGCGAGCCGCCTTCACCTGCGCATGTTGACATAAACACATATGGATTGATGCGTCTGCACAGTGGTTGCACAGAGCTAGCAAAAGTCTCGCAAGCATGCATGCAGGCAGTGATGTCCCCAATTACTGACAGAATCAATTACAGAATCGAAGATAGCATAACGTAATAAATCAGTAAACTGGACGGAGGAGTATCTTGACGAGGGGTATCTGAACAGCACCACAGAAATGTCCGCAAGGCAGCGGTTTTAAAAGAGTTATGCACGCAGGAGCAAACATGCATAGTGATAATATAACAATCAGACTCCAGGGAACACACCCGAGGCGGACCGGGAGCGTAGCTCGGGCGGCCAGTGGTGCTTGAGTGGCGGCGGCAAGCGCACGACCTGGCGGCGCTTGGGCGGCAGCTGCGCCATGACTTCCCTCTTCAGCCGCCGCAGCATCACCTCCTGCGCATGTGCACAGCAGCCTCTGCACACCAGTCTCGATTCGAAGAGCAGGGAAGAGCTTCTTCACCCAGTCGAGATCTAGATTGCACAGAAGGTAAACAGGAAAAACAGCATACCGCTCATGTAACAATGCACCAGCCCTGGCAACTCTATGATGACACCAGCAACACCTGTTTGAGGAGGGCGTGGAGTTCGGCGGCGTACGCGAGGCCGGTGTTGCACCACTTCATGCGCTGAGCGCCGCCGCGACCAAAGACCGGGACGAGGCGCCGGTTGCAGTAGCGGTGCGCAAACGCCTCTCGGTTTGGCCCCAGCAGACCCGGCCGCAGCGCATCAACCTGGTGCAGCACCACAATTTCTTGACAGCTTTTCCTTATTCGGCGTGCTGGTTTCTTACACGCTGTCTTGAGGGTTTTTGTAGGTTGTTTGCATGTGCAAGGCGCCTCTGCAATAGGTGGGAGCTGTGATTGGCAAAACCTATGTTGGGCAGCGCACATGGATCAGAAACATCACTCAGCTGGCAGCAAATCCAGGACTGTCCCAACAAAGAGCTCTTGCTTGCTTCATCTCGATTGTTTCTCTCCTCCCAACTTGGTGCAATCTGAGCTGTATCATGTCAATGCAGCCAATTGTGCTCTCATGCACTGACTGGGTGCATCCTGAAGCAGGGTTTGCAACACCATCTACAGCATAGGCACCCTTCTCGGAATTCGGTTTGCTTAGGAGCACCTGGCGCCCAGCAACAGCAGTAGAGACCGAATAAGACGTCCACCAATATCCAACTGGGAGCAAAAGGAGACTATACTTAAGGGCGCGGGGCTTTCCTGGGTTGCCGTGGATGCGACATCAACGTGGCAGAATGAAGGGCAGGGCGCCACCTGGCGGAAGAGGTCGTAGGGGCGGCTGAGCGAGGGCGTTCCTGACAGCAGCACGGCGCGCGCGGCCGCGCGTACGGCCGCCACAGCCGCCTCGGTGTTGCGCGAGTCGGGCGGCCGGTCCTGCGTTCGCATTGTGTGGCTCTCGTCTACAATGACCACCTGCTCGGCAGTTTGCAGCCAGCACTTTAGAAAAAAATTCCCCTGAGTGGGCGCTTCAAAAGGATAAGTATTAAAACTGCATGGAGCGATCTCCTGACGACTTCTCAACCCGTTAGGAGAAAGAAGCCCCTGGATTATTAACGGTAGCGGTGTAACAACCAGCAACTTACAGCGTTACCTACCATGGCATCGCATTCAGATACTCGCAAATTGTTGTAGTGCAGGCACCAAGTAGCAGTTCCTGCGCGGGTTGCTTTGCACCGCACAGCAGTCGTCGAGCTAGTCAGATGTGTCGCACCTTGAAGCCTCGCGCTGCCATGCAGTGGTCGGCGCCAGCGCACTTGTTGGTCTTATTGGCAGCGGGTCCCCCGGCGCAGCAGCCGCTGCAGGTCAGGTTGGCCAGCATCTCGTAGCTGGTCACCACCACCTGCGCATGTCAGCATCTCGATTAAAGCCATATCTTATTAAGGTTTGCTGCTTTTCTGTCCACAATGGGATTCCCTTCAGGCCTCAGAGCACCCTCCCTGCAGCTGCCACACCTAGGTTGTGTATGTCCAAGGCGTGGAGGGTGGCTGCATGTGAGGCTTGAAAGGGAGGCCAACCTTTCACCTGATCCCACATTCAGGTGACTTCAGCAGAGCAGAGGTCAACGTTGTAGAAATGAGCAAGATGAAGATACAGTAGAGTGCACTGTACCTCCATCTCTGGTAGTTATAGTGCATGCCCAAGCGCAGCAGAACAAGCGTGGAGGGAAACGAACCTGGGGCACGGGGCCTCCCTGCAGGCGGTCGGTGCGGCCCTCGATGACGTGGACGGCACATGCGCGCAGGTGCGGCAGCCAGCGCGCCAGCTCCTCCGCCCACACCAGGCGCAGGCTTGCAGGCGCCACCACCAGGAGAGGCCACTCCTCCTGCAGCCAGGATTTCGAACTTTCAAATTCCCGATGTGACGGCAGTTGCATAGGGCATGCGTGCTCTGCTGGACTTGAGAGGCACCTCAGCCAACCGACTTTGGCTTATAATGTGATGCGCATTTCCCGTTTGACGTTAGATTTCCACGCGGCACCTTCCTTAAATCCAGATTGTCATGGTTTTGCACGCATTGGACTTCTCGTCGCTCGCAAAAGCAGCGTGCACATATAATACGAGCAACTGGCACCTCTGAACATTTTGAACAGTTTGGGCGGATCGGGAATGACTTCCGTGCGATGGCAGGAGGATATGCAGCAAGGGCGCCCTGCATGCACACAATTCGAGACAGCTGCAACAACGGAGGATGTACGGATAGCATGTGCGCAAGATAAGGTAGTGCTCATTCTAACATCCTCACTCCATAATGATACTGAGCCTGTGGACTGATTTACTCAGCTTTCCAGCGTGCGGGAAAGCCCTGCGGGAACTTGTTTATCCAATTCCAGTTTTTAAAAAGTGGATTTTTAAACGTTTGGGTTTTAGATTCACATTGTTTACCTGGTAGCAGGAGGCGAGCGCGATGGCCTGCACGGTCTTGCCGACGCCCATCTCATCAGCAATCAGCGCTCGGCCGCCGCGGCGCAGCGCGAAACGCACGCCCTCCCGCTGGAAGGGCAGGAGGGCACGCGCCAGCACGGGCGCCATGCGTCCGAAACGGTCCTCCACCTCAGCGTCGCTCGCCTTCTCATATCGACCCCTGCGAGGGTTGCATTCCAGGGGGATTGTACTCATAGCTCTCACGTCCCCATCAGCATCTGCGAAGGGACGGAATCCGTCGAGCATATAGTTGCTTTTTCACCATGCAACGTGAACAGAACGGTTTGGCGTTTTGCTGAATGGCTTGCATTGCTTTCCGATCTGGGTGACCGATAGTGAGGAGGAACCGTGAGGGAGAGGCACGGTGGGCCCGGTTTGGGGAGACGGCTCAGACGTAAAACCCAGTTGCAAGGAGGAATAGCAGCTGTAACAAGGATCTCCAGCTGTGACAATTGTACGTTCTCTGCAGATCTGAGGTGTCGTGGTATTGTGAGGCAGGTGGCTCAAGCTTGCTGTATGCAATAATGCAAGCATTCCAGGGGAATGTTACTGTTGCCATGATCATTGTGTGGAGCACACAGCGTGGCAGGACCCTGCGCGAAGGTGCATTCAGATAACATGTGCCTCTGTGACTGGTGGGCATCCCAGTGATTACACCCCAGCTGGGGGGACAGCTGCAGATGTGCTCTCTAGACCTTTGCAGAGAAGTCAAATAATCCAACAGTTGCATGCCTAAAACCTACCGCATCAATTGCAAGCTCAATGAAACAGCGGAGGATGGGACCCACCTGTTGACAATCTCCAATTTCCTAGCCATGGCAGCTGTACCGGCAATCAAAGTCCTGACTTTCTTCTTTCAGAGGTGCATTAGCTGCACATTCGGTGTGTAGCTGTGAGCATTGTGGCGATGCATGCGTGCATGCATGCCATGCGGTGCATGTTGAAAAATATGTCTGTCGCGGTGATCTTGGTTTGAAGCACGCAGTTTGGCAGGCCATCGTGCTAGATGCAGATTTGCTTGCTGCACAAAGATGAGTGGCTGCGCACTTGTGGGCAGCAAGGGTGATGTCTGGAATGAGGCTGGCGCGTCCGATGAGGTCCAGGCCGTGGTGGCTCTTCTTCCTCAGAGCAGCCACCACCGCATCGTAGTGCTCCCAGCCAATCAGCACCGCCGGCTTGACTCCCTCCTCCTCCTCACTGCGCAGCAAATGCCTTTGCCTGAACAAAGCCTGCTCTGAACAAATCCTCTAGCCTGAACAAACTTCCTCGACCACTCTGCAGAGTGTTTCTGTTGCCAAATCAATCTGCTGAAACAGAAGACTCAAAAAGTTGGCATGAGCGCCACAGACATGACATGTGTTTCTGTATATATTTCTGAAGCTCGTACCAGGCCAAGGAGCTTTCAGATGAGACAGAATGATAATCTTGTTGCGTGCCAGATGATTGGGGTCCCTTTGAAGTGTGAAATGTGGATGGGCGGCAGAGGTCAGGTGTGTGCACCTCTCAGCGTCGGTCAAAGCCTTGCTGAGGTCGACACGGATGGCGCCCAGGAGAGAGCGCATGCCCCCGCAGTGCTGGATCACCTGCTCTGCGCCCAGCGCTGCCATAACCTGCAGAAGCATACGGCAATAAGTTACTGCCACAAGAATAAGAACGTGTATGTTGAGTAAGAGATCAGCATGCCATGACAGGTGGAAAGACATTGGTTTCCAATGCTGAATCCATCTCTCTCCACAGAAAGATCCATCATGGATTGACCAAGCTTCATTTGTCCGTGCTTACGTTTGAAATGAAGGCAAGGGCATGCAATGGCTCAAGTCTGGACACTTTTGTTTCAGTGGTCTTTTTTGCAAAGTGTTACCTTGAAGCCGTCTGACGGTGCCGCCTCGAGAGCGAGCTGCGGGGTGAGTAACCGCTTGGGCAGCACGTCCCTGAAGTCACACTCCGGCCAGCGTTCGCAGCCCCAGAACTCGACCACGATGTCCGGCGCGCCGGGGGCGGCCGCCGGGAACGTGCGGCACCGCGGCAGCAGCGCGCCGCCGCAGCCGGCCTCACTCGCCACCTTGAAGACCCCCGGGCACCTACGCGCACGCACCCTTTAGGGTTTGCATGACAAGAGGCGTTGATTAAGAGTTCGGGGAGAGAACCCACGTCTTGGCTGGCACGCATCTTCCTGAAGCGGACCCGGATGATGCAGAAGGCCCTTCAGACTCACTCCATGTTATCTCATTCAATGCCAGGTGTTCTTTGAGCCACCACAGAAGGAAGTGAAGAGTGGTGTGCTCGTTGGTGTGCTCATTGAGTGAAGCAACGGCGCACTTGGCATGAGAGGAGGGCGGCATGGGAAGGTGCGGCAGCCGCTCCCTGAAATCATGCACCCGCCGATGCAAGTCGGCAGGCGTCATGCATGCCTCGCTGCCGCTCGCCCCTGTCACCCCCTGCTGCCTCCCAAAAGACTCCCTCCTCGCATTTAGGCCCCCTCCCTCCCTCTGCTGGTGCTGCGTGGGAGGCTGCTGCCTCGGCAGTGCTGCATCCTGCCACTGCGTTGCGGACGGTCCGCCATGTCTTTGCAGCTGCGCTGGAGCGCTGACACAGGCAGGGGCGCCACGATGGCCCCATGCCTGCTGTTGCTGTGGCAGCTGGTGGTGGCCTGGGCTTGCAAGGCCACTGCGATGTGAAGACTGGTAGCCGTTTGTCAACGGCCTTAGCGGGGATGACATGCCTGGCTGTCCGCGGCCAGAGCAGCCGGCGCCGGCACCTGACAGCCGTCTTTCCGCTAGGCCGTGTGCTGTGCACTCCCCAGAGCTGTTCTGGCAGATGCTGACGCCTGTATCTGGCAAGGATGGCATGGGCTGGCCCCAGGCATGGCTCTGAGGAGGATGGCCATTCTTGCTCCGTGATGAGCCTCCCGGCTCATTTCTGCTGTGGGCCTGAGGCACAGAAGGCGCGCTGCTGTGGGCTGGCATGTCTAGAACGATGGCCCTTGAGTTGCAGCTCATCTGCGAGTTAAGCAGGTGGCCCTGCTGAGTAAGTCCTGATTTATGCCACGCATGCCCTGATGATGGCATGGCTGCAATCCCACAGGCGCCAGGCTGCAAGTAGGTGTGCTCAGTAGATGAGGAGGTGCCAGGGGCATGGGATGGCGCAGGCTGCACTAGCGTGAATGCGCTGGGAGTTGGAGGCTGTGAGCTCCGCTGCGAGCTTGGTGCTGGAGGAGATATCACGACAAGAGGATCAGACGAGGGTCTGCGGCTCGCCTGTCCTTCCTTCCTCTGCCGCAAGGCAGCCTCTTCCAGCCTATCCCTGACAGAATGACGCTTTATATTTAGTCTCGATGAACTTGGCAGGCAAACTGTTGGTCTAATATGTTGCAAGTGCGTCAACGGCACGCTGCACGCCATTCGAGCATAATTAAAGCTGAAACCAGCATATTTAACACTTGCAACTACATAGATACAATACATCTGAGAAACTTACCAGTCCACATCCAACCACTCGTCATCAGACTCTCCAATCATACTGGAAACTACCATATGACATGCATTACTCCCTGTAGAAATTCCGCTGCATAGCCAAAAGCGATCTCGAATGCCCCACTATTGCTGGAGGGGTTACGTTGATCCCTGATATTGAAATACTGCAAAGGCAATCACGTAGATTGATACAATACTCAACATTGGACGTTCGTAATCTACATAAGAGCTCTATGAGCCCGGGCAGTAGGCCACTAGGCAGTAGGCCGAAAGCCCTGCTGTGCGTGAAACGGTGACGTCAGCCGGCGGGGTCAGAAAGGTGCCAAGTCCTTGAAGATCAAAGGCAGCATAACGCAGAGCAAATGAAGGGAAGAAATAAAGGAATTCCGTCAATGACTTCTTTTTTGAAAGCTCTATTCTCTAAAAGTTTTCTAGAGATGCCGAAATTTTCATGTGTTCTCTTCGCCTGTCAGCTTCAATCATTATTGCTCCAATAGTGGGCTGTGCGAGGTTAAGCAATCCCTGTAGCGTCTCCCGTCTTGGCAGCATGGCGAGGAAGGTGACACATCCTCTTGCATACCTAGAACAACATCGACATATGCCCATCCCTGCTGCCTTCTTGATATGATGGAAGCCTTCTGTTATCATGCTTGGCTTTGAATCCCTTCCGCCGATGCAGAAGCGGCAGGCTGACACAGGTGCAGAAGTAGAAGCTGCACCCAAGCGCAGCCAGAGAGCTAAAGCGGCCATCTCTATTCAGCCTGAAAAGGTGCTGCAATGATCCTTCTCCCACCTTGTTACCAGCAGCAGCTCCTCTTTGTCAATCTTGAAGAATGGCGGCGCATGTGCACACATTGGTCATTACTGCAAGCTGAGTGGCCGCAGGAAGAAGTGCAGAGTGAGTCTGAAAGCTTCTATCTTTTTAAGAGCGAGCCCCACGAATTCTCAATCGATGATCTAGCTGCCGCCAAAGGTCAGACAGAGCCCTGGGATGGCGTACGGAATTATCAGGCAATCATCCTAACCCATTGTAACTCTTCAAAATCGCTCGTTGATGTTCAACCGCATGTGCCTTGTTGGTCGCGTACATCTTTGTGGCTCTGCTTGGTGGCGGCCTCCTGCGCATGCAAGGAGAGTTGAAGTAGAGATTACATCGCTGAGCGCAAACTTTTCATTTAGGCTCGCAACATCATGCGAGGGATGCGAGTGGGTGACCGCGCGTTTTACTACCATTCCAACTGCAAGGAGGTACGCCTCTGCAGAAAGAGGATCCCTGCACCAAGGACCTGACAACCTGGTGCCCCATATGCTTGTGGCTGATATGCAGCAGCAGTAAGATGATTGCAGGGCATTGCAGATCCCCAGACGGCACTCTAATCTGCATGCACTTTTCTTGTCTGCAACACAGTGTCAAAAGTGAGGCGGCAGAGAGGGGACTTTCGAGGCAGAGAGCAGCAGACATATTGATCATCACTCAATAAGATTCATGAGTTCTACAGCTGCAAGTCAATTTTCGTGATCTAGAAGCGTTCATCCGCATGTCGATTCCTCAATGGGGACTTGAGAGGAGGTTTGGCTGTTCAGCCAGGCATAGTGGGGATCTGCGAGGTGGCCAGGGAGGCGTACCCAGACAGCACAGCGCTAGATCCCAGCAGCAAGAAGCACGACCCCAAATCCACGCCAGAAGAACCCCGCTGGTACATGGTGGATGTCAAAATGGTGCGGCCATATCCCATCTGAGGTCCTGGTGTACAGGGTGTAGATGTTGCCCCGGCTGGCGGGGGCCGGTAAAACTGGTTGCACATGGTTGACTGGGTCTTGCTTGGATCTGGCGAGTCCATCCAAGGGGCAGGTCTTTGGCAGCCTGCAGCTTGTCCGCAGATGAAGCTTGCCCATGTAATGATTGTGTTTGCCACTCATGCCTGCCCTTGCCGTCAATCCAAACGCAAAGCTGCTGGTGTCAGGAAGTGGCACACTGATCTAGACAGCGGTGGTTGCAGCAATTCTGCAGCCTCCAAGGGGATGGATGTGCATGCTATAGCATGCCGCCCGTGTCCAGTAAAAACAGCCTGACAGGCGCTGCGTCCTGTAGTTTTGAAGCTTTCGCCTTGAGCCTTACCACCCTGTTGCTGAAGCCAGATATGGCGCTGCACAGGTGCGGCGTTTGGCGCGGCTGATATCACTGCAGGAGCTCAAGCGGCACAGCGAAGGGGCGCTGAAGGGCATGGCGCTGCTTACTAAGGGGCGGCTGTCGGTGCAGCCGGTCACGCGGCAGCAGTGGGACTTTGTGCTGGGGTTGGAGGACAACCCCCCTGAGAATACCTGAGAGAGAGGGAGTGAATCGAGGGTCTGAGGGTTTCGCCAGCCATGCGTCATCTTGAGGTGCTCTCAACGATGTGGTGAGTCGGTTTTGCATTTGAATCCCTTGACAGCTTCACTTGGTGCGGGTCCACTTGGTGCATGCTGGAGTCAAGATACTGACATCCGAGAATTCTTGAAGATTAAATGTGAAATAATATTACGCATTGCACTGATCTCTTTGAGTATGAGCAGTGCTCTCGGTATGCTTCTTGAGAAATTGCATGGGTAGACAGCTCTGACCAGCCTTGCTAACATGGTGAGCATGAGGATGCCTAAGCTTGGGCCACAGTGTGCCCTATAGTGGCTGATTAGATGTAGGCTGCAGTAACTGTTGGCGCTGGAAGATGCACAGTACAGTGAGAGCAACTTTTGATATTTTGGGCTGAGGATGGCAGTACAGTTCAAACCCCACATGTACCCATATTACATGACCCAGCCTCTTTGATACAAAACATCACACGGAGCACAAAGCACCATCTGCAGAAGATGATATGCTTTGGCAGACTCTGGTGAACCTCAGCATGGCAGCAGATAAACAACTCTATTTGTAGTAACCCCATTTCACCACCCATCAGCATTCCCATTTTGTCACTTGGCGTTTGCCAAACGTATTGCCCTTTAGTCTACTCAAGACCAGTGCCTTTCAAGCACACTGTCGGCAGAAGTGTCAGAGTGAAAACCTCAGACAAGTGACGCTTGAAACGGCCATGGTCAAGTATTTTCAAACAATCATAATTCACCCGTATCACCCAACAACCAGTACACATCAAGAATACTTTTAAAAGAGTTGACATCATGAAACGAGCCTTTCCCTTAAAATCTGAGGTTCACACTCTCCGTGCAAAAGGCTTCAGACACACCAGACAGACATCCAAGAGACTGCTGCAATGCAGCATTAGAAACACAATTGTGCAAAAGAAAGACTTCAATTGTTTCAAACAGGAGTGTGCCAAGAAAAGAATATCAGATCTCTGCCTGCCCCTTCTTGCAACAGCTGGTCTGCATGTGAAAACAGATCCCAATCTGCTGGAAATGATTTGATTGTATACTGTATATTTCAGTCCTTTCTATCTTTTATAGAAAGGACTGAAATGACTCGAAAGACACTCCATCTACCTCATCAAATGCCAAACATGGCTGCTCTGCCCCAATCCTGAAGGTATTACTGCACAGACACCCACATACATGACATTCATCCACGAATACTTCCGTGCTGCCCTGAATGACCAGCATCCGTCTCCTTGAAAGGGACATCTAAGTAATCTGCTCATTCACAAAACAACTGCTCAACTTGCGCCGTTGCAACGCAGCTCCAAAGTAAAAAGTCTGCTAACAGAATGAAAAAACTGCATATAGCCCGCCTCCCCACAGACCTCAAGTATTCTCACACACACACAAGGAAAATTCCTTCAACACTTGACTCACATTGTCAGAAATAGCCAAAGTATGAAACCCATTCCTACCAAGTCTTCATGAATCTTCCCACATCCTGTCAGAGCTGCGCTCATTTTCCCAGAGAGAATTATAACTCCACCAACAAGGAGATAAATCTTGAAAAGGCTTTGCATCCTGCAGCAGAGGCGCACATTGGCACACAGCCAAGCATGCTCCAAATTCAACTTCAGACAAACCGGGCGAAATTGTTCACTTCTCCGATCACGTGTATAAAACCCCCTTGAAAGGTCCTGGTATCCCGTGTAAGGGCCCCGGCCTCTCTTGCTTATGCCACAGAAGAGTGGCATAATCGCACTTAGAACAACTCAAGAAAGCTGCTCTCTTGCTCATGAAATCTTAAAATCTTGATAACGCTCCTTACTTGCAAAGGCATCAGCTGCTCCGCGGTTGCACCCCCAGCTTGCCTCAAACATGAGGATCGTCTTCACAAAATACAAGAGAATACATTCATGAGTAGGGAAGATGTATACTTCTGTGCGGCTCACAGGAAAAGTGGGCCTACTCTGAAGCACTGAACCTCTCACTTTCTCAATGAAAAAGCAGGTTTTCGTCCAGGCTAAGTATTTGAAAAAAGAGAAGTCCCTAGGAATACCTGCATAACCAGGAGAATATCCATCTGCGCGCATGAAAGGGAAATGAAAGTGGTGAAAGGAAAATTTACGTTGGGTGAACCCATGCTTCGCGGTTTGCAGCAAAGTGCCTACGCCGCTTGTACTGCTTTTTGTCTCTTGCATTATTCCTCAATTTTCAAGGCTGCGCAGTGACTACTGCACACTCAGGCGCAATAATCCATGGCCTTGATATAACTGAGCTGCAATCAATTGAGAGGGCACAGCCTCCAAGCGAAGAATTTATGCTTGTCTGCAGAAGCACACAGTTGAGCTCCTGCTTTGCCGTGTGCTTTGTTTCTCTGGGGAAAAAAGTGGAAACCAAAAGGGCGTTTGGCTTGGCACATGATGCTTATTGGCACTGCTGAGAACATATTCGCAAGCCGTTTGTAGAGGGAGATCACTTTCTCATTTCCGCTGACGGCCGGTTTTTGGAAGCTGCGCAGCAGCTGCACCCATGCTGGCATCAGCATTGTCGCCTGATTTGGCCGCACGACCTGACATCGCCACGGCAGCGGCCCCGGCTGTGCGCCGCCTGCGAGTGGGTCCACCCTACGTACACCCCACGGCAACGTTCTGTATCATTTGTGTGATATTCGGATGATTGTTCGCGGGCATTATCGACGCTGTCACAAATAGACTTGAATGCAAGATGTGACGCTGGTGAAGCACAATTATGCGCTAAGAATGCATGCATTCTCCCCGCTGGTCAGCTGCAGAGCAACGAAGGGCAAAAGGCAGGAGATGCTTGCTAATTTCCTTTGATTCATGGTGCATTGTTTTATTATTATTGATAATTTTATTGATTCCTTTTAGCTTGAGGGACTGCTTACTCACAGATCTTTGCATCGGTTCAGTAGAGGCAAGACACACACCTGTGAGGGTGAGGGGCCGGCCAAACGGCGTTTTCGAGGGACAGAGTCAGAGGTGTTTCTGTGACTAATGTCACGCGCCACATCAGCGCTGATGTCATCCTGTCCTGCCTCTGGCGCCCTCACCGCAGGCCTCTGCGCACATGCAGGCCCATTTCTATGAGTTGCAGAAATTGTAGGGCAGAGCAGAACCCTCCAAATAGACACAGCCAATGCCCATTGTTGAATGGAATGGTAAGCCTGGTGACATATTTTGAGCAAGATCAGAGATCGCATGGCTCTTTGAAGGGAGCATAAATACCGAATGCTGCTTTTCGATAAAAAACGAGGGGCAATAAATCTTTCTATCACAGCAGGTGCAGGGAGATTGGATTTTGAAGGCATACCTTCTTGGGCGGGTTAGTCAGCGCTGAGGTGACGCCAGATCTTGCGCGCCCCTTGCTCAGCCCGGCAGTTGCGATCTCCCGGCACAATGCGCGCATGTCGAGAGGAATGGTGAAAATCAACTCGCGCAGAATGTCCATCTGCGCCTTGTTGAATACCTGCAGTGCCAAGCATCAGATCCGCTCACCTATGTCTTGAGATGCACAGTGCGGAATTGCAATTGTGATATACGCGCACATATTGCGACGCCCGGCCCCGGCTGGCAGGGGGCAGTATAAATACTGAGCACCGTTCCCATGGATGATTGGGTCTTGCTTGGATCTGGCGAGTCCATCAAGTAGCAGGATATGTGACAGCCTGTACATGCAGCTTGTCTACAGACGCGCCTTGCCTCTGGCAAATACAATGTTAATTACTAATAAATCAAGCTGACCCCGACTAGCTTGAAGCAAGGGAATTGTGAGGAAGACAAAGGCAAAGGTTACAGGTGGTGTGTTGTATGATATGAGCTAGCTGTCATAGGGTGACACATTCAGCGGCACACCGAGAAGCAAGCATGTGAGATGAAGAAACAGTAAAAAGTGGAGTAATACCTGGAAGCAAGTGCGCGTCAGCCGCTGAGTCAGCTCGTCGCCTCTTTTGGAAATGCCCGCCAGCTGGCAGCCCATGAGGTGCGTCACCAGATTTGGCTGCAGAGAACTGCTCAATTCTCCCACCACCTTTGGCAGCTTCTGCGCAACAGACAAACACACACCTTTGTCAGCATCACTAAATAAATAAATACATGCCAATCTTGCGCTGCACTGTTGCCGAGAGAGTGCAATGGGAAGAAAGAGCAACAGCCTTGAACAACAGCATGCGCGAAAGGCACCGAAATGAATTCGCCCTCGAGAAATCTGATGTGATATTAAGAGCAAGATTCTGTGTGAAGTACCAGTGCATTGTGCTTTGCCGGTGGGATATGATTCTGTGAGACTGAAAGCGGTTGCGAGTGAATTTGGCAGACCTGCAGCTTTGCAGCGATGCCCAGGCAGTCCTCTTGCAGGAACGCCTCTGACTGGATGTGGTTGTTATAGCCTGCCGCGATCCCCTCCCTTTGTGTTTTGGTCAGCCGCAGCCGCGCCTGCAAGTTCGAAAACAACACCTTGATCAAGGCCAGGCAAGCACTTGGAAACTGTTCTCATGTGGGGCAGCAGAAGCTCGTAACATATGCGTAAGGCAACAGCCAGCAGTCACAGAAATGTTTGAAATTCAAAACTTTGAAATTCAAACTTTGAATGTTCAGGGCATGCACAGCAGAGGCCTCACCACAAGGCGCTGCCAGGGGGCTGAATCAAACTTGGCGGCATCCTTAGGGGCAGGTGCCAGGCAAAGTGGCTTGAATGGGGCTGCCTCATCCTGGAAGCGCAAAACTATTGTCTTAGCACATTCCACATTGAGCAAACGCTGATTTTAATGGTAATTTTGGTCGCCATCGTTTCCTGTAGGCAAGGTGTGTGTGGCTTTATTGGCAGTCTCTTGAAGGACAGAGTTGTCTATATTATTGCATGGCTCCTTTGGACTGGATGAGTCACCTTTATGCTGCTTTGCAGGCCTGCCGAAGCATACAGCTGTTCCACAGTTGCATCTGGCTCCTGTGCATATGCAACCAATTTTGTCACCGTCCAATTGATATTACACTTTTCAGTGACGCTCAAGAAATGCATGCAGTGCATGGCCAAGACACCAGACCGAACGATCCCTCATGGGATCTTTAGAGTGTTCTAGTGGCCACAGGCAGGCATCATTTTTTCAGGGATGAAACAACATGAAACATAGAGCACTGTTCAGGCCAATCATGGCTGTTCTGTCCAAAAAGAAAGACATGGAATTTTATCGCACCAGCATCATGCTCTGGATGGGGTCTGCAGCTGGCGCCAGATCAGGCGGGCATGCTGAGTCAGCGCCACCTGGCGCACAGCTGGCAATCTCCGCCATGAAGCCCCACTCCTCCTGCAGTGAACCAGAACGCAGATTTAGCGACCACAAGCATTTATGCCAAGCTATCCCCTCTAGTGCCCAGTGAAGCCCATCTGAGAGCTGAGCAATAGCCCAGCTTATGGGCGATCTTGTTGCCCTGTCCATATTTGGGACGTGCTGCCAGGATACACAATTATTGCCTAGCGACACTGCACGTCACGTCCTTGAAAGATAAAAGCCTTTGTGTGCTGCCGCTCAGGTATGCATGGTCATACTTGGAGACGTTGTTTGAAGAGGAGAGTGTGCCAGGGATGCTGATTTGTAGGGAGGCTAAAACGGCAGAAGGCACCTGCTGCTTGTGCCAGGGCAGACTCCTAGTCAGCTGCTCGTGCCGCGTCAGCAGCGGGCCCAACTGAGCCAGCAGCTCTGCTCTGCGCGCCTCAAGATCGCCAACTTGCGCATGCACTGCCTCCGTCCTCGCCTGCACACACAGCCGTCGGCTCAATTCCACCGCAACACTCAACGCGCTGGCAATTGCAACGCTCACAGGAATGTCAGCTGTCAAGAAAGTTTGTGTCTCCAACTGGCATGCCCTGTCAAAGGCATCACGTGGCATGCAACGGCTCAACAATTCTTTCCTCCCGACAGGTGACATTTGTAATTAGAAGCTCTTTGGCAATTGGTCTTCATGGATCTGAGTCCTGCAGCGCACCTGCTTCCTCTGCAAATACTCCCGCTGTACATCCCGGTTCTTCTCTGCCGCAGTGCGCCGGCCAGCCGCCGGAGCGGCCGCCGCCGGAGCCGCCGCAACGCCGCGCGTGCGCGCGATGCGAGCCTGCGCCGGCGCGCCGGCCCGCAGCGCCCGCTGCGGCGCAGCCGCCGCCGCAGCGCCCGGGAAATAGTCCGGGTCGCTCAGGGCGTGCGGCCGGCGGCGGCCGGCCGTGGCGGCCGTCAGGGGGCGTGACGCGGGGCGCCTGACCTGCCAGCCGGCAGGGGAGACCTCCAGCGCGATCTGCGCCCCGGCGCTGCCGACCGCAGCCGGCGCCAAATCGGCGGCGCACGTGTCGAAAGAGGCCCATGCGGCTGCAGCGGCTCCGGCCGGCGCGGCAGGCGCCAGTGCCACTGTGAAGGTGAAACTGTCATCGCTGGCAGTGCTGCCCATGCGCTCGGCACTACAGTCGCGCGCTGGGTCCTGCGGTGTGTTGTACGTGTCAAAGCCGCCCCCAGTGCAGGACTCCCAGACAGCCAGGGCGGCCGCGTCCAGCTGGGCGCCCATCTCTCCGGTGTCCAAGCAGCACTGCCGGGGCAGCTGGGATGGGATTGGCGGCATGCCCACGTCGGCTGGCCGGCAGAGTAGTGTGTAACCTGTGCTGCGCATGGCTGCGGCCGGCAATTCGCATTCGCGCCTGGGAGTCTCCACTGCGATTGGAATCATCGGCGTCCCGCCCGGCAAGGGTGCCGGGCTTGTCTCGGGGATGAGCTGTGTGCAAGTGGCTGCAGGAGAACTGCGGAGAGGGTGCTGGCTCCTGCTGGCAGGCTGGTTTTCTGGCTGGGGCTGGTCAAGGAGGATCGTAGCATTGAGAAATGAGATTGGGGAGCTCTCTGCGCTGTCAGCTGCCCAGCTGGCTGGAAATGCGCTGCTGCCTGACACATCCGATGCTTCCATGAGGAATCGCATCGTGGGCAGCAGGTCGTCAGCAAGACAGTCGATGTCTGCTGACGACAGCAGGGAAGTCTCGGTCATCGGCTGCCCAGGCGACTCCCACGGGAGGAGGTCCAGGTCGTCGAGGGATTCGGGGTGGCTGCCGTCATGCCAACCTGGGACGCTGAGACTGCCCCACAACTTGTTGAGCTGCTCCTCGTCTCCTCTTGCCTTCATTGGATCTGACCGTGATGGATCCCCCAGAGCACTGCCCTGCACGACAAACCCTCGTTTCTGTCAGGTGTACGAAAAATCTTTTGAAAAGGACCAAACGGTATCTATTTAAGTTTTGGGCCGCTTGAAAACAAAGCAGCATTAAATGCTCTCTCCGCTGGAAAGATATCGATTGAACCCAGCTCTATCCGTGGAGTGGTCTACTTGCGAAGAAGTGCACGGTCACACATTTGCCGTGAGCTTCCTGAATGGCCCCGCCACAATCCAAAGGTATTTTGTAGATAATAAGGACGCCTGGAGATCCTAGAACACTGGGTTTGCCCTAGCCACAGTATTGAGCTCTGGACCGCTAGAATGGTCACTCGCAGAAGGTCTGCTCGATGGCTTGTCCCAGCCCTTGCATCTTCTTGAAAAAGTCAGGTTTTCCATCTATGGCATTGCCACAAGCGTGAAAGGCAGATAAAGGCGCCAGGCGCCGTCTAGTTGGATGCCACTTCAAACCCTGGCACACGCTCAAAGCCTCCAAGGAGCCCCCTCAATGCTACTGTTGGTGTGATACGATCAATAATCCACGCCTACATCCCAATAGTTTGAGGATGTGCCAGTGCTAAACCTGCGATCGTGACGGGCCGCAAGTCTAGCTACTTCAAGACGCGTCCCGCTGCGTCCGAGCCAGAGTCCTTCAGGGCGTGGCCTTCGCCTGCGCGGATATCATCGCTGGTGCACCTGTTTTGCTTGGACCTGTTTGAAGGTAGACGCGTCTGTCTGTGATGTCAGACGTGACTTTACCCTTGTGTCATATCTTCTTTCGAGATTCGAGGGGGTTTGGAAGGGGCCTGATTGGATGACCTAATAAGGTCACTGTACCTCCTGACTCACTTACATCTGATCAGTCTTGTTGGCTGGCACGATGTAATATTTCTCTCTATCTCTCTCTCTCTCTCTCTCTCTCTCTCAAAGTGGGCGCATGCACAAGCTCAATAGGCATTAATGGATATTCGTCCTTCATTTCTGCCATGAATTGTTTTGATCATTCAAGTTTGGATGCGCTCAGTACATTAAAATGATCTTCTAGAAGATCTAGATCTGGCCAGCCAAAGGCACATGTCCATCCCAACTGCGTGGCAGCTGCAGGTGCACCATCATGCATTAATGTCAAAGCAGAGCAGTACTCGACTGCATTCTCTGTGGCTCACCGGGTGATTGCTATAGCAAAGAGCATGCACATGACCTCCTGCCATGTTTAGAGTCTTCTAAAGCACGAATCTTGGAAGGCACATCACACTTCATAAGTACGTAAGAAGCAGATCGGCATGACCGCTGGCTGTTGGCTCCAGCATCTCTGTCTGCCAGCTGTCGCAGTTCAAACCAAAATACAAATCTTCCTAGCCACACTTGGATGCGTGTTTGCAATGCGATGCTTCAGTTCTCTTGGGCCGAGAGACGTTTGTGCTGTTGATGCAAGCCTGTCTATACTGCAAAGCAGCTCCTCCCTACTTGAGCTCACAATGGAGCTTGCATTGCCATGGATATTCCAAATATCCACGAGTCTGCACTCTCCCTGATAATTTGAATACAGCTCAAGCCGGGCACTGCATAGACTGTGCAAGGTATACGACGCCTGGCTTCAGCTTCCATGAGAATAGGCGCCGGTGAAAAGGCAGTGGCAGTTCCTGCTTCAATTCTTGCTGAGGCTCCCGCAGGCCACCTCAGCACTTTGGCGGTTGACTTCCTATAGCACTCGGTTGACAAGTCTCTCTGCTTCTTTCCCCTCCTCGGCGTGATTAGTCACGCTAAATATTGATTTCTACTTTACATCCATCCCTGCTTTTTGGGGGGAGAGCACTTGTCACAAATTCTTCTGGAAAATAAGGAGCACTGTCGCAGCAGCTGGAAGTATAGAAAACGGTTGTCGATTTGAAATTATACTGTATTGCAGGTCTTCTACAAGAAACATTTCTTGTTCCAGCTTACAGCATGCTGACACTACTTTGTCCTTGGTCATAGTCATGCCAGTAGGTAGAGGCAGGGAAACTTGAAACATGAAATAATGAGGAATGTATTTGAGATATTGAGACGGTAGTCACAGCTACGCAATCTGTGAACAACCTTCCGCAAAAGATCCAGGTAGATTGAATTCACCGCAGACAAGATATACAAGCAGACATTCAGATGGATTTGCTGGTGAGGGCGACATCACAGCCTGTGATTCACAGGCCTGTGCGGCGTTGCTTAAAATATCTATTCTCACTCTGCAAGGGATTTGCGGAGCCCTCCCTAGGGTTTGACAGGGAACGCGCGTGATGACCAGCTCACGTCTCGGATTTCGGCTGCTCAACTTGCGGAACAAAGGCATCCAGGGATCTTCAAGGATCTAAGCATTATATTTGTATCAGAAGATCGAAAATGACTTGAGGACTTAAAAGTTGCAGGATGAGCAAGAAGGATCCCAGCAAGCTTTACATCAAGCCAGACTCTGTGACACCCAAGCTTGACACATCAAAGTGGCCTCTTTTGCTGAAGAACTATGACAAGCTTAATGTGAGGACTGGACACTACACACCGATTCCCGCCGGACACACGCCCCTGCGCAGACCTCTTGAGGACCATGTCAGATATGGGGTCATCAACCTGGACAAGCCCTCCAACCCCTCCTCTCACGAGGTCGTGGCGTGGATCAGGCGCATCCTTCGAGTCAACAAGACTGGCCACAGCGGAACCCTGGACCCAAAGGTGACAGGCAGCCTCATCGTCTGCGTGGAGAGGGCCACCAGGCTAGTAAAGTCGCAGCAGGGGGCAGGCAAGGAGTACGTCTGCATTGCACGCCTGCACTCAAAAGTCCCAGGAGGAGCCGCAGCCGTGTCTCGCGCCCTGACATCGCTCAGAGGCGCCCTGTTCCAGCGGCCTCCCCTCATCTCAGCAGTGAAAAGGCAGCTGCGCGTGCGCACCATCTTTGACAGCAAGATGCTGGAGTTCGACGAGGACAGGCAGCTCGTAGTGTTCTGGATCTCCTGCGAGGCGGGCACCTACGTGCGTACCATGTGCGTGCACTTGGGGCTCATGCTGGGTGTGGGCGCTCACATGCAGGTCAGCCTCTTCCTCCGCTGTCTATCCCACTCACTGCAGCACTGTGTGCCTCCACAGTTGTTCACTACCTCTATCTTCCATCAATGCAAGAGATGGCTGCTGTCTCAATTGAGAGACAGTCTTTGGAATGTTTTTTCTGGCTTGTGTGCATGCATGGAGGTGCCTGCAAGCATACATGGGGGCCTCTGCACCTGCCCCCAACTGCGCCACTCGTTAGGAATCGGCTGTGGGGCGAGCAGACATATTGCTATCGAAGTAGCCTGTTGAAAAGTGGGGTTGTTGTGGATTTGCAGGAGCTGCGGCGTGTGAGGTCTGGCATCGTGGGGGAGAAGGACAACCTGGTGACCATGCATGACATCCTGGACGCACAGTGGGTCTACGACAACACCAAGGTGGGCACAGCTCATCAATTATCTGTTGGTGGCAATGGTTCAAGTTGGGCATCCTGAGGGCATCCTGTATAAGTGAGGAAAGGGCAGAGCATGAGGAGCAAGGCGACCCTGGCGAAAGATGTGGGTGCAAATCCTGCCCACAGAGCTTTGTGGTTGAGCTCAAAGCAAGGCGGTGTGGTTTCTGCGCTGTGCATGGGCTCTCAGAATGTCAAGCCCTCCTTAGAGTAATTTATGACATCAGGGCAGATTGAGCGCCAGACGAGAGGACAGAGGGCTGCCTCGCAAGTGCACGTCATGCAACACCAACAGAACAATCCCCCGGCCCAGGAGCTTTAGAATAGTTCCACCTTTCTGATCTCTGCAATATTACTCATGCAGGATGAGTCGTACCTGCGCCGCGCCATCATGCCCCTAGAAGCCGTGCTGACCACGTACAAGCGGCTGGTGGTCAAGGACAGCGCGGTCAACGCGATCTGCTACGGCGCCAAGCTGATGCTGCCGGGGCTGCTGCGCTACGAGAACGGCATCGAGGTCGACGATGAGGTCAGCGCTTAGTCACCGTGTTCCCCCCTTGTTTTCCTTGAAAAAAATGGCAAAGCAGGGGTTTTGATATGCCCATGGGACACCCTTTTCGAGAATGACTAATTTGCATGCTGGGGCTGCGCGGCTGTTTAGGGTTTAGGGTTTAGGGGTCAATGTTTTGCGAACCGCATGCTTGAAGTGCCGGTAACTGGCGCTGCGCAGTGATCTGGCTATAGAGGTGGTAAAAATGAGATTCTTTGCCGGCTGGTACTGCACCTGTCACTCGATGTTGTCTATCCAAGAAATAAATGTACTATGAAGGGTGGGCCAGGTTCTGACCCCGTGCGGCTGCGGCGTGCAGGTGGTCATGATTACTACCAAGGGCGAGGCCATCGCCATTGGTATTGCGCAGATGACAACCTCGACAATTGCAACCTGCGATCACGGCTGCGCTGCCAAGGTGCGGCCGCAACTTGATCCTTTTGGGTTTAATTTCTCTGAATGAAGTTTGAGATAGTTGTGTGACTGCAGAAAGAGACCATCACGGTCCTATTCTGGCAATTGCTGGTTTTTATTGTTTTAACCAAGCGATCAGCTGCAAAGTGGTTGCAACTCTCATATACCCAGCCAGCTTTGGCCTCCAAGAAAAGGTTGCAAGGGTCCGATGCGAGTGATAGGAGGCCTTCTCATTGCCAGCGCAGCACAGAGTTTGAAACTTATAATTTTAAGAAAGATACACGCTGCGCAGGTGAAGCGGGTGGTGATGGAGAGGGACACATACCCTCGCCGCTGGGGGCTGGGCCCAGTGGCGTCCAAGAAGAAACAGATGAAGATCGAGGGCGAGGCAAACGGCGCCAAGCCTGCCGACAAGCCGGCCGCCAAGGCCGAGGAGGAAACTAATGGCAGCTGAGAGGCTATTCTAATCCGGAGCGGCAGTCTCTCCAGTGATCTTGGTAGCTCTGGGCAGCCGCGGCCGCATGGCTAAATTCTGCACAATGACAGAGGGGCAAGTTTACCCGGTTCTTGCAAGGCTGGGTATTTTGTGACAATTAAGAGGGATAAGAGAGGAGTCCAGAAGGCTTCGCAACTGCAGGAGAGATATCTGCTGCATGATACTGCTGAATAACAAAAGATATGGGAGTTTTAATTGGAGGGCAGATATTTTAGAGTTGCCTTGAGTGGGCATGGAAGTTATTATGGGGTGCAAGCAGTGCTCTGGTGCTAGGCGGGATTCTAGAACGTGCACTTGCTTCCAGAAGGCAGGGAGGAAAACAGATAGGCATAACGGATGCTGCAGCTGTTGTGACCTGCCGAGTCCTCAAGTGAGCCAGCCTCTTTCTAATGGAGCAGCCCTTTGCATATCATGCGTGTGTATGCAGCTTGGGCAAGATGCCCTCAAGAGCGTTGCGCAAAATAGTCCGTTGTGTAGGTCTGCCGGCCCCCAATAGTTTGGGCCCGCGCCGACTTGGCCAACTGATTTAAATGCTGCCTGTGAAACATGTTAACAGTAGACCAGTATGGCAGTGACAGCATGCATAAACGTAATGACCAGGCAAGGATCGCATGGGACTTTCGGCACTGCCTGTGGGATGTTCATCATGATCATCATGATATAGCGGACACATGAAGGGAAGTGCATGGCACTCGGTGCTCAATTCTGTGGCCCTGAGAAATTTTCCAGGCAAATCACTACCACCCCAATGTGTGGGCCCAGGACGCTGGCAGCAATGCACACATCCAATGCGGATGGGAGACATGCCTGCAATTTAAATTCATGATGTCATCTCCAACTAAGTTGAACCTCAGCAACAAGTTCTGCCTCCTACAACTCAATCGCTATAGATCTCTCAGCTAAGCCGACATCACATACAGCACTCTTTTACTTCATTAAGGGGCATGCATCCGTGGGCTCAATTTCAATTTCTATCAAGCAGTAAAATCAAGCACAACACCAGGAACGCACCACCGACTAGATAAATCTAAGAAGAACTCACCCTTGCCGGGACTTGCACGCACATGTTGTCACATGTACGGAACCACAACGGTCATGCGTGCAATCTGCCGACACATGCCACACAGCCCGCACATGGCTGACATAATGGTCCACCGCGCCGTCCGCCGTCACATGCAACCGCCTGCAGCCCGCACATGTGCGCACATGCCTTCTGCACATGCGCGCACATGCCGACACATGAGCGGTCACACAACGGTCAGGCTCCTGTCGCGCAGAAGCAGCTTCATGGTCTCGTAGGAGCTCCAGGTGATGGCGGCTGCCGGTACATGGAAGAGCACACGCGGCCGCAGCCCCGCCCAAAGCGCCTTGTGCCCCTCAGCCGCCGCTATGTGCCGCATTGTGCTCACCTGCACGAGTATTCACAACAGTTCTCAATAATGTTGCCCATACTGCCTATCCTCTGCCCTGATAGGCATCGTGCTCACCTGCATCACAGATCCCTTCCTCGGCTGCTTGACCTTGACTCGGCAAGAAAAATGAGGTCAAGAGCAGGCCAACATCAACATAGAGTATGGGTCTCAGGTTGGCCCTGCATGCGCTCCTCTTCTATGCTTTTCGACACTCCTATACGATAGACTCAATTTTCAACACCCTGGAAACTATGCAGCAGGGGATTGCGTTGTGTTATGGAAACTTTCTAAACTTTCACGGATATGCCATGTTCCCAGCTAATGCCGGACCAGAGGGCACGCCGATCCGAACAAGCATAGGTGCACTAAGTAGCCTTGACCAGCGAGCATAGCTCCTCAGCTGGGAGGGCTGTGAGAGTTTGCAAAATGCCAGCACACCAGAAGTCCTGAACTTAGGCAAAGGGTAGACTTAAAACCAGGTTAGTATTTGGGGAGGGAACGCGCACCACGTTCATGGACACGTAGCGCACGGGGCTGCTGACGCCTTCCAGCTGCAGCCGGGTCTTCACGACATCTAGAGGGGTCGTTAAAGCGGCCGCAGCGCCCCCCGCCGCACCCCCCGCCACGCCCTGGATTAGTGGTATATACTATTGTTATTATTTCAGGTTGGCGAAAACCCAAAAGCCAAAGGCCGTACGGCATACACGCAGGGCGTCTGCAGCCACATTTGCGGGTCATACAGAAGTCTGCAGCCTGGTAGTGCATCGCATCTCACCTGGATTAGTAGCGTCTCCTCGCCTCGCGAGTGATCTATAAGCGCCTGCTTGGCGCCCTCATAGCTGGCAAAGTAGATCGCCATGAAAGGGATGTTCATCAGCAGCTGCAGGCACAGCAGCACAGGATCAACAAGGAGGCTCATCCAATTATAGACACAGGAATAGTTGAAGCTTCAAGGAGCCAAGAAGTGATACCCCCCCTTGCAAGCTGCGCTTTTAGAAGCACAAGACCACAGAGCATGAATGCGTTTCCAAATGGAAAATACCTCACAGCTTATTCACGCCCACTCGAGTGTACAAAGACAGATATGGCTGTGCAGGAAGCAAAATAGGCATGAGACCACGAGAGCTGCTGCTCACTGTGGTGGGGTAGGATTTGAAGAGCGCTGACACGCCGTCCTGTTGCACCGTCCTCCTCAGGCAGTCTAGGAACCCACTGTAAGGGCTGTGTGCCACCTGTGCACACCACGCCCAGGGATCAGTTGATCACTTCTTGGGCCTGACACATCAAGCCTCCAACCAAACCTGCCCAGAAAGCGTCTGCTTACAAGCTCTGAATGTTCACTGGGAATGTTCACTGCCCCAAGGAGTCTGAGAATATATGAAAGGCTGTTTCACACATCTGTAAAACAGAGCCTAGAGCCTGACATGCACAGAGCGAGCTTACATTGGAAAAGGGCCCCTTTCGCAGGCCAGTTGGAGGAACACCAACATGCTGCAGCCCTCCTGCTTGCAGAACAGTATCCCTGGCGGGACTTGCCATCGCAGGGGGGTTTGGGGTATTCTCATGAGAAATGGCCTTAGCCTCCTGACTTTTGCGATGGACATTTGGTCGGCCCAGAATATCCTCCCATTTTGTGCCCAAAGTGCTAGGGAGGTAGCGAAACTCTAGAACTTCCTAGGAACACCAAGGGCAGCCCCTGAGGCCACTCTTGACTCTTTCCTCTTGACTCTTTCCTCTTGACTCTTTCCTCCTGACTCTTTCCTGACGCCCTGTCAGACCAAAAAAATGGAGCAGCCAACCCCTACTTGGGGTGCTTCCGGCATCTTGAGTTGGGGCTGCGCACCTGAAGCCGCTGCTTGATGACGTCAAAGGGAGTCATGCATGCGTCGCTAATGACAGTCGCCGTCGCTCCCGACAGAGCCGCGCCCGCAAATCCGTTCTCCGCGTTGCTGCCCAGCCATCGCTTGGCCGCCTCGTACACCGCAAAATGCACTGCATGCGATGGCCTGTGCATTCCCCATACACACAGCCAACATCACGCGCATCTCCCAGGAGGCTGTGACTTTGTCTGACACGTCAGCATCAGGCCGCCACCCCAGACCCGAGCTGCACCGCATGTGACTGCCTGCTCAGGCAATAACTGCCAGCTCAGCGCCACGTCAGCAGCGCACAAAACGACTGTGCGTTATCAGGCACTGCCATGGCACCGCAGAATGTGCCACGGTCATGGCAAGAGACGACACAAATCGGTGGCGCCGGCCGAGTGGCATCTTTCAGCGCATGCTTGCAGCAGCGGGCGTGGGCACGGCATTAGTCAAGTGATCAAAGCCGCTTGCGCATTATGCTCGGTGACTTATGCAAGCTGCATTTGCGCAGGGTCACCCTGAGCTATTGACCAATCCACAGCAGCCCCTGCCTTGATCACACCCTGAGGCAGACTTCTGATCTCGCATGTCTTTCATCTCCCTTCTGTACATCTGCATCAGGAGTGTTCTGCTCCTGCATGGGTAGCAATTGTGGGGCTGCGCACCCTGCTCCGAGGCCTGCTGCGGCCACTCCCCCATAGAGCCCCCGAATGCCCTCTCTCCTGAGCACCGCTTGCACCGCCCTGAAGGTTGGCACTCCATGCAGCTGCACATCATTCCGCACCAAGGTCATTATTGCTACCTCAAGCAGTGCGCATTGATAGCTACAGCACGGTATTTTTGTAGAAATATGCTAACCAGTGCCCTATTTTCAGTGATGCTGATCTGGGAGCTGGGCCCACTTCACTGGGGCAGAGCTCCCACCCTCTGTCCTGGGTGTGCAAGTGCCTGCATACGCGTCTTGACTGTATCCACTGGGAACATGAGGGTGTGCTCCAGCGTCCCAGCGACTGCTCCAGCGAGCATGTGCTGCATGTGGCATATCTAAATCATACGAGCATCACCAACAGCAATTAACGCGCTTCTTTGATCGCCTAGATAAGAAAGGCCTTAAAACAGGTGCAAAAAGCCAGCAGCTCACATTGGAAAAGTGCAGATCGTCATGATCCTCAGGTGTAAGCTCTGGAGCACAGGTCATCGTGACTGTGAAGCACAGGCTGATGTGTACTACGTGCCAGAGGAACCATTTGCATTCGCAATGTAAGTTGCCTTAAAGTACTTTTGATTATGACATGTCAGGACTGAAGACCTCAGCGATATATCAGATCCACACATCAATAGAGTGCGAGCCACAATGTCCCGAGCACTGTCAAATCTCGAGCAGTGTGATATATTTTTCTAGAGTTTAGTTAATCATCAAGACAGCCATCACCTGACATCTTTATACCTCTCAACTGCTTTCTTTTGGTGCAGCCGTACGCTGGCCACCTCGGGTCCTGCAGATACGCACATCGTGCAAAATTTGAATTTTGCTTTGACGTTTGTGTCAGGAATGCAGCAACCTGCTTGAATCAGGAAATTTTGCAAACAAAGCAATGCTGGCCTTGTGGTGGTTTGGGACACTAAATCAAGTTTCTATGTGTGCCAGGTGCAACAGCTGTCTACAAGCTTGAAAAGTTGCAGCAGACAATTTGTAGCTCGAAGTTGCTTGCAAGGAGCTTCAGTTGAACAAGACAGACGAGCATCTTGCCATCTTGGTGCCGCTCCTGAGAGTGGCAGTACCACCTGTAACGAAAGGCAGCCAAGTTGCAGCTCGTATGTTCCCTTAAAGCTTGTGCTGCAGCTGTTAGTCCTACAGCCGACTGGAATGAAGCTTCTTAATCAAAGGATGCATCTGATGAGTCTGTTATACCCCAGCCGACAAGTAAAAGACCACACTGAAAATACAAATAGGACAGGCCACTCACGTCCTCTACGTCACGTCCAAGTCTTGAGATGCATTCACATGGATACTGCACATAGGAAAGTATTTGCTGCTATTATGCCATGCACTGACTTAGTTTTGGCCAAGGTTTCAGGTCTCAATACAGGTGCCCCCAACATAGGTCTTCAGACCGCCTTCATTGATGCATGTTTTCTCATAGTGAGTCTGGCAGGCGGAGGTGGCCTGCCAATGTTGGCACCATAACCAGTGGCACCCCTCATCAGCGACGAGCTCTTGCAGGTGCCTGAGCAGCCACAAGACCAGTTGCCCATCAGCTTCAGGTCGTCTGGCAGCAGGCCCTGCTCGACATTGAAAGTGGGACGACTGTGACTGGAAGCTACAAACATGCCAAGGATCAGCAAGATGATGCACACGCTCCTCATAGCTTTCATACTTTTAGCAACCGTGCAAGCGGCCTTTACTAGCCCTGCCAGGTACAGAGCGCACGACACACAGATTTTCAATCTCATATCGGGGAGGTGTGACTCAGAACTCACTTGTCGGCAAGTATTCAGCAGTTTGCAGGGCAGCTGATGTTGGTGTATGGCACATCGATCCCGATGCGCTTATTGTTGTCCCAGATGTTGTCTTTCTTGTCAGAGTACTTGGAGATGAGGTAGAACAACGAAGCAATGGCATCTCTGTAGCCCTGGCAGTTCAGCTGTGGATTGGAGGGGTCGCAGTAGCCGCAAGGTCCCCCACGATGAAAGTTCAGGGCTGATGCAAGGCCCTGTCCTTTGTCTGCCCCAATCTGAGGCTTGTTTCTGTACTTGGCTTCACCCCTCATCCACTTGACAAAGTATGGGAGCACCTGCACCGTCGCTGCTATCCTTAGATCTGAATGAGATAGCCTTGTGCCTCGGGTAGTGAAGGATGTTTAGGAATCAGAGAGCAGTACATCATGCGCAACAATGGCATGCTAACAAGGCCGATACCTTGGAAAGCGTGACTTACAACTTGTACAGCAACAGTGGCCATTAAAAGCTCTGGTGTGAACAGCTTGGATGATGGAAACTCTTGCCTCTCTCAGCTTGCCCTCGTCATCTTTTTTACTGAGGTCGGCCTGGCTCCCGCTGTAACCCGCCAAGTCAAGGCACTTCCAATTCACATTGAGGATGCTGAAATTCTCAGCATCGCCACAGCATCTGCTTAGGTCCCCACCGCTCATTGTCTCGGTTTCCTGCAGGCCAGATCTCAATATTGTTGTGTGATGGTTGACTCAATCAGTCAGTGACCGGGTCAGCACCAGCACTAAGCCTAATAAGCAATGCTTGTACACGTACACGCACAAGTATAACTTGAGAGGTGGTGACACTGCCGTAATGAGATGTAAGGCATGGACTCCACATTCAAATGACTCAGTCAGGCCATGCAAAGCCTTTGTCCATCTGAGCCTTAGAGCAGTCAAGGTGCCAAGACAAAGGAAAGAATGTGCTAGCCGAACAGATGCAAACGGATGCGGATGTGCTCTCAGAAAAAATCTCACACAACACATGAGCAATCGCTGCCAAGATGTACAGTGAGACCCTACCTGCATTGCAATGGCGAACAGGACCTGCTTCTCCCACTCGGCAACGCGCCTCTTGTCAAAGGAACCCTGGTGGTTGAGATCGTCGATAACGTAGAAGAAGGAACCCTTGTTTTTGCTGATCTTCTGGTAATTCCATCCGCAGTACTTTCCTGGGCATCGCAGGTCCTTCGGGCCCGGACCCATGTCCCCTGGGCCCGGACCCATGACCTCATATGGATTTGCATGCTTGTTGTTGTCTACAGCCATGATGGCATATAGAAATTCATCCCTGGAGGGCCAGTACTCCTTGGAGGAGGCCGAGCTCGTGAGAGAAGTCGTGTCTCCAGGACCATCAGCTTTCTCTGGCTTGCGCAGAAGTTCCTGCACCAAGCACTGAGTGTCAAGCTGTCTTACAGCAGCTGTTTGTCTGTGGATCATGCAGACAACTAGCAAGCCTACATCACAGAATGTGTGAAAGAGACGTGTGACAGAGGCTTGTTTCTCCTTGGCAGGAGCCAAGGCAGAAACCAAGGCAGGAACCAAGGGTAAACAAGTGTTTGGTCAGCTTGCAGAGCTCCACAGTGCATCAGAATTCTTCTAGCGTCAACAGTAGGGTTCTGTTCTGAGTCTGCACTAAGAAAAAACTGGCCTGTTCAGTGATGCTGCTCTTTGAAATAGTATAAGATGCTCAACAGTATAGTCCAGTGCCACATCCTTCTCACAGAGAGGCCTCTGCTCATGGAACGCGTGGTTCAAAGTGTTGTCGAAGGCTATTACCTGAGGCTTCACGCTTCGGGGGGCTGCAGATATGTCGTGCAAGCGATTTGCTGCCAGCGATGGCAGTGTCAGCCCTGGCAATGCCCTTATAACATCACTGCGGTGCCACATCTATCCAGAGGTGTGGCGATCAGGCTGTCGGTGATCCTGCTGGTTCGCAGAGTGCCTCGAGTATCCTGTCGGATCGACGCGAAGAAGGACCCGATTACGACTCTTAAGAGGAAATACCCGAGCAATTCTACGATCGGATTTTCGTGGGGACGTTCTCATGTCACCGACGTTCTCATGTCACCCCGAGGAGCGCCTTGGGTGACTGGATGCTGACGCCATCATTTGACCAGTGGGGTTGCAGCATTGGTTGAAAAGGCTTGACGAGCAGGAGATGCCTCAAAAATGAGTGAATGCATAATAAACACGGTGTCAGTGATTGCAATGTAGCACACAAACAGCCACTGCTTGATTGCTACGCTTCGGCTAATGCACATAGAAAGTCAGGCTTGAAAGAGTCCAAGGCAGGTTCCAAATGAATTTAGGACAAATGATTCAGTCAAAGCAAGCGGCAGGGATCCTCACACTTCCTTGTACCCCTAACCCAGGAAAATTGTCTGTTTATATTTGACTGAATTTGGATAAGACAGAACTGATGTGGATGGGACCCTCTGAAGTTCCAGACCGGTCCCCTCAGCCTTAAGGGCAAGCTTGCCATGTTAGAGGCCATGCCATTCAGGAGGTGAAGCAATTCAAATAGTTGGGCAGTATTTGTAGTTCAGACCTATCATTGACTCCTGAGATCTCAAATAGGGTATGCAAAGCTGGCCATGCTTCCTTCAAGTTGAAAAAAGTGCGTCTCTGGACTGAGCCCCATGTGATTTAAGGGATTCAGCTGACAATCTATAAAGTCATTGTAAAATCTGCACTGTTGTATGCTTGTGAGACATGGGCTGTCACTGCAAAGGACATTCACAGGTTGGAAGTGTTTCAATTGCTGCCTCCGTTCTATTCATGGTGTGACAGCTCTAGGTAGAAACTCAAATGACAATATGAAAGACTGGAGTGGAATGCCCAAAATTGCTGATCCGCTCAAGTATAGGCGGCTCAGATGGCTTGGTCACGTGGCAAGGGTGAAGGAAGACAGGCTACCAGTACAGTTGATGTCTGGTACAATACAAGGATCTGGGAAAAGAGGCAGGCCTGTCAGATCCTGAAAAATTGCTTGAGGGATGACCTGAAATCCATGGTATTGACATGCCATTAGTGGAGAAAATGCCAAGGCAGGGAATGCTGGTAGGGAATTATTTAGAGGTTGCTGCTCCGCACCTAGCCCTGAGGGCTGGAATAAGCGTGTAATAACAATGAGATTAAATATCGAACTTAGATATAGGTATGGTTTCCCCTGGAAAATGTGCATAACAATGTTACGCTTTAAAAACAGTTGGTATAAACTTGGTGCCACCCGGAGAATTTCAATACGTCCATCAGATACGAGATATAAGCATTGCTGAAAATTTGCTCGACACTGGATCATGATGTTGATTGGGGATGCCAGCGTGGCAGTCACCATGTCATTTTCAGGAGACTTTATTAGGACCTTGGAGCTCACAGTGCTCGTTTGCGCTGCAAGGACAGCAAGATCCAATCAGCAAACGTCACATTCAACCGTGCGCATAGCTGTACGCAGTGCCCACGCTGGTTGCATTCCCAGAGCTGCTGTACAGGTGGACATTGCCATTTTTTAGCTTGGGGTCAGGCAGACTGAACCAAGCATAGCGCTCCACGAAGTCCAGATTCTCAAGCTTGTACACTGCCGCCTTCACAAAGTCCTTCTGGCCTGGCTCCGATGGGAACCTGGCGCACACCGCAGCACATGCAAAATTAGTAACAGCAATTTCATGAGAGCTTGATTATACGCCCCAAAGCAGTAACAAGTCTAAATCTATTTGGCAATCACACATGAAAAGACATCACCAATCCAAGACATCGCCAATCCAAAAGCCTGGGTCCTTGACGGCTCAAGTGCGACTGCAACTTGAGGAGCATCTTGCATGCATGCATAGTGCTTCAGTCTAAAGTCCTTCACTTGAAGGAACGCAGTCTAGAGAGGCAGGCAGAGCATAAAGTCAGATACACATCTGAAAAGCTGAAGGAAGCTTGCCTGATGTCATCTTTACCGTGGTTAAAGTCAATCAGTGCAAACTCTGTGAGCCAGATGCGCTTGTGGTACTTGTCATGCGTGTCGATCAGGTATCTTTCCAGTTTCTGGGCGGCGATTTCTCCGACCTTTGGATCTGAAACATTGATGTTGTCATTTGGGTCGGGGTACCAGTGCACGCACACAAAGTCCACTCGGTACCGTGGGTCTGTGCGTTCCCTTCGGGCAGCCTGCGACCAAAAAAAATGTAAGAATGAATAAGACCTCTGAGACAGCAGAAAGGCTTTTTGCGCAACTTCTGATGACCCTCTGGTTTCTTCTGTTTAGCACGTCAGCAACAGGGTGCAAAGCAGAACATGGCAAAACCAGAAAGATTCAGGTGAAAACAGGTCTGCTGTGCGGTGCAGGCCTCTGTGACTAATTCGCTGCTTGTCTGCCAGCACGCGGCCTCTACAGGTTCACATAGCAGGAAGGCAATTACTTTTAAAAGGAGCAGACGTCGTCTGCAAGCACTGCGGAGTCCCTTATTAATATTTAGAAATGAATACCACTCATCTTTAAAAGGCATTCAGTGAGTTCTGGGCAGACCTCGTTCATGAACTGCTCCATCCAGCCACCAGATCTGGTAGCACGCTTGGATGTGGCAGGACTTCCCACTATTTTGCCCGTTGCTGTCAATTTGGGCCACGCATCGACAGCCTGCCATTGAGGTACAAAACTTCTGTGAAAGCGGGGAATTTGTAATGACACATGTAAGCACTTGCACTGGAGTACTTTGGCACCGGGTACAGCAATAGTAACCTAATTCACACTGATGAATGTGCTGAGCTGGACATGTTGATGGCATCCTAGCATACATCGGATACTGTCAGCTGCAGCGCTGAGACTACAAGTTACTAGCACCTGCCACCTTGTGGATAAACGCTCAGGGGGCTTTTTCTAGCCTAGTCTAGTAGATAATTCAGAGTCCCCTGGAAAATTAGGAAGATTGGGGCCACGCTGAGCTGGTGTATGCATATGTGACACCAAAGGGTGCAGTGTTCCCTTCTACTGTAAACGAGAGACTCACCTTAATGGGGTCAGGGATGTTTGACTGTGTGTCAAGGTCAGGCTCATTGAAGCCGAGCAGGTGGGTAGCACTTGCTGGGATCCTGCCGAGCTCCGGAAAAAACTCCCTGCCCTCGTTGCGCTTGTCTGTGAAGTTGTCAAGGCCCCATATCATAGGCACAAACTCCCCGCCAGGCGCATTGAAGCTCTACATGGCAGTGACGCCTTGAGATCAGCACACCGTCAAACTGCTTGATTAGTCTGCCCAATCTAGAAGAGCACCTGACAATTGGGGCCATCATTGTTATGACCTGCCCCAATGCAAATCAATTTGCAAAGACAGGGAACGAGGAGCTCAACAAGAGGTTTTTAATAGCAAACTCACAGATGGATAAAACGACAGGACTTCTTAAAGCAAGGGCCTACGTGCGGACCACCTCATTTGAGGCCTTGGGTCAGGGAGATGGCTCTCCTGCATGGCGTGCATGCATGGCATTGGCATGTTGGCCTTCACGCAATGACAGGCCTCGAAATGAGTGAAATATTTACCCCTGCGTGGTCCTGGCTTGCACTCCAAGTGTAGTACCAGGAAGGCTGCAGGTCCGCCAGTGCTCGACTGTTGTTGGAGAAACCAAAAGTGCCGACTCCCTTCTTGCTTGTGCGGGCTGGGACGACTGGCCCAGCACTGATCCGCAAGACGCGTTGGATTGGGTTAGCCACTCTACCTGTCCGAGCGCGACCCAGAGGCTCTACAGACTGCTTAAGAACTCCATTGTGCTGCAAGCATACACTTATACCCGTTGTTCGTTCCGATATCAGAATCAAGCAAAGCGAAGATGCGGCATCACTCATGACGACTTCGCATGACTCTTGCTATTATAAGCAACGATATTACTCTCTCAGATACAACAGAAGGCCTTGCACCTGAAAGGAGATTGCTGCATCATGTGTCCGCTGCGAACAAGCACGAAGCAGGCTGTTGCCGGCCATTCCTGCAGGAGGTCAGGTTTGAAGGTACATCTCAGAAACGAATCTCACACGACAATGCAGCATAAAAGATTGAAAATGGCATTATCAGCTGTGACATCAGATTGCAGCACGATCCAAGCTGACCTTGGGTGGGTGCTCCGGTCAAGATGGACAGCGCCTGATGTTGTCCTTTCAGACACTGCACAGAATTTCGAAGCAATTGGTCGATTAGCAATCGTTGAGATTATGTGGTTCTTGGAGAAGATTAATACCCGAGCAACTC